CTGGAAGAAACATGGACACTATTGGGACAGAGCTTCTCCGAGATTTGGTGTTTAATACAAAGGACTATCAAAAAAACCGGCAGAGAGGAATTGAGAGAGAATTAAGAGTCTTGGACGTGAGGTCTCCAGGCTGATAGCAGATAGACTGATGGACATCCGTTGGGGATCAAAACCGGGAAAGGGGGAGTGGGGTTTGGGAATCCAAAGGGTGTGCAATTATATTCTGATTCTTTTTATTTTGTTTTGTTCTTAGTATAAAAATGGGGAATTCGTGGAAGGGAATTTGGGTCGACCTTAGAAAAAGGTTTTAAGAAGGAGTATTGAAGTATAAAGACTGATGTATATAAGTTAAAATTGGATATATAAAATGAACTAAATATAATAATGAATTAAATATAATAAGGTTAAAAATTGGGGACAAGAACTTGTTGAACTAACAATTGGAAATGGAATACAAGAAGGGGAGGCGTGGGGAAGTCATGGAAATATGTTATTGAAAATATGGATTGTAAACGTTGAGTGTTTTTAAATTCTTTTTTTTTTCCTTTTCTTTCTTTTTTCTGGATTTTTTGAAAACTTCAATAAATATCTTTTTTAAAAAAAGAAATTAGGTAATTTGTGAAACTGAAATAATAAATTGTGTTGCAATTGTGGAAGATAACTATGCATGACTGCTGGTTTGTGCATAAAGGGGTAAAGGACCATAGAATTGTATCGCTAGATAGAATCAGCTAGGTCACGTCCTTTCACCTCCAGAGAGGGAGGAAGTCAAGCCTTTCTCCTTCCTTCCTTCCTTCCTTCCTTCCTTCCTTCCTTCCTTCCTTCCTTCCTCTCTCTCTCTCTCTGCATTATGTAATCCACTGAAAAGGATGTACGTGAGCTTGCTACCCAAGAATATTCTGCCTGTGTTTCTTCTTGCGGCTGCATGGAACAATGCATGTATCAGACCTATAAATCTGTAAGTAAAGCATTAAAAACTTACTTAGCAATATGTGGTCTGTTCCATGTGAAAGGGATAGAAAGAGGGGAGCGTTGCAAATGGGATAAGGAAGGCCTAACAACTTATATTCCTACCACTTCTCTGTGCTGCTTATATTTGTCAGTTGAATACTCTGCTCCTGGGGCTCCCTGCATTTTGAATCCAGGCCCCCAGCTATTTCTTTTAGCTGTTCACCCATACCTGGGTCCACAGGGATTTATATTTTCTCCACAGTTATTCCACCCCATTAATTACAATGCGTAGGATACTCAACACAAACAGGGCATGGGAAATGCAACCGATTGCACAATGTTTGTGGATTGAAGGCAACAACAACTAGCTCAATGTATGTTCTGGGATGAATCAGTGAACAGTGAAGAGAATTTCCCCTCCCACTTCCAGTTTGGTTGGAATCCCCTGAACATCCCCGCTTCCCCAGCCAGCTGCTCACATGTAATTTGCCAAGTTGTGCTCCTCCAGCGTGTGGGTCTCAAAGCCGTGCGGCGTCGTGTCAAAATAGTCGCTGCCGATTCCACAGATGAAACATTTGGTCTGCCAGGATGGAAGCAACAGAGTGAGAAGACAGTGAAGGCGAAGAGGGAGCTAGGGTCCTGTCTAGGGTCCTGTCTCTCCACAATGGGTCAAGCCAACCCCAACCCCAACTGCAGCCACAGAATCACAGAATCCGAGAGTTGGAAGGGATCCTGAGGATCCTGTAACCCAACACCCTGCACTCCAGGAATGTGCAACTGTCCCTTACGGGGAATCAAACCTGTGACCTTGGTGCTATCAGCCAACTCTCAAGAGACTGCGATCTACTTTCAGAATTAAAAACTGGCAGTGGTCTGTCCCAGTTTTTTGGGGGTTCAGCTCAAAGTTGTTGAGTTTTTTTTAAGGAGGAGAATAGCCCCATTTTTAGGAGTAAAAAAAAAGCTTTTTGGGGGGAGGAAGTTCCATTTTTGGGGAACAAAGGCAAGGGACAAAGGGGTAAAGTCACTCACAGCTCTGTCTTCCCTTCCAGAAATCATAGAACAGGGCGGGGTGAGGGGCAGGAGTCAGTTTTAGCCACGCTAAGTAAAGGGAGCCAGATATCGACCGCAATCTACCAAAACCTCATGGGGATCTACCAATAGATTGCGATCCACCTGTTGGACATCCCTGCTCTAACTCATGGGTAGGCAAACTAAGGCCCGGGGGCCGGATCTAGCCCAATCGCCTTCTAAATCCAGCCCGCGGACGATCAGCGTGTTTTTTACATGAGTAGAATTTGTTCTTTTATTTAAAATGCATCTCTGAGTTATTTGTGGGGCTTGCCTGGTGTTTTTACACGAGTAGAATGTGTGCTTTTATTTAAAATGCATCTCTGGGTTATTTGTGGGGCACAGGAATTCGTTCATTATTATAACTATAGTCCGGCCCCCCACAAGGTCTGAGGGACGGTGGACCAGCCCATGGCTTAAAAAGGTTGCTGACCCCTGCTCTAACCAGCTGAGCTGTCCTTCTATGTTTCCATGCATCAAATCCCTCCCTCCCGCAGTGTGAAGATTATCAGGAGTCCCCAGAGTTGACTAGGTCTGTGTACCCTCCCAGGGGACCCTCCTTTTCACCTTTGCTACTTTTGGAGATATATGCAGTTTATATACTTAGGTAAAGTATATTTATGTCATGGCTGTTTGGCGTGGATTCCCCAGTCCCTCCCCACAAAATACCTGGCCATGGGCCAGAGAGCCTCCCTGATAGACAACCTCGTCTGTGATAACTTTCTGACTGAAGCCGCCGGCTTGCCCCCCCCCCCCCCAATGGCTGGGAATGGAGGAGAGGAAGGAGGAGACCAGCTTACCTCCATGTCCTCCTTCACCTGCTCCTGCTGGTCTCTCAGCTCCCCAAAGGCGTCAATGATCAAACCTGGTGGACAGGAAGTCACAAAGGTAGGAAGACAGACTTCAGGAGCCCTGGCGCAGACTCCGCCCCACACCCCCATGGGACATAATAACCATGACCCGCACGGGACCTACCTTGGATGATGGCCAGCAGGATGACGATGACAAAGAAGAAGAAGGTGATGTCGAAGATGACGCGGTAAAGCTCGTACTCGTCACCTGCCGGGTCCTCGATCTCGTCACCGATGCCCCCGCCAGCACGCACCCCCACGTACATGTGAAACAGGTAACACTGTGGAGGAGAGGAGGGAAGAGGGAGGGAGAGGCTCAGGGAGCGTTGCATACACAAGGCTTCTTCAGCATCATTTCTTTCACATATAAATTTTTATTAAATTTTCTGTTTTACAATTTAAAGCACTCATTTAAACATCCTTAAAACACCCTTCTTCTCTTTCCATGGCTCATTTTACATACCATAAATCCCTGCATATTTTACAGAAACTATACCATTCAGCACTCCATTATTACATCCATCATAACTTATTCACACGGTTGAATTTATCTTAATAAAGCGTTTTCAGTCGTACACTGTTATTTCCCATATCTTTCATATATATTTCCCCCATATATTTTCCAATCTTCTCTAAACCTATGTTCTTCTTGTTCTCTTATTCTATATGTTAAGTCTGCAAGCTGTGCATATCCTGTCAACTTAAGTTGCCATTCCTCTTTGGTTGGGACCTCGCTCGTTTTCCATTTTTGGGGCCAACAGAACATGGGCCGCAGGAGTGGCATACATAAATAACCTTTTTTTGACACCTGGGGATTTCAGTTTGAATTATCCCCAACAGAAAGGACTCTGGTTTTTTTTGAGAAAGTACTTTTAAACATTTCCCCGCCCCCAATTATTATGGATCATTTCCCAATACTCTTTTACCCTTTTACAAGTCCACCACATATGAAAGAACGTTCCCTAAGAGGCAGCATTTCTGACCGTGTCACCTTGGCAACCTGGAAAACTATATTACACTTTCCTCTCTGCTGGGTACTAATGGAGGAGTCGTCTCATATGAATCCGCCCCCCTCCCGATCTGGCATTTCCAGAAAGACTTGAACCCCCAGGATCTGTTTCTTAAACATTAAGTACTGGCCCCTCCCCACTTGGGGACAGTGGCAGTCTGACGTTCACCCCGCTCTTGGAACAAGAGATGCGTGGACACTGAGACGCTCTTCGCACCCTCCGCTTGAGCTTCCCTGAACATTCCTGCCCTCCCAACTTTCGCCGGCTTAGGAAAAAGTCGGTGGGGTCTGTTGGGAGTCAAAATAGTTCTCCTATTGTATCAGTAGCCTGTTGCACCTGCTGGACCAGACGTGATGGCAGAGCCCAGGGAACGTGGGCGGTCGCCGTAGGAAGCAAAGCCGCTTTCCAACAGATTTAAGCCCTTTTTTTGGGGGGGGGACAAAGCCAAAAAAGCACGGGGAGCCTCTGTCCTTGTCTTACCGTCATCATGTCGTCACATTTCATGTCAGGTTCATCTTCATCCTCGCTCTTGTTGTAGAACTTGCGGAAAAAGTTGAAGGCGACCACGGTGTAGAGGTAGACGACCACCGCCAGGAGCCCCACCGTCATTAGAAGCTGGGGGAGAAAGAGGTCACACGTGTGAGAGGAGGTACATTATCATGCAGCAAATGATGTCCCAGATGTCATACTGGTTGGACGCAGAGGAGTGGTGGGAGCAACCAGATGGGGGACCCCCAAGGGAAGAAGGCTCAGAGCCTGGGGAGTGGTGGTGGGGCAAGGATGAGTGGTCAGAGGGAGAAGAGGGAGCAGACTAAGGGGAGGAGGTGTCAGAAGCGGAAGAGGTAACAGGGCTTAGTGAGCGGGAAGAGGCAGTGGCAGAGAGCAGTCCAGAAGTAGAGGTAGAAGCGGAGGCTGGAAAGGAGGGAGGGGCAAGAAGCAGAGGTGAGTCAGGCTGGTGAGAAAGCCAGGAGGTCCTCTCCTCCTCCTGCAACCAGCTCCCTTCCCCCCGGTCTCCCAGAAACAGGAGAGGCATGAAGTGGGAGGAGCAAAGGCAGGTACACAGGTGCAGTCTCAGATTGCTAGGGAAGGAACTTGGTGAGGAGGAGACTAAGGCAGCTGTGGGGAATGACTTTCAGTCTTAATGGTTGTGTAATCGGCTTTTCCAGATGTGAAACCCTAATTTTGGCATTGCACAGTATATAAATAAAAAACAGTGAGGAAGGCGAAGGGGTGGGAGGGGTGCATACCATGAGCTAGAAGGCCCCCCCCCATTTGATCTGAGCGCCCCACATCCCCGCTACCTGTTTGCCGTTGTGGGTGACGGAGGAGAGGATGGTCCTTAGGGTCTTGACGCCCATGGCGATGTCCAGGAGGTGGGAGGCAAAGAAGAAGTTGTTGTAGTGGCCGAGAACGGACATCACCATGTACCAGAAGAGGTACAGGAAGGACTGCAGGGGGGAGAGACATGGATGGGTTGAGACAGAGGCAGGATTGAGAGCGAGGGCACAGCGGGACGCCCACGTTGGGGGAAAGGGGTGGAAGGTTTTGATGCCGTCCTCTCAGCTTAGCAGATGCAGGGCTGCAGCATCAGATGGCTCCCAGCCCACGGACCACCCCACTGGCTGCTCCTACTCTACTGCCAGCTCACAAGGCAAAAGATGATCACAGATGAGTACCATCCACTAAGAATAGGGCTTGGAAGGATGCCCCACTGAAGGTGGGATTTGGCCTGTGTTGGGTTGAAATAAACGACAGATGAATGGCAAGTGTCATATGGGAGGCATCTACCGAGCATGTCCCTTTTATTGAATATTACAGCATTGCCACATATGTGCTTGTTGCTGATTGGTTAACACAAATACAATGCAAGGGTTGCATATAGACATTAATCATCAATAGATTAAAGGTTGGGAAAGGGAACACAGAATTGGACAGGCATGAAAACCTCCTTATTAAACTATAACTAGTGATTGATATAGCAAAACTTAAAGGAGCATATAAACTATTACTAGTGATTGATATAGCAAAACTTAACAGGGCATAACTATTGTATGCCGTAGATGTGGTCAACCATGCATTAAGAACAGGTCAGGGTACGATGTTTCATGAACTCAATGTGAACTGAACATTCTAGGATGGGTGAGGAAGGAATGCTTCAGCTTAGATGTTTGCCATAGTCATGTGCAGAAGCAAAACTTCCCATCAGGCCTGTGTTCTCCCCACTTGCTAATCTCCGACCTGAAAACCTACCGTTGACCAGGACTTTACTTGGTCGGGTGGGGGGTATTGTTTTGGTTCATTACAATGGTACGCATTTTTGTGTTTTTATATTGTAAACTGCCCTGTGATCTTCGGATGAAGGATCATAAACAAACAAACAAACAAACGGTCGATCCTGCCCAGCCAAATACATGTGCAGAACTCCACAACATCAGTATCTGAGTCAACTAGATAATTCATTAGTTTTATTCTGATTCAGTTATTCTGGTTTTCAAGCAATTTAGACATCCGGGCACTTTTCGTTTTTACAGAAAGAAACGGGCAGTAGATGCAGGGGCGGAGGAAGGGGGGGTGCATTGGGAGTGAGTCGCCCCGGGTGTCACCATTGAGGGGAGTGACAAAATGGCAGGCGCCAATCACCACGGGGCCTGCAGCGCGCCCGAGCCACGCATCTCTCCTGGGAGTGACACAGTGGCTTGGGTGCCCTCAGGCTCTGTGCTGCCCCAAACGGTCTGTCCGCCTCTCCCTCAGCTGTAGGGCGGCTGAGTGGGAAGAGGCAGGCGGACTCCTCAGAGGCCCTGCAGAGCATCCTGCCCTGGTTTGCCCCGCCCCGCGGGTGGCTGGCCACCCCCCCCCGCAGGCAGTTGGCCATGCCCCTGGGCACAGGGCACACGCACTGCCCCAGGCGGGATAGAGAGACGAATGCAGCCTTTTCATTGCAAGTATGAGGTCTAGAATCTCTGCTTCTGTCTTTTTAGGGGAGAACTATGATTCTCTATGGGACGAGGGTGGCGCTGTGGGTTAAACCACAGAGCCTAGGACTTGCCAATCGGAAGGTCGGCGGTTCGAATCCCCGTGACGGGGTGAGCTCCCGTTGTTCGGTCCCAGCTCCTGCCCACCTAGCAGTTCAAAAGTACACCAGTGCAAGTAGATAAATAGGTACCACTCTGGCAGGAAGGTAAACAGCGTTTCCATGCACTGCTCTGGTTCTCCAGAAGCGGCTTAGTCATGCTGGCCACATGACCCAGAAGCTGTACGCCGGCTCCCTCGGCCAATAAAGCGAGATGAGTGCCACAACCCCAGAGTCGGGCACGACTGGACCTAATGGTCAGGGGTCCCTTTACCTTTACCTTTAGGATTCTCTGGGCACTGAATTATGTTGAACTGTCTTAGATGTAGAGATAGGGAATTCCCCTTGCAGGCGAAGCCCTCGCATCTCCCCCAGCTTACAGTGGGGATTGTGCTGGTCTGAATGGCCTCTCTCCCCTTTAGCCAGTGTTTGCCAGGCTGTGGCACCAATTGGCATAAATATTGAACAGTTGAACCTCCCGCCCCCAAGCCCTCTAACTGCATCTTCTCACTCACGTTGTCAGTGAAGATCACTCCGAATTTCCAGACCTTGTACTTGATGTCAATAGAGGTAATCCTAGCAGAGGAGAAAGGGAGGATAAGGAGGAATGCAAGTGTGCATGTAAATTCATACATTCTGTTTTGCTACATCCCAAAGGGCCCGTCCACACTTCCCCTTGTCCCACGCTTAGGAAGCATAGGCCCAGGCAGCTTCGCCTTTGCTCCACTGCCAGCTCTGCCCATCCTCCTCACCATGTTATGAGAGACGTGTCTGGCTCAGTTTTCTTCTCGTTCTGCGCTGTGATTTCCAGACTGGCCAGATCTATTCCCAGCAGTTCTGCAATTCTCTCCCGCCCGTAGATGTCACCATATTTGTTTAGCACCTGGAGGGTTGGAGGGAGGGATGTGGTTAAGAAAAGATGGGCTCTCCATCTTGTTAACCACCCCTGCCTTAGATCAGGAGAGCCCGAGGCCTTTGTTTCCCTAGCCTAGACAATGGTGGAAGATCTCACCTTTCTCTTGATGAATTTGTCCCAGTAGTTGCTTGGGAATGACCTGGCAAGGGGAGAGAAGAGGGGGACAAAACCCATTAAGAATACCATTCGTTCCTCCTGCTCCGATGAAGGCTCCCTGACCTGCCAGGGTCATTTCTCTCCCTCCCTCCCTCTGCAAAACCGATTTCTCCCCAAAAGCCCTTCCACCTTGACCCTCTTCACTCAGCCAATCTTCTCCCCCTCCCCACTGTTTAACTGGCAACCCTGGACCTTTCTCCCCGCTCATCAACATCATGTCTGTTTAGTACAGACTCTCAGCCTTCCAACCTGCTGCGTCCGATCAAAGACCCACTCAGCCCAGCTTTCTGTTTCTGTGAGTGGCCAGCTCAAGTAGGAAGCTCTCAAGCCTGGGTGCAAGGGCTGGCCTTCCCCTGCACTTATCCACAGCGCCCTCTCCGAACAAGGAGGCTTCCTTTTAGCTATCCGTGGCAGAAGAGCCATCAACAGGCAATATCCCTCCATGAGTTTTTGCCTGGCCCCTTTTCGCCTCTGCAAACTTGTTTGGCCACCGCTGCATCTTGTGATGGCAAATAAATAAATTTATTATTATTATTATTTATTATTTATAACCTCCCCATCTGGCTGGGTTTCTTCAGCCACTCTGGGCGTCTCTCAACAGAATATTAAAAGCACAATAAAACATCAAACATTAAATACTTCCCTAAACAGGGCTGCCTTCAGATGTCTTCTAAAAGTCAGATAGTTGTTTACAGTGGTGCCTCGGGTTACATACGCTTCAGGTTACATACGCTTCAGGTTACAGACTCCGCTAACCCAGAAATAGTACCTCGGGTTAAGAACTTTGCTTCAGGATGAGAACAGAAATCGTGCCGCAGCGGCGCGGCAGCAGCTGGAGGCCCCATTAGCTAAAGTGGTGCTTCGGGTTAAGAACAGTTTCAGGTTAAGAACGGACCTCCGGAACAAATTAAGTACTTAACCCGAGGTACCACTGTATTTCCTTGACGTTTGACGGAAGGGCGTTCCACAGGCAGGGTGCCACTGCCAAGAAGGCCCTCTGCCTGGTTCCCTGTAACCTTACTTCTTGCAGGGAGGGAACTGCCAGGAGGCCCTCGGAGCTGGACCTCAGTGTCCGAGCTGAATGACAGGTGCCCTGTGCCAAGCGGTGCTGGCTTGTCCAGAACCTCCTTGCCAGTTGGTTTTGCCCTATTGCCCTGAGGAGGGTTTAGCCCAGCTGCACTCTGGGAAGCCCTCACCCCTCTTTCTGAACCTTTAGGAGGCGGGGCTGTTGCCCAGAGGGGCAGGAGCCACTGCTTAGCCCCTCCCCTCCCCACAGATGGACTCACGGAGCATTGAGCACCAGGCGGTCCCACTGCCCCTTGATGTCGTCGTCCTCTGGCTGCTCCGTGATGTAGAGGCCGTCAAACTCCAGCTTCCGCGCCAGCTCCTTCTCGCGCTTGAAGATGACCAGCGGCACCTTCAGGCAGTTGTAGCCGATGATGCAGAGGAAGGCCACCAGCGTGTGGAAGATGGCCAGGAACTGCAAGGCTGGCTGCATGTAGCCCGTGCTCTCCTCTAGGAAGAAGTAGACCACGCTGTCTTCGTCGTCCTCATCCCCGTTGCCGTTGCCATTCCCGTCCCCGCCGTCATCGTCCCCGCCACCAAAGCCAGAGCCGCCTCCAGAGCCAGACTCCAGATCCCCATCGAACCCGGAGCCCTCAAACTCCTCCTCGCCGGGAGGGGTGTCGGAAACCTGGGAATGGCAAGAGAGGAGGAGGAGGAGGTTGGGATGGAAAGTTGCGACCCTAGAGCCGGGAAGGGCTCAGGCTTACACTTAGCCACCAGGTCAGGGCTGGGGGACCTTTCTTCAGCCTGAAGGTCATGTTCCCTTCTGGGTCCACCTTCCAGTGGTGGGCAGGGTCAGAGGCAAAAGTTGGTGGAGCAAAGGATGCGAGCTTTGCCTTCATGCGACAGGCTAGTTTCTGCCCACACTGTCTAATGCCCCCCTCTGGCACTGTGATGGCCTGGGATTCGGACTCAGATGCTGAACCTGAGGGATCCCAGCCTACACAGGATTCCCTGCCTCCAGAACCAGCTGAGCCAGGGCTGGGGCATGAGCCTGAAGGGTCCTCACCTGTGCTGGATCCTCTGGTGCAGGCATCAGCTGAGTCTGCTCTGGCTCCTGAGGTGATGGAGGACCCATTGCCTGCAGGTGCTCCACTCTCAGCCCCGTCAGGGGAAGCTGAGGTTGCCTCTGGGTCCGGTAACCCTCCAGCCTCTCCTGAGCTGCAGAGGCTCAGGGCAGAGAGGCGGAGGGAACTAAGTTCCCGCAGGAGGAGTGCTCGCCTCCAGGCCAGGAGAGGCGAGTCACCAGAGGATCGGGGCTGCCCTATGCCTCGGGGCAGATAAAAGCCGGCCAGCCCCAGTCCCAAGCTGTGGGAGCAGCATTGTTGGCTGCTAGTTCCTGCGTGAACCCTGTCCTGCTTTCCTGCCTGAGCTCCTGACCTGCCCTGACTCCCTCCTTGCAAGCCTGTTCCTGACTTCACCCGGCTCCCTGCCCTGCACCCAGCTTCAGCTACTACAGACTGCCTCCTCATTGCACCTTTGACCACGGACCGGACTTGGACCTCGCCTCTTGGGTAACCCACGGGACCAGCACAGGCACCCAGGCAAGCAAGAGGCACAAGCTGAGTCCAAGGACACGATCCAGCCGGGGGGGGAGCACTTGGGGTGCAAAGCAGGGCCAGAGAGGGGTGTGGGATGGGGAATGTGCCAAAACCAGAGAGAGAGAGGTCTATGGGGGGCACATTTGCCCTGCAGCTCTGAGGGTCCCTACCCTGGCAAGAATTCTTGGTTTCCAACCATTTGCCCTCCCAAAAGCTGTGCCCAGTTGTTTTGGATCCCAGGATGATTTGTTACTGTTGTGGTGGCTATTAAAATTTATTATGCACCGTACACCCTTGCGGAAGGTTGCAACTATTTAAAATATGGCATGAAAAACCTACAGTGGGGGGGAAATATGTCATTGCGCACAACCTGCTTTCTCCCACTTGTGCACTTCCCAAACTGCAGCCTGGATCCGTCCTCTGGCCTGCATTAACTTGTCAGACTGATTCTCCTCTTGAATCCAGGGTGCCCCATCTGTCCCTTGACCTACTTACCTTATAGAAGAGCAAAATGAAGTTGATAGCAAAGGCCAGGAAGAGGGCGAGGAAGCGGAGATTGTAGAAATTCCTGGACAGGTAATTCTGCAGAGAGGGTGGATAAGAGGAGAAGAACAATGTGGGGGTGCATGTCCTTAGGAACATCGGGAAAGCCCTGCTGGACCAGGCTAAAGGGCCACAAAGACCTCCCCAAGCAGCTGGTATTCAGAAGCAGACGAACTGCGGAAGCAGAAGAACATCCCTGTGCCTAGCAACCACGGACAGTCTCCATTAATTGGTCCAACCGCCCTTTGAAAACATTCAAGTTGATGGCCATTGCCATATGGTTGTGGGAGGAGAGTCCATAGTTCAACTCTACAGTGGGTGAAAAACCGCCTCCTTTGTGGCGCTGTGGGTGAAACCACAGAGCCTAGGGCTTGCCGATCAGAAGGTCGGCGGTTCAAATCCCTGCAGTGGGGGGTGAGCTCCTGTTGCTCGGTCCCTGCGCCTGCCAACCTAGCAGTTCGAAAGCACACCAGTGCAAGTAGATAAATAGGTACCGCTCTGACGGGAAGGTAAATGGCGTTCTGTGCACTGCTCTGGTTCGCCAGCAGCGGCTTAGTCATGCTAGCCACATGACCCTGAAGCTGTACACTGGCTCCCTCGGCCGGTAAAGTGAGATGAGAGCCACAACCCCAGAGTCGTCCGCAACTGGACCTAATGGTCAGGGGTCCCTTTACCTTTGTCTGTCTCCCATAGTTCAGCTCCAATGGATGGTCCCATCGGGTTCTAGCATTATGACACGGGGAGGAAAATGCCCCCCCCGCACACGACGCATAATTCGGAAAAGTGGAGCCCAAATGTCTCCGGTCATCTCCCTTACCAGGAACTTTGTCCTCTGGATCTCCAGCTCGTTCCAAAACTCTGAGACTCCTTCCTCCGCCTGCTTCTTGTCCCTCTGGGCCACCTTCTTCTTCTGCTTGGCTGGTGGTTCTTCCTCCTCCTTGGGCTTCTCCTCCTCCTCTTCCTTCTCCTCCTCCTTCTTCTTCTCTTCCTCCTCCTCCTTTGCTGCCTTCTCCCCATTTTCAGCACTGGGAGGGACAAGGGGGGAGGTGGAGAGAAAACTTGAAAGACACACCACCCTTGCCACCCTGAATTCGAACCCTGTATTCAAACCCCTCTCCAGCTGACATGGGCCACACACCATGGGAAGCCAATGCGTCCCCCCCCCTCAATGTTGTTGTACTTCAACTCCCATCAGCCCCATCCACATGGCCAGCAGCAAAGGATGATGGGAGCTGGAGTGCAGCAACATCTGGAGTGCACCGTGCTGGTTTCCGTATTTTTGAGACCTTGAGGGATGGCAACTGGCTGCTTTTAAAAGTAAACATAAAGGAGATGATGGAATTTATGGAGTTGGCTGATCTCACCGGGAGAATCCGCGACCAGAAAGAAGAGGACTACCAAGAAGATTGGAAGAAATTTAAAGACTATTTGAATAAATATTCTAATATTAAAGATATGTAACCACTTGAAAGAACCAACCAGGCTTAGGACTAAATTAGACTTAAATGTATAAATAAGGAAATGTACTATAAGAAAGGTAAAGAAATTGGAATATGACTGTAATATTGTTTTATGAAATAATGATATTGGAAACTGCTACATTCAAATTAAGAGGAAATTCAGATGGAGGAGATTAGAGGAAGTCAACTAAAATGTTTATGAAAATGGATTTTAATTAATTGGTTGAGTTTCTTTTTTCCTGTTTAGGTATGTTAAGTTTGTTATTCTTTTTTCTTATTTTTCACTTTTTTATTGTGTTGTTGTTGTTATGTTGTTGCATATTCTCTTTTTTGTTATGTCTATTGAAAATTAATAAATATTATGGTAAAAAAATAAAAGTAAACATAAAGGGCTACGGTTCTCAGGAGCATCCTGCCCCCAGGACCACCCCTCTGGTCCCCCATCCGGCAAGTCCCAGCTTAATCCAGAGTGTGCAATCCACTTTCACCAAGCACGGCACTCACTCAGCTTTCTCTGGTTCCACGGGAGGCTCCTCAATCTTCTCCGGCTCTGCTTCCCCTTCCTCTCCTTCCACCTGGAGAATCACAAGAAGATGGGCTGGTGAGCGAGTTGGTGCCACAAGGCGGCTGGGAGCAAAAGGAGTTTGTGGGCATCATGGCTGCTACACGGGGGGATTTATTGCATGCCAGCGAGCAGCAGGGACCAAGGCCTATCTCCAGCTAAGTCCTACTTGGAGAAAACCCATTGAAAGTAATGGACCTGTTTATATATTGTGGGTGAAACTCCTCAGAGGGACTTAAGAGCGACAGTTTGGCGAGATGGAAAGAGCGATGTTATCTATGAAGGCGATGATATATGGAAACCATCTCGATTTGAGGAAAGGAAGAACGGAAAATTCACACAGGATTATTATTATTATTGGTGTTTATCGGCTTAAGGAGACTATCAGAAGAGATCATAAAGAAAAAAGAGAAAATATATAAACAAGATGTGATGTGGAAACAGCAAGATAAGACTGGATAGAATTATGAACTCTGTTTGGACTGATTTGGACATTAATGCAGTAGCAAGAAGATGATCAGAATCCCCCTTCGGATCTTGAAATAAGGGTCCCCCCAACAAAATTTAAAATTCGGCTTTGTAATTTGGAATTTATGTGATGTGATTTAATTTGATTTGATTGGCCAGTTAATATTTTTTTTTTAAAAAAAGAAAAGAAAAAAAGAAAGTAATGGACCTAAGTTAGCCAGGTCCATTAATTGCAGTGGTGCTGGAACGCTTCAACAGTTTGACTCCCCCCCCCCCAAAGGTGCAGTCCTCCATCGCCTCCCAGGACAGATGGATATCAACTCAGCTCCAAGTAACACTAACTTCAGATCGAACGCCACGTTTGGCATTGGGAAAGAATTCTGCACCTGAAATGCAGAGAAGGGAGCTAAAGCAGAATAACTTGCAATGCAACCTGGACGAAGATGCACAAAGGAGATTCCACCTAAACATTAGGAAGAACTTCCTGACAGTAAGAGCTGTTTGACAGTGGAATTTGCTGCCAAGGAGTGTGGTGGAGTCTCCTCCTTTGGAGGTCTTTAAGCAGAGGCTTGGCAACCATATGTCAGGAGTGCTCTGATGGTGTTTCCTGCTTGGCAGGGGGTTGGACTCGATGGCCCTTGTGGTCTCTTCCAACTCTACGATTCTATGATTCTATGATTCTATAAGTTTGTGAGCAGGGCTGGATTTTTCCTTTTCTTTAAAAAAGTTACTATTAAAGCCACTTCCGCAATAAAGAAAAGGAGGTGGGGGTGCGGGCATCACACCCCTTCCCCACATTTGCAGGGGCTGGCCCCAGCCCCCGCGATACCTAAGGGAATCCCCGCCCGTGTCATACCCCGGGCCAGCCAATCAGCTGGCTCCGGGGGCGTGGCCTTGGCTATTTAAACCTGCCGCAGCTGAGGCCCCTCCTCTTTCCCCCCTCTCCTGCAGCTGACCGGTTTTCCCGCCCATTCCACCCCCTTTCTTAGGATAGGTTCTCTGACATTGCTATGAACTTCGGTTGGTCGCCGTCAAGGGGCCTGGTAGGAATTTTTCCCAAATGGCAGATTGGCTCCAGCCATTTGGTTTTCGCCTACCTCGTAGCAAACCGTCACAACTCCTCGGTATTGGCGGTTAGGCATTGGTAGGGGCACTGTCCTATTGTTATGCAAATGAAGGGGGAAGGAGCACCATCACCTTCCCCCAAGCAAGGGTAGTCTGTTAAAGGATTCTGGGGGGAGTGGCCTTGTCCTAAGCCTAAGGAGGTGTGCGCCCACGGCATGCCCCCACGCGGTGACGTCAGGGGGAGCTCCTAGTTGACGTGCCTCAACAGGACTCCTCCCTCTGGTGATTAACCCTTCCGGCCTCTAGCTGGTTAATAGGACCACAGCAGCAAGAGTTCTCATCGCAAAGTATTGGAAGACCCAAGAACTACCCACACTGGAAGAATGGCAGATGAAGGTGATTGACTACATGGGATTGGCTGAGATGACCGGCAGAATCCGAGACCAAGGGAAAGAGACGGTGGAAGAAGATTGGAAGAAATTTAAAGTTTATCATAAGAACTTTTATAAAATAAATGAATGCTAAAACGCCAAGGTTAGAGAAATTAAGAGGTTACAGCTGTACTGATTAGGTAAAAAAGATAGGGGCAGTAAAAGGTTATTTAATTAAATTTTGAAGTGAGGATTTGCTGAAGAAATTTGAAAACAGGGATGCAGAAAGGGAAGGTATGGGGAAGTCGGAGGAACAAGGTTTAAGAAAAGAAGGTTTTGAAATTATACTTGTTTATGTGTTTGTTTGTTTTTGTATTGTGTATTGTTTGTGTCAAATATGTGTTAAAAAAACCAATAAAAATTATTATTAAAAAAAAAATAAAAAATAGTTAGGACTAATGCCTAAGCCAATACTGCTCAATTCCTGTAATCAATAAAGTTGTGGCCTAATTTGACCCATTAACCTGAATTCTTGTGTCCTGTGTCTTATTTCTTCGGGGGAGGTGGGAACTAGCCACGCAAGAGCATCTAGCTGCTAAGGCACAGCAATACCAAACACAAATAATACAAGGTGATTTCAAACACCCCCTTTTGTTTGAACAAAGAAATGTGGATGGAACTCAGGAGTCCTGAATCCCAACCTGCCCTCTCATCCCCTCCAGACCCGGAGAAAGAACAAAAGAACTCTGAACCGCGGAGCTAAAATCCCCACACAATAATGAAAGTGGGTTGGAGAATTGCATCTCAAAATTCAGGCACGTCCAAATTTCAAAGGATGGATGAGTTTCAGTTCTCAGACGCAAACTTGTTCGGATTTCTCCTCCAAACATGGGGCTTAACTACACTTTCACTAGCCCCACTGCCTTCTCCCAGGGAAAACTGCTCTTTAGTGCTCAATCGAAGTAAACAGCAATTCAGTTGTTCTGATTTATCTCTGAAGAGTGGGTTTTCTTTTGAAAGGCAGTGAAGCAAGGGGGAAACCGGTGTGTGTGTGTGTGTTATTGGCTAGTTTCGTTTTTGTAATGTATTTTGTGTTTTCATTTTGAATCTTTGTTTTAAACCACTCTGAGATTACAGATGAAGAGCGGTATACAAATGTTAAAAAATAATGATCTTCCTGCAGTGCGTCTCCTATACAGTGGTACCTCTAGTTACGAACTTCATTCATTCCGGAGGTCCGTTCTTAACCCGAAACTGTTCTTAACTAGAGGCATGCTTTCACTAATGGGGCCTCTTGCTGCTGCTGCACTGCTGGCACACGATTTCTGTTCTCATTCTGGGGCAAAGTTCTCAACTCGAGATAACTCTTCCAGGTTAGCAGAGTCTGTAACCTGAAGCTTTTGTAACCTGAGGAGTTTGTAACTCGAGGTACCACTGTACTTAACTGCTGACATTACTCCTCGGTTCACTTTAGATCGGGGTAGCTAACATGGCGGTGGTGTTAGACTCCAAATCACATCACTCACGGATCCAGTTCCTCCAGGCATCGTACCTCCCCACCTTCTGTGCTCTACCCATCCCCATCCCCTAAGCCTCATCTCCTCCTAGAGAGACCCTAGGATTTCCCACCACTATTCAGGCACCGCCTGAAGCCCTATACGTACTCCCAGTTTCCTCTTGAGGATGGGCGATCCTTCGGGCGTAGGGGGCTCCACTGGGGTCGTGTCCCCCATATCGCCAAGCCCGCCAGGCGCATCAGGAGCTGTGGATCGGAAATGCTCTTTCTTCATGTCGAAGCCCTCCCCGCCTTCAGCAGGCACGTCCTCCTTGCCGGGCTCCACTATCTCTGCTTCCTCCCCTTCCTCAGCCTCCTGTTCGACTTCCTCGGAAGGGGCCACGTCTCCATGCACCTCGTCCTGCGTTGGGTCGGGCATGCTGGCCAACAGCTCCGTCATTGTGATCTTCTTGGCTTCCTCCACCAGGCCGCCCCCGAAGAGCGTGTTCCAGATGAGGAGGAAGATGCCCTTGGAGATGTTGTAGAAGAAGAGGAGGATGCTCATCAGAATGGTGTAGATGAAGGTGGCCACAGCCACGGCCATCTCCTTGACCGTCATCTGCTTGATCTTGCGGAGCTTCCGGCGGATGTTGCGGTAGGTGAACATGCGGAAGAAGTTTAACACGCCGTCCAAAAACTCCCCGAAGACCGAGGATGACTCCGATGGTGCCGACACCTTCTCGGCTTCCCCACCTTCTGCCCCTTCTCCTTCCTCTTCCTCCTCTTCCTCCTCCTGGCCCTCCTCCTCTGAAATCTGTGCCGCGATCTGCATCTCAAAGATGGTGTCCTCGCAGAAGTTGATGAAGAGCTCCATCTTCTCCGACTCGCCCCCCTCGTTGACCACGTCGAAGATGAACTGCCGCTTGGACTCCTTGACCTGGGGCATCTCCCACTGGGCCTTGTTGGTCTCGCTGATCTCAAAGTAGATGCGCTCAATGCGCTTGCTGGCGCCCATGATCTCGATGCGGCCCAAGTAGGGGCTGAAGTAGTTGAGGATGCATTCCGCCAGCTCCAGGAAGGTCTTCAGGCGGTTGTCGTGCGGCATGTGCTCCGAGAGGTTGGTCAGCAGCACGGCGATGTTGAAGCCGATATCTTTGGCGGGCTCTTGGAATCGATCGGCAAACTCCTCATAGTCGATCATCTCGTTCTCATCGGCCTCCGAGCAAGAGAGCAGGAACTGGATCTCGGATGGCGTGTACTGCTTTTGGCTATCCATGGCCTTCTGGAAATCCTTCTTGGAGATGAGACCCCGCGGGTCCGTGATGTAGTCTCGGAAGGCGTCCGATGCTACAATGTCCTTCAGCTTCAAGAACATATCGAAGAACTTGAGAATCATCTCCACGTTACTGGAAGACTCCACCAACATGTCCACCATCTGCCGAGCGATGGTGCCATTCACCACGTTCCCTGGGTAGGCACATAAAAAGTAAGGTTATACATGGGACCGAGAAGTCTGTTGGGGGTGGATACACAAGTGATGAGTGGGTGGGTGTTGCACTCATGTAAGCACTGTCAGGTGGATTCAGGGCGATTGAGATATGTGCAACTTATCTCAGTGGGTTATAGCAGTTTTGCACACACACAGGATCCCACGTTCAACCCCTGGCCTCTCCAGGTAGAGTCAGAAAACACCCCTGTCTGCTCAGGGAAGCTGCCGTGGAACCCTGACTGGCTGTCCCCGCCCTGACTAAGGAGTCTTACCTTCCAGAAGGGACAGCAACATCACCACCATGTCTTTCTGCAGATCCAGCAGCTCCTTCAGAAGCCCAATTTGGCTTGAATCCTGGGTGGGTGGGAGACATGGGAGATATTAAGTGCTGCGGAACCAAAGACATCTCTTCCCGTGTCTTGGAGGCCTCCGGACGCAGATCCCCTTCACCCCCACACCCCACGTTCCACTTGTATTCCTAAGGCCCGACCTTCGCTGGCCCTGTCACACCTGTTGGCTTCTAACCGGGCAATGGAAACCCGGTCACAACTAGGTGTGGGACAGGAAGGAGGGAGAGGTGGTGGTAGCCCACAGAGACAAAGGAGCGGGTCTCAACTTGGGCCGTGAACACTGTGGCCCATTCTTCAGGCCCCTCAGATGGTGCCACCAGCAGGATGACCCCCTGAGGTCCCAGGGCACCTGGAACCGGAGCCTTAGAGGAGAGACTCAGATATCTGAAGTCAGCTTAGGTACACAGCCGGCCACAGGGCACTGCCGTCACACTGTGACATGTGCGGGGAACACCTTACTCTAATGTGAGCATGCTGAGGAGGCCCCAGCCTCTCCTTCTCATCCTCTGACTGAAGTACCACCCAAGAGCTGGGCCTCTGGAGAGGCAGGGACGCCCTTCTTACCTCAGGGTAGGATTCGCTCCGAAATTGGTCCTCATGGGCAGCGCAACAAAGAGATAGTTTTGGTGAGGGGCGGAAATATCCCCCAGTGCTGTCTCCCCGCCCACCCAGCCTCTGCACCCCCATTTCCTAGCCTCGCCTGCTTGGGAAGAGGACAGTGGGAGGAAAACACCCCTGGTGAACGTCTTCCATGCCACTGCCTCCAGCGACTGGCATCACGGGCATTATCTACACCGCAAACAAAGAAGACTTTCCCCTGGTGACGAGGCCTCTCTGGCAATTTGGTATCTGCAGCCTCTCTGGCAAAACTGCAATTCCCTGGGAGAGGGACGGACTCTGAAACCAGCTTAGGGCTGGGAATCTAGAATCGGGGAGGTGAGTATGCTGGTTTCGGTTCAGAGGCCACGCCGCTCCAGAGGCGCTTCGCCTCTTCGCCCGCAACTCCCAGCCGGCGTCAAGCCGAGGGAAGAGGGCTGGCTGCCAGCTTCAGTCAACGCCAACGCAAACCCTCCCCTTCGCCCTCAACGCCCGCGGCATGACAACATGAGCTAGGATGGGGCGTGAGCCAGCAAGCCAAAGCGGTGGCCAACCATGGAGCTCCTGACGACCCCGTTTGATGGTGGTGGCTGGAGGGGGGATCTGGAGAAGCATGGAGAAGCAGAAAAGACAGAAGGAGAGAAAGGAGGGCTGGGGTGATGAGCAAGGGCCAGCTGCCGCAGACCGAGAGAGGAAAGCAGGCCAGGCCAGACCACCATATTCCCCTGCACTGAGGCATGATGGGAAAGAGCAACAGACATGTTTATGGCTCTCCTGCATGGATCTACCAGCAAGGGCTGAGGGTTTTCTTAAAAAGTGTGTGTGTGTGTGTGTGTGTGTGTGTGTGTGTACAGAATGGGGAAGTGAGGTTTCCCAGGCAGAGGTAGAAGTGGGCAGGTATAGGGTGAACTGGAGGGATTCTTAATAACAATAATAAATTTTATTTATACCCCGCCCTCCCCAGCCAGAGCCGGGCTCAGGGCGGCTAACACCAATAAAATCACAGTAAAAAACATAATGGGGGGGGGGAACCAATTTAAAATACAGGTTAAAAAGCAGCCTCATTTTAATAGCAGCCCATAGATCAAGACCATAAGGGGAGGGAAACATAAGGGTCAGACTGAGTCCAAACCAAAGGCCAGGCAGAACAGCTCTGTCTTGCAGGCCCTGCGGAAAGATGTCAAGTCCCGCAGGGCCCTGGTCTCTTGGGACAGAGCGTTCCACCACGTCGGGGCCAGTACTTAAAAGGCCCTGGCCCTAGCTGAGAACAATCTAACCACCTTGTGACCTGGGACCTCCAAAATGTTGTCATTTGTGGACCTTAAGGTCCTCCGCGGGGCATACCGGGAGAGGCGGTCCTGTAGGTACGTGGGTCCCAGGCCGCAGTATTATTTTATTTTCAAAAAAGGCTTCTGCTGGGCACTTTCCCTGCTGCTCTGGGTGTGTGCGTTGGGCCTCGCAGGTTAATGCAATGGGAAGGTGCCAGGGTTCTGGCAACGACACCAGCTGCCTTGCAGCGCACCCACCGTGACACCTTGCTAAGGTGTCTTCTCTGAAACCATGGGAGTGTGTGTGTGCATGTACATATGTGGAGATGAGATTTTCATTGGAGGGGGCATGGGAGGCAGCAGAGTTCTGTTTCATTTCGTAGCCTCCCCTCTCCCTGACCAGCAAAACCACATGCCCTTTAAAAATGTGTTTTTGGGAGGGGGTTATTGGGTTGTTTTTGTTCAGATCATGTATTTTGTGGTTTTATATTCTGATTTTATCCTGTGAACCTCCCTGAGACCTGCGGGTATAGGGGAGGTATATAAATTTAATTAATATATAATTATGCAGAATTGTAAATAAAACAATTGAAAAACAAATTACAGACATTTGCATAAATGTATGAGATAAAAGTATTCAAATACAGTGGTACCTCGGGTTAAGTACTTAATTCGTTCCGGAGGTCCGTTCTTAACCTGAAACAGTTCTTAACCTGAGGTACCACTTTAGCTAATGGGGCCTCCTGCTGCCGCCACACCGCCAGAGCACGATTTCTGTTCTCATCCTGAAGCAAAGTTCTTAACCTGAAGCACAATTTCTGGGTTAGCGGAGTCTGTAACCTGAAGTGTATGTAACCTGAAGCGTATGTAACCTGAGGTACCACTGTATGTTGGGTGGAATTACCATATTTTCCTGTCTATAAGACGCCCCCATTTATAAGACTCTGATTTAAGAAAATGTGTGTGGGGGGGGAGATCTATCAGTGTATAAGACACCCCCAAATTTTGGACATTATTTTTTAGGAAAAAGCCCTAATCTTATACACAGAAAAATACGGTAATTTTCACAGGCTGAAATATCTATGGCAGGGTATGGGTTGCCTGGCTGCAGAATCTTAATATCGTTTAGCACAATGGTTGCAGAGTCTTATCCAGACCATTGTTCACACCTCCTTTTGTCATGTGTTCAAAGGAAGGAAAGTCTGGCTTGACCTAGACAGCAGCTGGAGGGAGCAGATGAGGACTTAATCTAAAGGCCTCAGGACCCTTTTGGGTGTGTTTCCTTTTTGTGTGTGTGTGTTAAATTGGTCTGGCCTGTCGAAAGGAGGAGTAGAGAAAAGAAGCCTAGGGAAAGAGAGGAAAAGTGGATGGGAAAGGAGAGGAAAAGAGAAAAAGAAGTGAAAGAGGACAGAAAGAAGGAACCAAGAAGGATGGGTGGGAGGGAGGGAAGGAAGGAGCAGGCAGAGTGAGCAGGGCATGAGATGGCCACATACTACTACATAAAAGGTTCTTACGCCATTTCGAAGTCCTGGGGGTTGGGTCATCTGTCACACATCAGAATAAAAATGTTATTCAGAAACATTTTTAAGAACATTTTTGTATTTTGCCAGGTTTACCATCCAGCACATTCCTTTGTTGCTTGGGGGTCAGAACAGCCTTGCCCTCCCTTCTCTGGGGAAAGGTGGGCGTGTGGGGTGGAGGAGAGGGGCAAGGGCAGGGAGGAAAAGGGACGCCTACGCATATCTTCATTACCCCAGTGTGGTGGGGACAGAATCTGCAGTGTGGAAGGACACTGAGCCTGGGCTTCAACCACTAGATTTCACAACCTCCGCAGCTCCAGGCTCTGGGTCGTACCAGAGCCCTTTCAATAATCGTGCATTCACGATTATTTCTGCTTTTGATGGTATCAAGGGTGGCTGTATGCAGCCCCGCCTTCAGAATGGCTTGCACCTGTTTGCACATTGTTCCAGGAAGTGCAGATTTGATAGAACTGCCTTCTAAATGCAAACTTAAATTGAATTGCTCGCCCATTCCTAAATGGGACTGGCTGCTGCAAATAGAACTGGAAACCCCCCCCTCTCTCTTTTCAAAAGTCCTAGGTGGATTCCAGTTTAGTGGCAGGGAGAGGCATTCACAACACAGGGCAGGAAAATGTGTGCATCTGTCTGCAAAGGTGTTATAGTGGTATAAAGGAAGGCCAGATGGTGAAATACAAAAATGGTCCTTTTCAGGAGGAGGGATGCTCAAAGCTGTTGCTGAGAGATCAGGAGTGGAAGGGGTGGGGGTGGGGAGAGGCACAGAGCAGGGGAGCCTGGGGTTAGTGCAGAGATTAAAAGGGAGACCGCACCACACGCAACCTCACCTCCCCCATCCACCCCACACCTCACCCTATACTTGTACTTCCTGACAAGGCTCTTCCCTCCTGCTCCATCTTTCCATCCTCAAAGGTATGTTGCCAAAAGAATGGGGGCTTATCCAGACCCCAATGTGGCAGGGAGCCAACCCTCCAGTGCAAATTAGCAGAGGCACCGGTAGTCCCATTTGAAGTAAGCAGAGTCTAGCTAGATTTTTTTTTAAAGGAGTTTTACCGCAAAGGTGATGGCAGGTGGGGAGAAAAACTGCCTTTCTAAGGACATGCACCAGACAACGACCCAAACGCAGCCACTCTGCATTCACAGTTTGACTTCCATTTCCCCAAGCCTGGCTATAAAATATAGAAAGAGATGGCTTTGTGCACCTAAGCTTGAGCTTGGGGTAGGATCAAGCTGGCAAACTTTTGCTACCGGTTAGGAAAGATAGGATGCAAAAGCCTGGTTCCTTGATTCAAGAGATGGCCACCGATTTGAGAGTTTGGCACCCAAATCCAAAAGCCAGGCTTCTCTGCCGCCATTGCGTGGCTTCCAAAGTCAACAGTTTGGCAAGACAATGTGCAGAATATTAAGTTTTCCCTGCTTAGCCATTGATGTCTGGGGCCTTGGGGCTTGCTCTTTCTTCAAAGCTGGCCAAGAAAGGCTGGTTCACAGTTGTGGGGCTTGGCTGTGGAGCGGACCACGTGGCCTTGCATATCTTCCAAGCGCTAAGACCCTGTCTGCTCTGGATACTCTTCCTCAACCGCTGCTCATGAACAACCTCCAAGATATTCCCTACCCTCTTGCCCCTTGCCAGGGTTCAGACAAAAACTTGCACTTTCTCGTTTTCGCTTTTACCTGAGCCAACTTCATCATCATGTGAGCAAAGACATGAAGGAAGCCAATGACAGCGTCCCACAGCCTGCTGTGTGCCAAGCTCTGCTGGTTCCCAGTGCACGGTCCCTGGCGAGGAAGGGGAAAATAATGGAGTGAAGATATCCGATTTATACCTAGTAGTCTGAACACAGGGCTGCTGAAGATGGTCTGTGCATGGGGCATTTGTTCTGCTCAGCTTATACACAGCTCAGTGTGGGGTAAATCGTCACATGGGAGCCTCAGAAAGGAGGGGCTGTGCACTCCAGAAAAGGATGGAGAGGTGAGGGAGCTGGATAGATGCAGGGCACCCCCTGGGATAGAGGATCTCCCTTTGTTGACATCCATGAATGAATGAATTTATTATTTCGGTCACAGACCAGTTCCAGCCCACATACAATATCAAGGAGGTCATAAAACACAATAGGGGTACATTTGAAGTTGCAATTATTTATAACAGGGGCAATACAGACATAGCAACAGTTAAAAATATATATAAATTAAAACTTAGTCACTAACATATAACCTAAAATTATCATCTAAGGCCTTAATCATTATGATAGCACAGCTTGTTCCCTAGGTTTTATAGCAATCACACAGAATTTGGCTACCCTTAGCGTGATCTCAGGATCCTTGTCCTCTACAAGGGATTTTAGACACTGAAGTTTGGATTCATTTGGAGATTTTGCATAGCAGGGGCATTAAATACCGAGCGTGTATCCCCCGTAGAATCGGCAGCATAACGAGGCATGAGAGACAGTTTCTACCTCCATCAAGCCGCAGGGGCAGACTCGTTCCGCGTATGGTTTACGCTCGAATCTGCCCTGCAATAAGGGAGATGGCAGAACGTTGAATCCATCTTTCTCAAGAGACAATGGAGTGTGCTTCTGGGGGTGAAGTCAAACTGCTGCATTACCAGCACCAAAGTGACCTGCCCAGGACACAAGCCTGGGCACTCTGGATGGAGGTCCTGGGCTGCCCAGACAACAAGACCCCCTCTCAGCCTCAAATATGTGACCCAAAGGAAAGCAGAGAAAGACGTTTGGCACCAGATTGGCTGCAGGAGTTGCTGGAAGGAGGCGTAGAATGTGCCATCCAACCATCTTAGGGACTCCACTCCGGATTTGTGTAGGATCAGAGATTTCCTTCTCATAGATGGGCACAGGTAAAAAGGTAAAGGGACCCCTGACCATTAGGTCCAGTTGTGACCGACTCTGGGGTTGCGGCACTCATCTCGCTTTATTGGCCAAGGGAGCCGGCGTACAGCTTCCGAGTCATGTGGCCAGCATGACTAAGCCGCTTCTGGCGTACCAGAGCAGTGCACGGAAACGCCGTTTACCTTCCCGCCAGAGTGGTACCTATTTATCTACTTGCACTTTGACGTGCTTTCGAACTGCTAGGTTGGCAGGAGCAGGGACTGAGCAACGGGAGCTCACCCCGTCGCGGGGATTCGAACCGCCGACCTTCTGATCGGCAAGTCCTAGGCTCTGTGGTTTAACCCACAGCACCACCCTTCACCTTCCCAGGTAGATGAGCCTTATTTGCCTGTCACTTCCTACAGCACGTGCAGGAACCGCCTTCTTGACCGCTGTACTATCGGTCTTGTCCATTCAATCCACTGCAGCCTGTCTTCGCATGCAGGGGAAGTCCCTGACTCATTGTGGACCTGAGACCCATTGGCTGCCCTCACCTGATCTAGCTGGCCAGTCATAGCCGTTTCCCAGGATGTGGCCCCTGTCGCCTGCTGACAGCTTCCAGGAGCCACAGGTGTGAGCAGAGTGCAGAGTGGGAGGACCATAGGTGGGCAAAGGGTCCCCTACCAGAGGTACTACCTCTTCCCCTAACACCCCATACCTCCAAAACACAACCCACTTTCTTCTTCTGGTTGCAATTTTTAAAACTGATTTTCAGACAATAACAACAACAACAGTGGCAATAATAATACCTGGATGTACTCAGTGAGGCTGTTGAAGACCTGCTTGGCTACAGCCATGGCTTTGGAGAAGTTTCGCTTGCCCTGTTCATCAATGACGTCCTTGCCCGAGTAATACCAGTAGAAATCACTAATAGACTCCTGGCGATTTCCGTGGGTGGGAAAGAAATCGAAAGGTTACTTTGCCTGCCCCATTTTCCACAATCCCACTGCGTGCAAGGAACGCTCCCTGTGGCCAGAATAAAGGTAAAGGTACCCCTGACCATTAGGTCCAGTTGTGACCGACTCTGGGGTTGCGTTGCTCATCTCGCTCTATGGGCCTCGGGAGCCGGCGTTTGTCCCCAGACAGCTTCCGGGTCATGTGGCCAGCATGACTAAGCCGCTTCTGGCGAACCAGAGCAGCGCACAGAAACGCCGTCTACCTTCCCGCCGGAGCAGTACCTATTTATCTACTTGCACTTTGACGTGCTTTTGAACTGCTAGGTTGGCAGGAGCAGGGACTGAGCAACAGGAGCTCACCCCGTCGTGGGGATTCGAACCGCCAACCTTCTGATCGGCAATCCTAGGCTCTGTGGTTTAACCCACAGCGCCACCCGCGTCCCAGGTGGCCAGAATACAAAGATGCTAAATCCGAGATGAAGTTTGCAATCCTACTGGCAGAGTTGATTGTCAATACTTCCTATTTTATGGCCTGATCCAGCTTTCCCCAACCTGGTGCCCCCCAGATGTTCTGGACTGCAACTCCCACCAGCCCCACCTAGGACTTGCAACTCTCAAGGGCTGCCCGTTAGTGAAGGGCTTTTAGTTCAGGCCTCACTAAGCAGGCCTCACTCGTTACAAGCTGTGCTGGTTTCAAGTACGGTATGATCGCATCTCACGTGGGGTTCGGTGCTAAGGGTTCTGTGTATATGCAAAAACACGTATACTCAAAACCTTGGAATAGCCCCCACAAGAGCACCTTGGGGCTTCTGCAACCGATGCACCAAGGTCCCAGGAGGCTCTCATGAGATCTCACTGGACCGTCTAAGTTCCTGCGAGATCTTGTGTGAAGCATCCCAGACCTTGCACACAGAGAGCTCTTTTTGCACTGAGTTTTGCCAGCACAGAAGGAGCTTTTAAGCTCTCCATCTCGCTTGCCAGTTAAACCTGTGGGATTTCAACCAGCAGCCTTCAGCCACGTGTAGCTGAAACCCCACAAGTCAAATGCACATAAGATGCGGTCATACCATATTCTGGTGCCAAGGGCAGAGTGCCTCTGGGCGCGAGAAGACCTCTCCCCTGATGAAGAGTACATTTTGAAATAATAATAAAAAGGAAAGGGCCTTGCAGGTGATGAACCAGATTCTCAGACTTTTAAGGTTTGCAAAAGCAGGCTGAAATTCTGGTCAGCTCAAGAGCTGAAGTGCAGCTGTACCTGGGTCTTAGGCTTTGACAGAACTGTCACTTCCTGAGCCGGATTTGGCCTGGGATGAAAACACCCACCTGCAGACGCAGAAGGTAGTCAACAGTGCAGATGATAATGTTGATCGTTGTCGTGTTCCCTGTCTGTGTCCGCAGGTAGTTCTGGAAGTCTGGAGTAAAAAGGGAGGAGGGTGAGAAAGGGACACTTCCTTCCGCTGATAATATCTTGGTTCTCCCACCCTCACCCCCCAAATCCCACCTTTATATTTGCAACAACCCTTAGCAGTAAGCCAATGCATCGTATGTGATGTCAAGTGCTGGACAGGTAGCGACACAGAAGCAGAAAGCAGGATTTAGCTTAGATGATGCATGGGGAGTTCAGTCCTGCCCAGTTAAGACTTGTTGGAAGGTTCTTTTTTGGGGGGGGGGGGACTTGCTGGTGTACTGGAATCCTGCAGAAAGCAGGATTCAGCCCCGCGCATTTCAACTGGTGTGTTGGGAGTTCAATCCTGCGTGGTTCAGGCGTGCTAGTGGGATGGGGGGAACTTGCTGGCGTTCCCGAACCCTGCAGATGTGCAAGGAGTTTAATCCTGATTAACCTCTTCCCAACCTCCGAGGATCAACTTTGACAGGTGAGTGGGACAGCCCACCTGTTGATCAGTCAATATGGCGTCAATATGATTGACAGGGTGCTGCTGCTCTTACTCACCTGTCAAAGTCAGTCCGCCAAGCGGGAAAATGGCAAGACAAACTGTTAGAGTATATTGAACTGGCTAGATTAACAGAGGCAATTAGAGATCATGCTAGACAAGAATTTCAAAAAGCATGGGGGAAAGTGCAGAGAACACTTCACAAAACAGTGCCCTAAAATTCATACCTGGACTTGTTTCGATTAATGTCTGCAGGAGACTTTGTGGATATTTAAGTTATAATTAGAAAAATCTTAATAATTATTCATAAAGGAAACAGCTTATAAGAAGTAAATAAGGATGCCAGAAACAGGATAAAGGAAGTCTTTTATTTGGCTGTTTGTAGTGTTGTATATTATGCTTGTTGTTTGTTATGTTTGTGTCTGATGGACACAAACATAAGAAGGACACTGACAAACTGGAACGTGTCCAGAGGAGGGCAACCAAAATGGTCAAAGGCCTGGAAATGATGCCTTATGAGGAACGGCTAAGGGAGCTGGGCATGTTTAGCCTGGAGAAGAGGAGGTTAAGGGGTGATATGATAGCCATGTTCAAATATATAAAAGGATGTCATATAGAGGAGGGAGAAAGGTTGTTTTCTGCTGCTCCAGAGAAGCGAACACGGAGCAATGGATCCAAACTACAAGAAAGAAGATTCCACCTAAACATTAGGAAGAACTTCCTGACAGTAAGAGCTGTTCGACAGTGGAATTTGCTGCCAAGGAGTGTGGTGGAGTCTCCTACTTTGGAGGTCTTTAAGCAGAGGCTTGACAACCATATGTCAGGAGTGCTCTGATGGTGTTTCCTTGCTTGGCAGGGGGTTGGACTCAGTGGCCCTTGTGGTCTCTTCCAACTCTATGATTCTATGATTCTATGGGGGCGGATTTCTGTGTTGGCGGGGTGGGGGGTTGTGTTATGTTGTAAATAAAATTTCCAATAAAAAATTATTTATATAAAAAAAGAAAAGTTCCCTGCCCCTGACACTCCACGCACCCTTTCCATTAGGCCCCAACCATCCTGCCCTCCCCTGCCATGTGTACTCTCCCATTCCCCTCCCTCAATCAACTCCATCAGCTCCAGTTTTGGAAGCCCTCTGGGTGGCATGTGGAACCTACCGTTGTTGTGTCCCTCGCACAGGAGCTGCAGGAACCGGAAGAGGTCCTGCGTAAAGAGATCGTCCGCCATCACCTTCTCTCCTAGAGCAGGGGAGGGGTCAAGGGAAGAGAGAGAACTGGCCAACGTTAGCAGGAGCAACACAGAGAGAGGAGGATAACAATGGAGTTGGGAATGGCGGCAGGGTGAGGGGGTGGGTTGGGGTGGGCAAGGGATAAATGTGCGGTTAGTACAAAATGGGGGTTCTCCAACGCTGGGCTTGAGAAAGGGGGATGGTTTTCGGGCAAGGCAATCCACACGGCAAAACAAGGATGCTGCACACAGATCAAGGGGCAGCCCTGCAGGCCTCACTCTGGATGTTTATTATTATTATTATTATTATTATTATTATTATTATTATTATTATTACAAATTATATACCATCCTTCATCAAGAGCTCCCAGGCCAGAGTACAACATTAAAAACACATTACACAACGCCAATGATAAAACATAATAAAAAAAGCATACTGACAGGCAGTCTAAAAATAAATTACAGTCATACCTTGAAAGTCAAACGGAATCCATTCCAGACGTCCGTTCGACTTCCAAAATGTTTGGAAACCAAAGCACGGCTTCTGATTGGCTGCAGGAAGCTCCTGCAGCCAATTGGAAGCCGCGGAAGCCCCGTCGGACGTTCGGCTTCCAAAAATAGTTCACAAACCGGAACAGTCACTTCTGGGTTTGTGATGTTTGGGAGCCAAAACGTTTGAGAACTAAGCTGTTCGAAAACCAAGGTGCGACTGTTGTCATCATAATAAAATAGTCATCATAGTAACTATTTATTAATAGCTAGTTAGGGGCTAGTTACGTGGGTGGTGCTGTGGGTTAAACCACAGAGCCTAGGACTTGCCGATCAGAAGGTCGGCGGTTCGAATCCCCACGACGGGGTGAGCTCCCGTTGCTCGGTCCCTGCTCCTGCCAACCTAGCAGTTCAAAAGCACATCAAAGTGCAAGTAGATAAATAGGTACCACTCTGGTGGGAAGGTAAATGGCGTTTCCGTGCGCTGCTCTGGTTTGCCAGAAGCGGCTTAGTCATGCTGGCCACATGACTCAGAAGCTGTATGCCGGCTCCCTCGGCCAGTAAAGCGAGATGAGCAACGCAACCCCAGAGTCGGTCACAACTGGACCTAATGGTCAGGGGTCCCTTTACCTTTAGTTAGGTGCTAGGTCCTCACTGAAGATGGTCAGTAAGGAGCGGCTGAGCCTGAATTAAGGACGCTGGGGCACCGATTCCTTGTTTAAGGGGATGCTTGTTGGAATAAAAAAAAACTACTTGTTGCCTACCCTGGATGTTTGCACTCTTCCTGAAGGAGCAGGCAGCCTCCGTAGCTAGAAGTGCCTTTTATCAACTGCAATTTGTTTAACGGCCACAGCTGCTCCTGGACCAGGAAAGCCTTGCCACAGCAGTTCATGCATTGGGTACTTCAAGGCCTGATTGCTACAACATGCTCTATGTGGGGCTTCCCTCACACTTTTCCTGGAAGCTGCAGTTAGTGCGAAATGCTGCAGCACGATTGCTGACAGGAATGAGGCCTTGTCAGCACAGAACTCCCATACCAAAGACCTGCACCGGTTTCCGATTTGCTACTGGGCCAAGTTCAATGTGTTACCATCAGCATATGGAAACCTTTAAGAACTCAGGTCCAGTTTACCCATGAGGTCGTCTTATCCCAATGGGCCCACTCACACTGAGAGCCAGTGTGGTGTAGTGGTTAAGAGCGGTAGTCTCGTAATCTGGTGAACCGGGTTCGCTTCCCCGCTCCTCCACATGCAGCTGCTGGGTGACCTTGGGCCAGTCACACTTCTCTGAAGTCTCTCAGCCCCACTCACCTCACAGAGTGTTTGTTGTGGGGGAGGAAGGGAAAGGAGAATGTGAGCCGCTTTGAGACTCCTTAAAGGGAGTGAAAGGTGGGATATCAAATCCAAACTCTTCTTCTTCTTCTTCAATCGCTTCCACCGGTGGAATTGGCTCTACTACGGGTGCCACATAATACCAGTTCCACATTTGCAAGAACCATTTGTGTGGTCTTTGGAACTCCCTGCCTATGGAGCCCTGTACATTCCTGTTTAGACAAGCCAAACCTGGATGCTTATAAATTGAGGTAATTTTAACCTTAGCATTTGAACTTCCGTGTGTTTTAAATTTTGCTTTATTTTATTGCTTTGTCTTTTTGCAAACCGCTTTGAGGTTGTTACTGTTTTGTATTACCACCCAGTGAGGTATACATTCTATGAAATAAACGAATAAGCGCAAGAGAGCTGATCTACCCAGGATGCGGAAGGAACGGAGGTAGTAGGATTCTATTATTAACTTATTAATTAATTGCATTTGTATACTGCCCTATATACCCCAGGTCTCTGGACAGTTCGCAGGATAAAAAAAAATCACAATATAAAAACACAAAATACATAATCAAAACAAAAACACAACCCAATAACGTCCCACCTCCACAACACATTTTTAAAGGGCATTGAATTTCAATCAGCCAAAGGCCTTGTTAAAGCGGAACATTTCTGCCTAGCGCCCAAAGGTATATAATTCTCTGCTTAATGATCCACATGGGTTGGAAGAGAGCGGTGCTTGTTTGAAAGCTCCCCCCACCCATTATTGGTGGGGAGCTGGACCAGAGTGAGGACTGCAGCAGCCGACCAAAAGTTAGTAGGATCACAAGTGCCATGCATTTGGTTAGGGGATCTCGTGGCTCCATTGTGTAGTGAGGGCAGAATTTGTGTCTGGGATATTGCTTTCAGGGGGAAAGGGTTATTTAGGCTATCTGTGACATTCCAGCAAAGGCTCAATGTCAACAGATAAAGTCCTTTGCAAAATCCCTGCATGCCTATTGCTGGAGGTTACATATTTTAGTGGGGAGCAGGTGTTGAGACTGGGAGTGCCAGAGTGTATGCAGGCAGATGAGAATAGTTCGGTTCAACGCCATTAGCATAAACGACCGGTTTATTCTATCTGAGTTTGTTTTTGTTTGTTTGTTGTTTAAAAGACCTGTGCACCCAGGGCCAAATTCTGAAGTGTAGTTTTGCGACAAGCCTTTTTTTTTTTTTTTGCGGAAAACACAACCTGAGTAAAACAGAAAGTAAGGACTTGACGTGGTGCAAAGGTGAAATAAATTCCAATGGACCAGAATAACGTGAGAGCAGTGGACAGACACGGAACTGCGATGACAAAGAATTAAGAATAAAAGTTGGAGGAGAGTGAGTGTAAGAGACCCAGGATGTGGCCCCCCCATCCTTGTGGGTTAATAGAATTAGTTGCAGAAGGTCAGCGACCAGTTCACACCACCCATTCTGTGGCATTGGTCATTAATGAAGATATGAATCCAGCGGCACGGGGAGGGCAAGAATGGTGGATGGGTCTCCCATTCACAAGAAACGCCCCCTTCCCCTTCCATTCCTCCGGGTGGATTCATATTAGCCCACCTGGCATTAATGACCAGCCCCTTTTCCATTTGTCTTCTTCTTCATGAAGTTGCCTCCTCCACTTCATGGATGAAGCCAAGTCAATCACCTGATATCTTCCCCCTCTGGCATTGTCTTCCCTTTGTGATGGGGCAATCATGGCGCTCGGGACGGGGCTGGGGTTGGGCGTGGGGGTATTGGAAGGACAGGAAGAGATGTTGCCCAGAGTCATCCCGATAAGGCTTGTTTTATCTGAGGTTTACAATGAGAATCCAAAAAGCTCCAAGACACCCTTTCCCCAAAGCTGGCACCCCCTGGACGTTTTGGAGAATAATTCACACCAGCTGGCATGGGCTGATGGGAGTTTTAATCCAAAACATCTGGAAGGCACCAGGACAGAGTGCAGTGGAGCACTAAAAGGAGATAAACAGGGCAACATACAATCAATCAATCAATCAATCAATAAAACAGGACAACATTGTTACTACAAGGAAGCTACAAGGACAGCAGAGACACCGTGACTCTAGAGCACAGAACAAGAGTAAAGCAAATGTACTACAGTGAGGGCTCGTCTACACTTCCTTTTGTGTTGCTGTCTGCTCCAATTTGGGAGTAAGACGCGTGCTCTCCTGGGACAAGAGGTGGGGCAAAAAACAAAACCTGCAAATCTCATACCTATGCCTAGAAATGCAACACAAAAGGAAGTGTGGTTGAGCCCTAAGTTACTATAGGGAGGCTCACAAACAGCAGCACGTATAACACAGAGGAACAATTATGAGAGATCACAAAGCATTAAGCGAGAAAGGAACAAAAATGTTACACAGGCAGCCAAAGAAAGATACAGGTTACGTCCACATCATACAATTAAATGACTCTTATTCCACTTTAACTACCATAGAATATCATGGGAACCATCGTCTGTTAAGAGTGCTGGTAATTGTCGGTTTGTGAGGTCAGCACCCTCTGCAAACTACAGTGGCCAGGATTCTCCTTGGCTGTTAAAGTGCTGTGCTTCAAATGTATGGCGTTGATGTGACCACAACTGCTACAAGGACACCACGGGCTTTCTCTGTGAAAACCCGCTCTTTAAAGCTCAATCGGAGCAAACGGCGATCTCTTGAAGACTCACGTTGACGTTTGCTCTGATAGACTGCTCAAAAGTGGGTTTTTTCAGGGTCTACAACTCCCATGATCCCTAGCTAACAGGACCAGTGGTCAGGGATGATGGGAATTGCAGTCCAAAACATCTGGAACGAGTTACTACAAGGATGACTTACAGAAGAATGAAAAGAACAATATATAGTAGTCAATAGGAGACTACTACTAGGACAGCACTTTCAGCCAAGAAAAATGGTCAAGACAGACCTTGCAACATTAAACAAGAGTTTAAAATACTGTATAAACAGAGGGCTTAGCCACACTTCCTCTCGTCCCGCTGCTCACCCCCTGGGAGGAAAACCGCTCTTTAGCACACAATCGGAGCAAATGGCAATTCTGGTCCCCCCCCATTTGACATTTGCTCCCCATCTTGTACTAAATAGTGGGTTTTCCCTTGGAAAGGAGTGGGCCAAGGAAAAAAGGGCTTGGACCCATGCTTTCTAGGCGAGGGACAAGCAGACGTGTGGACGAGGCCGGAGTTACTAAAAGGACAATCCAGCTCCATCTTAGCATACCCAAAAGCAACATGTGGTTATTGGGAAGCTCCTGCAGCCAATCGGAAGCCGCAGAAGCCATCCCGGATGTTCGGGTTCCAAAGAACGTTCACAAACCGGAACACTCACTTCCGGGTTTGTGGAGTTCGGGAGCCAAAACGTTTGAGCCGCAAGGTGTTCGTCAACCGAGGTACGACTGTATTCATTAATCACCTTTTAAAGCACTGTCTCAAGGTGATTTACATATAAGATAATTTTTTTAAAAGTTTACACTCCCCAAACTATAAAGATGATGTGTAGCCATCACAAACACTACAGGTTTAATTTATAAAAGTATCATTAGCACCGTGTCATTGTTGTAGACCCCAGGGTGCTCATTCTAACCCTGCATTTACTGGGATAATGAAGATGTTACAGCGTGGTTACCAAAGAAGGCATCACAAGAAGTTTATCACACTTCAACTCGGCAACGTTTCCACACCACAGGGCGACTGCTCAGTTATTATGCCATGATGACACTCACACATACCCCACAGATATAAAGCACGGCACACACGACCCTTTTCAATATACGAAACTACAGAACATGCCTACATAGATACTAAGAAAAACCATGTTTCTGCAGCAAATTATTACAAAGATGCCGCATTCCTTACTGAAGAACTTGTTGCTACAACACAACCAGACAGTTATGCTTACACCTTGAATTGTTACTATTCCACGTACAGGTAACACAGACTGAGGTCACATTTGCTGGATAACTAGGCCAGGGTGTCCTAAACTTGGGTCTCCAGTTGTTGTTGGACTACAACTGCCATCATCCTTGGGTAGCAGGACTAGCGATGATGGGAACTGTATTCCAAAAAACAGCTGGAGACCCACGTTTGGGAAACCCTGAACTAGGCTCTTGCTACAAGCAGAGTGGAGCCCAGGAGAAGGGTCAGAAATGGTGTGTCTACACTTGACCCCACTGCAAATTGGCTGGGAGGGCAATGTTTTCAGGGGTGGAGATAGTGGATTCTGACCAACATCTTATTGGCTACTCCAGATTGACCAAAGCCCAGCAGGGCCGCTTCCTGGTGACCTTTACAAGGTCAAATACTTTTCTTTTTGGGGGGTGGGGTGGGCGGGGAGTGTTGGTATTTATAAGAGCACAAGCCTGGAGACCACGATGAAAGCGTTTGGGTGGGTGAAGGGTGTGCAGTTAGTTGTGCTCAGCACCAATGGTGCGTGTGTGTGAGAAACGGGTGGCCTTTGGAAGGGTTGGGGTTTCTTTTGCAGTTGGAGGGCATGCGCCAGATAAGAGCTGAGAGACAGAGACTTTACTTGGCTGGCCCCACCCCACCCAAAACTGATCAGAACCCCCTCCAGCCAGCCGGGCAATGAGGGATGGGAGAAAAGGCTGACGTGGGGTTTAATGGAGGGCATGCTTTGGTCCTGGTGGCATCTTCAGAAGGCCAGGGAACTCTCCAAGGTACTGGAGATTTCCCCACCCTCCCGCAACGTGGAAAAGAGAACAAAAAACACAGCTTTTCCCCGAAGCCGCGCTGATTTAACATGTCCTGTCAGTGCAAGGGTTCCTGCATGTGCCGCAGGACGGCTTTGTCCCCCGTAAGCCCCCCTAGATCTGTCCTTGGGGTTCTCCCAACCCTCTGAAGCAGAACTGGAGAGGGCATGGAGCCCGCGGGTGGGAGAGGGGGAGGAGACACATTGCACAGCCTGACCTCCCTGCACTGACAGGACGAGGGATTTGGATACTGCCCCGTCCTTCCTCTGTTTAGCCAGCTTGTGACTTGAAAGCAAAAGCTTCTCTGGCGCCACCACTCGCCGAAGGAGACATCTCTGAAGTCGTCTAACCTCTCAGGCCTCCGTGTCACCCTAGGACAAAACAATGCCAGCCTGCCCAATCCTAGAGATATAAATTAATAGAATTGTGGAGCTGGAAGAGATCCTGACGATCCACTGGTCCAATCTCTTGCAATGCAGGAATATGCAGCTGTCTTATACCGGAATTGAACCTGCAACCTTTGTGTTATCAGCATGACACTCTTACCTAGCTGAGCTATCCTGGCTATCTATCCAGGAGTTCTGCTCTTGCTTAGTCAACAGACAACGTACTTCCTGCTTGCTACGCTTCAAACCCCTGGGCCTTGCAGCACAGAATGTGTTGGACAGCCCTTAAGAACAAAGAGCATGGCTGCTGGATCAGGCCTAGCTATGTGGCTGGTGACTGGGGGCGGCCGCCAAGACCACATAACACCGGTCTTGAAAGACCTACATTGGCTCCCAGTACATTTCCGAGCACAATTCAAAGTGTTGGTGCTGACCTTTAAAGCCCTAAACAGCCTCATACCTGAAGGAGCGTCTCCTCCCCCATCGTTCTGCCCGGACACTGAGGTCCAGCGCCGAGGGCCTTCTGGTGGTTCCCTCACTGCGAGAAGCAAAGCTACAGGGAACCAGGCAGAGGGCCTTCTCGGTAGTGGCGCCCGCCCTATGGAACTCCCTCCCAGCAGATGTCAAAGAGATAAACAACTACCTGACATTCAGAAGACATCTTAAGGCAGCCCTGTTCAAGGAAGTTTTTAATGTGTGACATTTTAAATGTATTTTTAATCTTTGTTGGAAGCCACCCAGAGTGGCTGGAGAAACCCAGCCAGATGGGCGGGGTACAAATAAATTATTATTATTATTATTATTATTATTATTATTATTATTATTCTAGCATGTTGATATTGCAGCAGCCACCCAGATGCCTTGTGAGGAAGCTCTTGAGCAGGACTTGAGTGCAAGAGCCCTCTCCCCTATAGCGGTTTCCATCAACAGGCCTTTCAGAAATATTAGTGCCTCTGAACGTGAAGGCAGATCATAGCCAACACCTTCCAGATGCCCAGGACCCAACAGAGCACCGCGCACTAAGCCAGGGCAGCAGGGGATGGGGGTTCTGATCAGTTTTCAGCCTCGAACCCATCAGGTTAGAAAGAGAAACTGGCAAAACTAAATAAATAAACCAGGCCAAGAAACTGACCATTAAAAGGGAAAGGGGGGGAAAAGTTAACCCAAAGCACAACTTAACCCAAAGCAAAAGGATTATTTACCACTTTCACGAATGATGACTGAGGGAGGGGCATCAGTGACACCAGGAGAGGGGAGGGGGAGGGAAGAGAAGGAGGGAGGGGGAGAGAGGAGGTGAGTGCAACACGTCACAGCAAAGAAGGAAAAGGAGATGATTAAAAAAAGTAAAAGTAAAACAAAAACAAAAACCCAGCGTGTATTAAAACAACATTAATGTGGAATGAGACCAGAGAACCCGAGGTGAAGGGAGTCGGGTGGGTTGTCAAGGGGGGTGAGAGTCCATTATTGATTTGTGAAATCTCAATTAATCCACGTCTCACCAGGAGGAAGCTGTGAACACAAAGAGAAGATGCGCAGAGCACTGGGAAGGAGGAGGCTACCAGGGTGGGGGTGGGGGGAGAGGGAACCAACCCTGGGCCAGGATCGTGCCCGGTCAAATCCTGGCACCCAGCATTCCTGTGGGACTGAAACCACTTGCAAGGGATGGGGAGAGAACCCAGAGTGCTTAGTTGGCCAGAAAGCCGCCCCTTGTGCAGAGGCATGAATTAGCCATGCCCAGGAGGCCAGGCTTTCGAATCAAACCCCACGCTCCCTCTCCACCTCCCCGCAGTAACCCATAGGCCACTCTGCTTCAGGGGCCAAGAGGAGGAAAAGGGTTTCCCAGCAAATGAACCGGAAGCTGGAGGCAGGTTTCCAAAAAGGAGTATTTTCTGGCCATTGTATAAAAAATAAAGTTGGTGGGTGGCGCCAGGGTGTCAGCAGCCATTGTGAGCAGCAAGCACTGACAAGGGGGGTGCCTTTTGGAGGGGGCAGGAGGAGTTTGCCCTGCCCAACCGCCCTGTGGGGCAGGAGAGCCGATAGGAATAGGATGGCCTAGTCCCCTGGAAGCCTTGCTGCAGAGCCTCCAAGTGCGGGGCAGGCAGGGACTTACTGGTTCCGTCCTCCGTCACCATTCCCAAGCCTTCAGCTTTGTTTTGCCTCTCAAAGGCGTTGAGGTCCAGCACACTGTGGGAAAAGAGGAGAGAGGGTGAGCAGAGCCAGCTAACGGGAGGTGTCAGAAATAACTCACATGGCTCCAGCAAAGCTAACTCTTTATTCAAAGAAACAAGGCAGCCCAGGAGGCCAGACCTAGAGAGCACAGCAAGCCTTCGATACGATAATCTTTATTATCATTGTCCCATACAGAAACAACGAAATTGAAAATCTACACCAGACATTCAGAAACCAACAAGCCTGCTATCCCAGCCTGGTTAGCCCCCTAAAAACTCTGATACCCCATAATTAAACACAATATACTCCCATAGAGACTACCTTGCACTGCGTTTAAAACCAAAATCACATTTGGATAGAAACTTTCAGGGTTAGTCCTAGTCTTTATAACCCTGGACCTTCTTCCAGAAGGCAGAAGCTAAAAGAGATCATTTCTGGGGTGCCTACTATCCTGCACTACCTCTGCAGCTTTCTTATGGCACCTGGAAGCATAGATTTGATCCAAGGTGGGAAGAGTGCACCCAGTTATTCTCTCCGCAGTCTTTACAACCCTGGACAGCGTTGTTTTTCCCCTGACCGTGCAGCTCCCAAACCACACACACAGACCATAAGTTAATACACTCTCAACAGTACAATGGTAAAATGCCATCAACAGGTCCTTTGAGAGGTCCTCCAGTGGTTTTTCTGGAGGATTCTCAGAAAATATAACCTCTGCTGTGCTCTCTTCATCAGGTCTTTGCTGTTTTCTCCCAGGTTAGGTCATCTCTCAACTCCATTCCCAGAAATCGAAACACCGAGACCTGTTCCACACACTTCCCCTCAATAATAAGTGGCTGAATATTCAATTTACATTTCCTAAAGTCCACAATAATCTCTTTTGTTTTCTTTAAGTTAAGGAGTAAGTTGTTTTTCCTGCACCACTCCCCCAACTGCTCAACTTCCTTCCTATAGGCCGCCTCCCTCTCTCCAGCCGTGATTAAACCAACCACTGATGTATCATCTGCAAACTTAATGATCTTATTACTGGGGTATTTGGGGGCACAGTCAGCTGTATAGAGTATAGAGCTGTATAGACTGTATAGAGAGCCAGTGTGGTGTAGTGGTTAAGAGCGGTAGTCTCGTAATCTGGTGAACCGGGTTCGATTCCCCGCTCCTCCACATGCAGCTGCTGGGTGACCTTGGGCTAGTCACACTTCTCTGAAGTCTCTCAGCCCCACTCACCTCACAGAGTGTTTCTTGTGGGGGAGGAAGGGAAAGGAGAATGTTAGCCGCTTTGAGACTCCTTAGGGGAGTGATAAAGCGGGATATCAAATCCAAACTCCTCCTCCTCCTCTTCTTCTTCTTCTATATAAAAGCTTTCCTGGCAGAAAAATGAGGCAGTTGTGGGGATTGAAGGTCCCTGCCTTCCCATAACTCCCTAAGCCACCTCCTCCGATTCCTTCCGAAACAATCTGAGGCTTCGTTGTCTTGCCTGTCTTTGCTCTGCCCTCTTCATCCCTCTTCTGGTCCTAGGAGACTAAACCCCGTTATACCTCCTCCTCCCGGTCTTCTCCCTCTGACTACTCATTGTCATCCCACCACCACTCGCTGGGCTCTGAGCCTTCCTCCCTTCGGTGTTTCCCAGCTGGTGCCTCCTTCTACTTCCTCTGCCTCCAGCCAGTCCATGACTGGAGAGCAGAAAAAGTCTGACGGCCAAAAGACAGTAACTGCAGCAACAGCTGGAACGGCATCGTCACAGGATTCTGGCTACAGCGCAAATGCATTGCAGTTTCAAAGTTCTGGGTCAGACTATATGTGGCTCAGCAGCTACCAGCAAGCCTGTCATGTTCAGAACCGTATGTGCGTGGTGTCTCATTATTTTTAAACTATTGATTTAGCTAAGAAACAAATGAAAACATTCTCATATTTCTTTAGTTTCTTTGCAACTCAGGCTTGCAGGTTGAAGGCTCTGACAGGCAAAAAATATGACTTTGATAATATATAGTACTGCATTACCTCTTATGAGAATAAATCTAGCCACAGTAACTGTTCCATTGACCCATGGCAATTCTCAGAGAGACTCTTTAATATACTTTACCTTACATTGTACACTAGCACAACACTTGCGCTGTGAATCTGTTTTCTGTTAATGTTTCACTATGGTTATTACCTATGTGTTTTGAAAACCCTCAGGCTTGTAGGCTAGTTCCAGACAGTACTTTGAAACACGGTTCCATTCGCTGGACACTGACGCCTACAATTCTAACATTTTGCCATCTGCCGAAAACGTTCCAGCTTTGCCAAGCCTTCTTTAGAAAATTAATTTGATCCAGCGTTAGCCGCTTCTTCTGGGTTTTATAACCTCCTGCAGTTTTAATGCATTTACAGGGCCGTGGTATTTTCTTACAGGGTTTTACGGTTTGGAAGCACTCAAATAAATAAAAAACAGAAGCATAAAAAAGGTAAAAAGAAGAACAAAATGCTTCTACACACCTGCATGTCTGCATCAGGGCCTGGAGGCTCAGGAAGAATCCCACCTCGTGTTTCTCCTTCAGATAATCCAGCATTTTCTGAGGACAGGGAGAAAGTCAGCATGGGGAGGGGAAGAGAAGGCCGGCTTCTGACTCTTCCGAGCACAAAACTACATGTTAAAGACGTTGCATTAGATGTGTATTCACAGCAGGTGTGTGTTTTTAATGGCAGCCATTAAAGAGAGCCAAATCCAGGCCAGGAACCCTTTACATCCACACCACGATCCCAACAACAACAAAACCCCTTCCCAAAATAGGAGCAGCTCAATTCTTACCAAACTAAACCTCCCAGCGGTGCCAGTTTGGCCCTGCGACCGTGGGTGCCCGGGGCTGTGGGTGTCATGGTGCATGCATGGCCCTGGCACTGAAATTTGTGGGTGCCCGGCCCCTTCATGGGGAATTTTGTGGGTGCCCAGGGCCCCAGGGAGTCGCCACCTAAGAAATCTCTGGAGGCATATTGTGCTCTTGGAGGCTTTAGTTTGGCCAAAATCGAGCATGTACGGTACTTTCAGTAAAGGGTAAAGGTAAAGGTAAAGGGACCCCTGACCATTAGGTCCAGTCGTGACTGACTCTGGGGTTGTGGTGCTCATCTCGCTTTATTGGCCGAGGGAGCCGGCATGACTAAGCCGCTTCTGGCGAACCAGAGCAGCACACGGAAACGCCGTTTACCTTCCCACCGGAGCGGTACCTATTTATCTACTTGCACTTTGACGTGCTTTTGAACTGCTAGGTTGGCAGGAGCAGGGACCGAGCAACGGGAGCTCACCCCGTTGCGGGGATTTGAACCGCCGACCTTCTGATCGGCAAGTCCTAGGCTCTGTGGTTTAACCCACAGCGCCACCCGCGTCCCTTCACCTTCCCAGGTAGATGAGCCTTATTTGCCTCTCACTTCCGCACATGCAGGAACTGCCTTCTTGACCGCTGTACTATCGGTCTTGTCCATTCAATCCACTGGAGCCTGTCTTCGCATGCAGGGGAAGTCCCTGACTCATTGTGGACCTGAGACCCATTGGCAAGTCCTCCTAGGCTCTGTGGTTTAACCCAAAGCACCACCCGCACCCCCTATGTACTTTCAGAGTTAATGCTAAATACATTACTTCTGGTAAATGAGCCACGGTAGCCGCTGGAGGGCTGTGAAAATTTGTGTCCCAGGCTTTTTAGACTTGTCGACCTATGAACTATCTGAAACCAAAGGGGCGCTTTGGTTTCCAGATGTCATATGCATTGGCAATATTTTCAGTTCTCCTGCCTCACTACAGTGGACCCTCTGGATACGAATTTAATTCGTTCTGGGGGTCCGTGCACACCCTGAAAAATCCGCACCCAGAGGCGCCGCTTCTGCGTATGCATGCGGCATGATAGTGTGCTTCTGTGCATGTGCGCAGAGCGCTTCTACGCATGCGCGAGCGGTGAAACCTGGAAGTATACTTCCGGGTTTGCAGGTTTCGCAACCCGAAGTTTATGTTACTCAAGCGTAACGTAACCCGAGGGTCTACTGTATTTAGTGCAAATTCGGAAAAAACAACAACCCGCAGAAAACCCCGATTGACATTTGCCCCGATCCAGCGGTAAAGGGTGGGTTTGCCAGGGAGGGAAAGTGGTGGGGCAAGTGGAAGTGTGGATGGGCATCCAGTTCAAAGCATGTTTCTATATGGAGTAAGAAATGGGAGATGAGTAAAGGAGGAGTAAGTGACGAGTAAGCCTTACAATAAGTTAATATCAACTTAAACAATAAAAATGGCTAAAAAAGCAGTTTCATAAAAGAGATCTACCTTTAATTACAAAAGCCATGAGGTAGTGGTTAAATATACAACTTAGCACATCGCACCAGTATGCAGCAATTTAAACTCAAATCAGCGGCAAAGTTCATAGGCAGGGAATGAATCACTTGCCAGGAAGCCTTGCGTCTCCCTCCCCTGGTCTTCCTACCTGCTGCACTTCCTCATTGCCGCCATTCAGGATGGAGATGCCCAGCTTCAGGGTAGAAGACACCATAGCGCCAGGCTCCCCTGCAGAGACAGGGAAATGATTTATTACACTGGCATCTGTGCAGAAGGGAAAGGGAATTCCAATGCCTGCCGGAGGGGCTACAACTCCCATCCTGGCTACTGGCCACGCTGCCTGGGGCTGATGGGACTTGGAGTCTGGCAACATCTGGAGGTTCCCATCCCTGCTATGTACCTTGGGGCTCAGGCGCATGAAGGAGACCTCCTCTCCTTGTCTGCATCAGCCCATGCTCTAAGATCTATGTTCTGAACTACCGTATTTTTCCGTGTATAAGACGAGGTTTTTTACCCAGTTTTTTAGGTTTTAAAACGTGGCTCGTCTTATCCATGGAATACAGCAATTAAATATATAAACAAATGCGGTACTTGCACTACCAGTCGCAGCTCCTGGCAGTGGCGTGCTGCAGGGCTTCCGTAGTCTGCTTGCCTCCTCCCACTCAGACCACCCTACAGCTGGGAGGGAGTCTGTAGGCGGTCCATTTTTTGCGTGTGGTGTCTTCGCATGGCTCCATTCGTGCGCAGGCAGTGCAACGTTACACAGGAGGAGTGTGGCGATCAAAGTAATATTCCCCCCCCTGCGCCTTTCACATCAGTGAAACATCATGCCTTGCGCTCCTGCTGTGTAATGTTGTGCTGCCCGCAAACAAATGGAGCCGTGCAAAGATGCCACACAGAAAAAACGGATCGCAGAAACCACCTATCAACTGCCCGATCACTGCCAGCGGCTGCCAATCACATTCCCGATTGCTGCAACAAGAGCATCTGTCTACTGCCTGCCGCAGCGGCAATTGAGAAGATGATTGGCAGCTGATGGTGGTGAACGGCCAGCTGATAGGTAGTTTCTAAAATGCAAGCGGTTGTGTGCTACATGCTGGCGGTGAGAGATTTTCACACACACGGCCCAGCAATCAACCGGCCAATTGCCGCTTACAATCTCGGGCTCGCGCTTCGTTCCTGTAGGTGAGCTATTTTCACACACACCCCATAGGTAAAGGTAAAGGGACCCCTGACTGTTAGGTCTAGTCGTGACCGACTCTGGGGTTGCAGTGCTCATTTCGCTTTACTGGCTGAGGGAGCTAGCGTACAGCTTCCGGGTCATGTGGCCAGCATGACTAAACCACTTCTGGCGAACCAGAGCAGTGCACAGAAACACCGTTTACCTTCCCGCCGGAGCGGTACCTATTTAACTACTTGCACTTTGACGTGCTTTTGAACTGCTAGGTTGGCAGGAGCTGGGACCGAACAACGGGAGCTCACCCCGTCGCAGGAATTCGAACCGCCGAACTTCTGATCGGCAAGTCCTAGGCTCTGTGGTTTAACCCACAGCGCCACCTGCGTCCTTCACCCCCCATAACCCCCCAAAAGCTCCTTTTCTAAATTTTGAGGCCCCCAAAATAGGGGTCGTCTACTACATAGGGGCATCTTATAGACAGAAAAGTACGGTATTTGATATGGCAGCCTAGGAACTCCAAATGTTTCTGGTTCTGTACTGTCTGTGTCCACAGGATTGCCAGCATGGAATCTGAACAGGATCTTAGGAGCCACAGCGGGTTTCTAGCTGGGCCTTGTAGCTGAAGAATGGGAGGAAAGCTTCCTCATCCCCACCAACCTCATCCAAGGCCTCCCAACATGGGAAAGCTGAACCCTGCCAAGGGATCCAGGGGGAGGGTGGAGAGGAAAAAGGGCCGCTTCTGACCTTTGCAGGCGCTAATCATCTGCAGAACCATCTCGGCCGCCCCGCGGTTGTGCAGGCGGGATTGCTGATAAAGGAGCCTCTGCTTCTCCATCTCCTTTTCCTGCAAGGAGGCAAGACAGTGTGAACCGAGGCAGGGCTGTCTTAAGCATAGGCGGTGCTGGGGTGCAAAGATCCACCCGGCACCCCCCCCCCAGGTTGCCCAGTCCCAGGCGTGCAGGAGGGAGAAGCTGGCCAGCCGCCTCAGCATCTTGCTGGCTTGGTCGCCCCCAAACTCGCGATGCAGATGGGTGGGTTCTTCCCCGGACTCAACTCTCAGGCCCCAGACTCTTGGCCTGGCGCCCCTGAGAGCCCGGCGCCTGGGTGCCCCACACCCCTAGCACCTATGGGTAAGACGGCCCTGAACTGAAGGCTGGAGGTCAGTGTCAATCATCATTTCCTTGAGGGCTGCCTACACTTCTCCCTCTTAGTTAGGAAAGCCGCTTCTTGCACCACCAGGGCTGCTGTGCAAAGGAGGGCAGGCTGGAGGGCCGGCCACATGGCTCCAGATGGAGAATCCATGTCTCTGGGCCTGGGAGGTGACCCGATCTGGCGCCACCAGCTGATATAAAGCTTTCAGAGTGGCTCCTTTCGTTCCCCAAGCAAGGTCACTGGTGTTCACCTCCTAGGCCTAAATGCCCATCACAGCCAGCCTTGTTTGGAAGCCAATGAGCGTTGGTGCACTGGCCAGTTTTTGGAACGGTATGCACAACCGCTGAGTTGATCCCCAGATTAACAGCTTGGTCCTGACCGCAGCCTTCAATTTTAGCACTGTTTCTCTGCCTTCTTTCTCAAGGTACCTCACCCACTCCAGGGTGGACCAGGAAGGTATATATTGGAACAGTGAACATACAATTGTCCTACTAACCCAAGATGGCAACTGCAGGTGTACGTTTGCTCAATCAAGTCTCCCTTGGTACCTGCAGCATCTCCTCCTCGTGTCTCCTCCCCCCACCCCGCCCCACATTGCAATTAGGTCGAAATAACAAAGCACACTGCGATTTTGTAAATGAAACAATCTTTTAAAGGCCAACAGGTCACAGGAGAATGGTCGACTGATGGGAAGTTGTATAACCTCCCCGCAAACAAATCGTGAAAGGTGTTCAGGGAAGAGCAGGCATTGTATAACCTCTGCACAAGCTTTTCGTGCAAACAAATCGGAGTGAATAATGGTCAGTCAACAGGTTGCCTGAAAGTTGCCCAAGACTTTGCAAACGTACACCCAAGTTTCTGGAGGTTTGAGAACGAGTGGGCAAATGTTTGCTGAAAGTTCAGAAACCTCTTGGGGCGGCTGGGTGCGCAGGGGGGGGGTCCTTTACCTCGAAGGGAACCTCGGCCTCTTCCCCTTCTTCGCCATTTTCTTCACCTTCTTCTCCTTCGTTGATGTGGCAACTCTGGAGTCCAGGGGACCAAAGGATAAGAGGGATGAGCGTGTAAACAAAAAACACCGTCACACATCGGAACTAGCGACAGAACCTCACAGCTCTTTGCGGCTTGCTCAAGAGCAGGCACGTCCAACAGGTAGATCGTGATCTACCAGTAGATCACTGAACATCTGTGGTAGATCACTGGTAGATCGCTGGCTCCCCCCAAAAAAGCTCTACCACAAAACAGGGTTTCTTCTCCTAAAAAAAGCTCAAAAACTTTGACCTGACCCCCCCAAAGGGGTAGATCACTGCCAGTTTTTAACTCTGTGAGTAGATCACAGTCTCTTGGGAGTTGGCCACCCCTGCTATAGAGTCAGCTCTTGATTCAATAAACCTACTACCCCCTAGCCAGCTGCTGTGGGCCTCTCAGAGAGGCAAACACAGCTCACTAACCTCCATTTGTCCACAGGGGGACTTGGCGAAAGTCATCTCTGAGTAACACGCTGGCGTTTACTGATACTAGCACAGCAACCTTCCCCAACCCGGTGCCCTCCAAATGTTTGGGGCCACAAGTCACGTCAGTCCCAGCCAGCAAGCGCTCTTACATTTTCTCCCACATTTTCTGCATGCCCAGATCACATGTTAAAGGCGCAGGAGTAGAATCAATAAAAAGGAGTGGCAAACAGTGCGACAAGCTTCAGTCCTCCTTCTGAGGCCTCTAACGTGCCGCACAATTAAAACACACAATTTTCGACAGTCATGGCTTCCCCCTCAAAGAATCCTGGGAATTGTAGTTTGTTAAGGGTGTTGGAAACTCCTATTCCCCTTACAGAGGTACAATTCCCAGGCAGATTTAACCATCGACCCCTCTTCCCAGGGAACTATGGGAATTGCAGTTCTGTGAGGGAAACAGGGGGCCTGCCACAGCTCCCAGAATTCTTCCAGGAATTTGGGCTGTTTAAAGTGGTGTAATAGCACTTTAACTGAATGGTGTGGCTGTGGTCCGGGAACGATCACGCATTACATCTTTCTTTCTTTCTTTCTTTTGGAGAAAAAACAGATTAAAATGGCTGAAAATGGTAACCCAGGGCATATTAGCCTGTCTCTCACCTTCGCCATGATGTCCGCATATGCCATATACAGATAGTCTTCGTCCAGTTTGCTGAAACAAAACAGAGGAGGCTCAGGTTCTACGTGCTGAAACCAGCCTCTCCATAATTCTTGCTCCCAGTATTTATTTATTTTATTGTGCTTTTTAATAATAATAATAATAATAATAATAATAATAATAATATTGCAGACAAAGAAGAGCACCTCCCAGTTACTAACCCAAAAGCATAATGCAAAGATGTGACTCACATTATAAACTTAAGGGGAATGATGAACATGGTCCCCACAGCATAATTAGACTGCCCACCTTTCGACAAACTTGTTTCCATGCAACAGATTTGCTCTTATTCGGACATAGGCATTATTCCTGCATTCCAAATTCTAAAGAACCATTCTTTGTTTTTCTTTTTTTGGGGTGGTGGTATAATCTTTTTTATTGAGTTTTAATTAATAACATTTAAATTCAAACATTAAACATCATCATCATCATTTATGATTCGCTGAATCCTTAGACTCCCCTCCACCCTTCCACGGTTACCATTTTCAATCTTTTTCAACCATTTCCTCTATTTTTCTTAAATCATCCATTTTTACCTTAGCATTACTCAAATCCTGCCAAAGGTTTTAGTTGTTTACAGTGTTCTCTTAAGTACATTGTGAATTTTCCCCGTTCCTTCTTAAAGTTTCTCTTCTAAAGAACCATTCTGACCGGGCGTGGTGGAGAGAGATCCTTTTTTTTGTGGAGGGATCAATGTCTCCTAGCTACAATAGCTACGCTCTGCCTCCACAGATGGAGACAGGAATGATTCTGAATACTAGTTGCTGGAAGCCACAGAAAGAGTGTGTGTTCCTGTCTCGGGTCCCGTTTGCCAGCTGCTGACAGGCATCTGGTTGGCAGCTGTGAGAACAGGATCCTGGACTTAGATGGGCCATTGGCCTGATCCAGCAGGATCTTCTGATGTTCTTAATGCTCTGCCTCAATATAAATAAGTTGGAGTTCTTGTTAAATGCACAGAAAAGCGTTTGGAGTTCTTGGAAAATGCACAGAAAAGCTCAAAATACACGTTGATTTACCCACACTTAGCTGTTATCTCTGAGAAAATAACAGGATATATTAATACAAATTCTTCAAACTTGCACGACCCCTTAAAAATTAGCTGATGAAGGTGGAACAGGGCCCTGTCCTGGTTTCTGATCCATAATTGACTTCTGACTTCTGCTCAACGATTGAAACTAACACCTTCGCGTCGAATCTGACTATGGACTAATATGAACTTATCTCTGCTCATAATCTCTTATCTCTAATTCTGTAACAAATTATTGTGTTATACATATCCTTATGAGTTTGAGTTTGTAATCTCTGTCTGAGTTTGTAATCTCTATTTGAGTTTGTAATCCTTGTCAGAACACATACTTTTGAATGGATTAGTTTTTGTTACAATTGACTATTGATTTGCGAGTAAGGACCACTCCCACTACTGAAACTTACCGTATTTTTTGCTCTATAAGACTCACTTTTTCCCTCCTTAAAAGTAAGGGGAAATGTGTGTGCGTCTTATGGAGCGAATGCAGGCTGTGCAGCTATCCCAGAAGCCAGAACAGCAAGAGGGATCGCTGCTTTCACTGCGCAGTGATCCCTCTTGCTGTTCTGGCTTCTGAGATTCAGAATATTTTTTTTCTTGTTTTCTTCCTCCAAAAACTAGGTGCGTCTTGTGGTCTGGTGCGTCTTATAGAGCGAAAAATACGGTATATTGGCCTGAGTTCTTGGTGTGCTTTTTTTCTGGCTCAATATAAGGCAGCTTCCAGTGTCCCTAGCCTCTTTATCCCGTGCCCAGCGAAAAAGTCCAACCTGGCTCCGATCCCACACATGCACCCTGCCTGCAACTCACCTCTTCTCGGTCAGCGCTGTCCTGCTGAAATGCAGGATGAGCTGATGCAAAGGGTCTGGTTTCTTTTCAGCCTCCTCTTCTTCTTCCTCCTCCTCCTCCCCTGGTTTCTACATCCCACCCCCCCAGCAAGAACAAAAGGGAAACAGCGTTAGAGGTTAATAATAACAATAACAATAACAATAATAATAATTTATTTATACCCCGCCCATCTGGCTGGGTTTTCCCAGCCACTCTGGGAGGCTTCCAACAGAGTATTAAAATACAGTACATTGGTACCTCAGGTTAAGTACTTAATTCGGTCCGGAGGTCCGTACTTAACCTGAAACTGTTCTTAACCTGAAGCACCACTTTCGCTAATGGGGCCGCCTGCTGCCGCGATGCTGCCGGAGCACAATTTCTGTTCTCATCCTGAAGCAAAGTTCTTAACCACAGCACTATTTCTGGGTTAGCAGAGTCTGTAATCTGAAGCGTATGTAACCTGAGGTACCACTGTAGTCTGTTAAACATTAAAAGGTTCCCTAAACAGGGCTGCCTTCAGATGTCTTCTAAAAGTCTGGTAGTTGTTCTTCTCTTTGACATCTGGTGGGAGGGCGTTCCACAGGACGGGTGCCACTACCAAGAAGGCCCTCTGCCTGGTACCCTGTAACTTGGCTTCTCGCAGCGAGGGAACCGCCAGAAGGCCCTCGGAGTTGGACCTCGGTGTCCGGGCAGAACGATGGGGGTGGAGACGCTCCTTCAGGTATACTGGGCCTTTGAGGCCATTTAGGGCTTTAAAGGTCAGCACAGCCACTTGGAATTGTGCTCAGAGCAGCTGTCCCCTGGAGTGTATGGGATTCCTGATGCTATGATAGGGATGGGGGGAAGAAAACCATAGAAGAGCCTCTTCCTGGGAGACGCCAGAAAAGGAAAGTCCCCAGGGCATAGTGCCTGGTGTGCATTTTTAGATATATATCGGTTGGAAACATGGGAGGACTAGAAAACTCAGTGGCTCATTCCACACCCAGCTCAGCACCTCTCTTGTTCTCCCTCTCAGGAAGGGCATTCCAGACCCAATGATGTCTCTTCCATTCCTGCTATTAAACCAAAGCCAGAACACTGCTCTTTGCTGCCAACGAGTCAGGCATATAGAGCACTTCCACCACAGAGCTGCCAAGTGGTACATGCCCCCCTGCGTGTCTGCAGGTGTGCACGCACGCACACACGGCATCCAGCTTTCCATTTAATGCTAGAACTTCAGGCTGCACATAGCATTTGGTTCCCATTCTTTCCCCAGGACTCACAGACAGATCGTCAATCATCCTGTCTTCAAAGGGGTGCTCTTCGGTAAGGATCCAGGACAGCTTGTAGCTCTCCAAGTACATGTTGCAAGCCCGGTGCCTGGAAAGCAGATGGGGGCAGGTCAGCCATTAGCCCAGCTCTGCCCTGCCTGCTTCACGTAGCGAAGAGGTGCGCAGGAGCGGGGTACCATGCTTGCGAGATCACTTTGCCCCATACATGCCCCCTTGACTACTTTATGTTAGGATTTTTATCCATCCATGCTGCTCCAGCAGTAGCACTATGTTTTGTGCATATCATGTGAGTGTCTGAGAGAGGATGAGACAGGAAGTCACAGTACTGTTGGAAGTTGGTTTCACATCTGAAAGTGCTGCTTTTCTGTACTGGTGCTCAGAGAGCACAGACATGCTGATGGATTCTCTGTATCCAGGTAAAGGTAAAGGGACCCCCTGACCATTAGGTCCAGTCGTGGCCGAGTCTGGGGTTGCGGCGCTCATCTCGCTTTATTGGCTGAGGAAGCCGGCGTACAGCTTCCGGGTCATGTGGCCAGCATGACTAAGCCGCCTCTGGCGAACCAGAGCAGCGCACGGAAATGCCGTTTACCTTCCCGCCAGAGTGGTACCTATTTATCTACTTGCACTTTGACGTGCTTTCGAACTGCTAGGTTGGCAGGAGCAGAGACCGAGCAAAGGGAGCTCACCCCGTCGCGGGAATCGAACCGCCGACCTTCCGATCAGAAAGCCCTAGGCTCTGTGGTTTAACCCACAGCGCCTCCCGCGTCCCCTCTCTGTATATATAGACTGTAAATAAAGTAGTTTTAGAACTACGATTGACTCTTTCTTCTGCTATGATATGCCAGAAGACGAGTGTGGTCCTCTCAGGAGAGAAGGGTCGCTTATCACCAGTCTCTCTGGACTGAGGGAGATTTACAGCCAGGGAGGACCACCGGAAAGACGCCCTGATGACTTGGGAAGTTTCCAACACTTTAATCTGGGGAACAGGAGCTGCTACAGGTGCCACATAACACCCCTGCCACACTTGTAAGAAATCAATCTTTTGATATGGCAGTCCCCACACTTTGGAACTCCCTGCCTCTTGACATTGGGTAGGTACTTTCACTGTACTCCTTTCGGTGCCCGCTAAAAACATTTTTTTGTTTAGGCAAGCCTATCCAGGCATGTAGAATGCTGACATGGGATAGCTCAGTCAGTAGAGAATGAGACTCTCAACCTCAGGGCCATGGGTTCGAGCCCCATGTTGGGCAAAGACAGGACCCTATTGAGCCTTTCAAACTCTACGTGGGTTTTCTAATTCTACGTGGGTTTTCAGCTTATCGTTGATTTTAATTATTATTTTTTTAAATTTTTCAAACGGCTGTTTTCAATTGTTTTTCTTTTACTGGTGACGGTCCTCCTCTTTTCGTAAACTGCTTTGAGGTTTTATTGCAACGCAGCGGCATATAAATCTTATGGAATAAATAAATAATTCCCTCCCCACCCCATAGCTGAGCCAGCTAGCGGTCCCAGTAATTAAATAAATAAACAATTTTTTATTTATACCCCACCCTTCGTGGTTCAGAAAACCGGGCTCAGGGCGGCTAACAACAAATTTAAAACACTTAATTGATGCAACAAAAAACAGCTTAAAAGACAGTATAAAACGTGAATAACAATAAATTCAGAATTCAAACATCAATTTAGGGGGAAAATCCATCCTATAAACATTAGATCACCAGGGCTAGCTGGCTAAATTAGTCCTATTTGGGCCAGCGAGGAGACCAGGGGAGAATTAGCTGTGGGATCCCAGAGCGGGTAAATTTCATAAAAAGGGGAAAGGGAGGGAAGGAAGGGGAATAAAAGATCAGGCTAAGTTCAGATTGAAAGCCAGGCGGAATAGCTCTGTCTTACAGGCCCTATGGAAGGACTTTAATCTTGCAGGGCCTTGGTCTCGTGGGACAGAGCATTCCACCAGGTCGGAGCCATCACTGAGAAGGCCCTGGCCCTGGTGGAGGATAATCTGACTTCCTTAGGGCCCGGGGCTTCTAAACTATGAACCCACAGCTGGGATGCCAGAGGGTTTGCGTGGATCGAGCCAAATACAACTCAACAAGCTGGAGCTCAAAACCTCCCCTCATCACCTCAACTCACCTGGGCAGGTTGTAGAGGGGCGTCATGCGGAAGCAGGCCACCACGGCTCGCCGCCGTTGCTTGGAGAGCAGCTTGTGCCACACGGCCTTCTTTGACTTGTAAGGATGCTCCGTCTGTGGGGTGTGTACAAATCTCACTGGGGGTGGAGGGCCGGGAGACTCCTCCAATCATTTCCCACCTGCTTTCCCCTCTCCCTTTCCCAGCACGCTTCCTCCCTCTGACCCCTTGTCTCTGAGGGATCTCATGAAGGTGGCTGGAGGCTTCAGGGCAGAACATCGTTTGCGCGTGTCTACCAGGGCACAGGAGCTGTAGCTCAGCGCCAGAACACCTGTGCTGCCTGCAGAAGGTCCCAGCTTCAATTTCTGGGCATCTCTAGGTAGGGCTGGGGAGGTCCCATGCCTGAAACCTGGGACAGCCACTGCAGCTCAGTGTAGATGTTACCGAGCTGGATAGATTCAGAGTGAGGCAGCTTTCTATACTCCTGTTCCACCCATGTCAGATCTGAGGAGGGGATTCCAAGTGCACGAGAGTTAACTAAAGGTAAAGGTAAAGGGACCTCTGACCATTAGGTCCAGTCATGGCCGACTCTGGGGTTGCGGCGCTCATCTCGCTTTACTGGCCGAGGGAGCCGGTGTACAGCTTCCGAGTCGTGTGGCCAGCATGACTAAGCCGCTTCTGGCGAACCAGAGCAGCGCACGGAAACGCCGTTTACTTTCCCGCTGGAGCGGTATCTATTTATCTACTTGCACTTTGACGTGCTTTCAAACTGCTAGGTTGGCAGGAGCAGGGACCGAGCAACAGGAGCTCACCCCGTCACGGGGATTCGAACTGCCGACCTTCTGATCGGCAAGTCCTAGGCTCTGTGGTTTAACCCCCAGCGCCACCCGCGTCCCTACTAGAGTTAACTAGACAGCCCCAAAGGGAACTGAACTGCCTTCTGCAGCTATCCTTTCAAGCTGTAGATGTTTTAATGAACTCCTCTGTAGGGAGCTCTCCGTTTAACAAAACAGGAGAAGTAATGGCAACCCGTTAAAAGCTGAAGGCCCTTACCCAGGTGAGCCACTTAACAGTTGCCTAGATCACTTGCTGGTTAAATCTGGCCACATTCTTCTGCCTGCTAAACCCAGCTTTCTCTGCCTGTACCTGCTCCAGGTGGTAGAGCACAGCCGAAACCTCCTGAACCCGTTTGACAATCTTCTCCGGATTGTTGCAGTCCTCGGCTTTGCCAGACATCTCCTTGTAAAGGGCCATCTGCCAGCGCATGGACGAGGAGTTCTCACACTGCAAGGGGGGGGGGAAAGAAGATGGGAGTCACTGCAGTTGAGAAAGACGGGCGCCCCTCATTCAGCATAAGGAGGCCTGACTTGCTCCCTCACTAGTCTGGGAGGTGTATTTTGAACTTGCAAAGATCTCATTCCTCAAGCATCCTTGTGACACTCACCTTGCCCTGGAGGTGCAGGTTGTTGTTCAGGAATTCGCGTACCTCCTCATCAGTGTCTTTCTGTAGAGAGATTGAAAGGAAGAGGAGGCCTTCATATGAGCAAACGAGAGTGGCAACAGTCACGCCTGATATTATTTGTCAACAAGTACCTGTGATCTGTACTGTGCACACATGCTTATGGTACTATATTATTGTACTATATTGATGATGATGATGACTGACTACATTTATTTGTCAACCTTTCGTCCAAATAAGAGAGTTATTCTTGCCTGCTGCCCGGTTGGCACTGACCCAAGACAGAGCCTTCTTGGTGGTGGCTCCCTGTCTGTGGAATGCTGCCCCAGGTGAAGTACAGCTGCCTCCCTCAATACAGAAGAAAGCTAAAAACATTCCTGCTTACCCAGGCATTTAATAGCTGAGAGATACGGGCCACGGCAACCACGAAATTAATAACTGTGAGGGTATGTGATTGTTTTTAAATGCTTCTTGATGTTCTAAATGTGTCTGAATGTTTTTTGATGTTTTCAAGTACAGTGGTACCTCTGGTTTCGAACTTAATTCATTCTGGAGGTCCGTTCTTAAGCTGAAACCGTTCTTATCCTGAGGCGCGCTTGCACTAATAGGGCCTCCCGCTGCACGCTTGCGCCTCTGCCACATGATTTCCGTTTGCCTCCTGGGGCAAAGTTTGCAACCAGGAGCAGCTGCTTCCGTGTTAGCAGAGCTCGTAACCTGAAGCATTCGTAACCTGAAGCGTTCGTAATCAGAGATACCACTGTATGCTTTTATTCAATTTTAAATTGTACTTTAAAAAATATTTTTGCTGTTTGCCACCCTGGGCTCCCTTGGGATGAAGGGTGGGATGCAATTTGGAAACTAATACAGTGGACGCTCGGGTTGCGAACGTGATCCGTGCGGGATGCACGTTCACAAACTGCAGCATTCGCAACCCACGTCTACACACACGAGGGTTGTGATTCAGCGCTTCTGCGCATGTGCGACCGCTGAAACCCGGAAGTAACCTGTTCCGGTACTTCTGGGTTTTGGCAGTCCGTAACCCGAAAAAGGGACGTGGGTGGCGCTGTGGGTTAAACCACAGAGCCTAGGACTTGCCAATCAGGAGGTCGGCGGTTCAAATCCCCGCGACGGGATAAGCTCCCGTTGCTCTGTCCCTGCTCCTGCCAACCTAGCAGTTTGAAAGCAGGTTAAAGTGCAAGTAGATAAATAGGTACCGCTCCAGCGGGAAGGTAAACGGTGTTTCTGTGCGCTGCTCTGGTTCGCCAGAAGCGGCTTAGTCATGCTGGCCACATGACCCGGAAGCTGTACACCGGCTCCCTCGGCCAATAAAGCGAGATGAGTGCTGCAACCCCACAGTCGGCCACGTCTGGACCTAATGGTCAGGAGTCCCCTTTACCTTTACTAACCCGAAAAAACGCAACCTGAAGCAGCTGTAAGCCGAGATATGACTGTATACTCGTATTTCATTATAATTTTTTTAAAGTATTCTAAGTCCTCTTCCTCCAGCAGTGGCAAGAAAGCTGACCATTGACCCCATTAGCATTGGGAGACTTGGAACCCCCACTTCCAAACCTCCCTGTGTGAAAGAGGCAGATAATTATTCCCATGCCCCCCCCCCAACCTTCTCACCAGGGCATAGCGTATCTTGGCCAAGTTGATCAGCTCCTGGTCCGTGGGGGAGCACATGTTCAGGCCAATGGGGAGCATCTTCTTGAGCGTGGCCACGATGAGCGATGTCTGCACGGAATAGCGGTCCCCCCGCCTCTTCTTCTTGGTCCGCTCCTGGTCTGAGCCACCCGACTGGGAGGAAGGTTAGGAGAGGGAGACAAGGGGAGTTAACACTGTGCGGGGAGTTGTGGCAGGGGGACCGGCCACTCGGGCTATCCTACGGCATGCCAAGAGATCAGCTGGGGAAAAGCTTAACGGCCAAGCGCCGCTCTGAGGATTCAGTGAGGTTTGGGGCGCGGGGGTGGGAGGTGGGGTCTAAAGGCTCCCCCCGTGGGAGAATGACGGGCGAGTGTTTTCCTTCGCAAGAAGAGAAGAGGAAGAAGAACCCCCAGCAATGGCCAACACTGTTCCTCGCACAAAGTAGACGTCCTTTGAGGTCTGCTCCAAATGTAGGAAGGTCTTTATTACACGGAATATTCAAAAGGGGGCAAAGGGAAAATATGCCCATTGTTACTTCTGAGGTGTTCTGCCAGGGGCGCATGGATCAAAAACCCGCAAGCATGCACCGGCTTCTTGATCCATAAACTGGAGACGAAATAAAAGAAAATGCTCACACCAAGGGACTTCAGAAGCAGCAATGCACGTGGTTTTCACCCTACATGAGAGCCGTCCTCATGTACGGAAAACGTCCTGTACGAATCAGCCTTATGGGGATGAGAAGGAGGCACTGGGGTGTGAAGTGAGGAGTGGGGTGGGAGTCTGGGATCCAGCGCATGGCAGTGTAGACTGGGAGGAGGGCTGAGAGTTGGGTAGCGTGGAAGAGATCCAGCAATGTGTAATTAGAGGCACAGAAGAGGCTCAGTGGGAGGGCTTTGAAGGGATCTAACAAGTACCAGAAGAGAACGGTGCAAGCGACCGGGTCGCACACAGCTTTCCCAAACCTCGTGCCCTTCGGATGTTTTGGACTACAACTCCCATCAGCCCCGGAACAGGGATGATGGGAGTTGCAGTCCAAAAGGCTGGGGAAGGCTGGTCTCAGGTGTATAAGGCAAAGACGGCCTAGTAAACAGGAGACAGATTCTGGAATCTCACTGATGAAGGCAGGCAGGTTTGGAGATGAGTGGGGAGAAGGACTGAACTTGCATGAAATGGAGCAGCCGCCATCCCCGACCCCTGGAAAGGTAACGTGAACCAAGAAACCTTTGTCTCCTTCCCCGGCATGCCTTTGTCCTCCTACATTCCGCTGTGCAAAAGAGCCTTTCTAACCTCTACACATAACCGCACACAGAGACACACAGCACCGTTGGCAGCCAAGACACATAATCTACCACGTGTGGCGTCGCGGGCACCGCCTCCCTCCCACGTGGTGGCAGGGCAGCAGGCAGTGGCAAAGGATGTCACAACAGCTGTATTACGGGATCCAGGATCCAGAAGGTAGGGGAGAGAAAGAAAGGTGGCAAATAAGGGGAACCCCGGAGTACATGGGTCCAGGTTAGGGGATCTGCGCATGGCCCAATGGCTGGGAGAGGAAGAAGGCTTCCCGAAACGAGCAAATGGAGGGGTTTTTTTAAGGAAGGGGCCACTTGAGGTCAGAGGCTTCAGGACAGTCTGGCCAGGGAGACGAATGACGTAACTCCGGAAGCAGGGGTGCGTCGTCCCCCCGCCCTGAAATATGGCGTCTTGTCCAAGGGCATGATGGGAGCTTGGTCCCGCCAACGGAGGGCACTTGGTGGCTCGTCAGTGCCAACCCATCGGATGCATGATGCGTTGCTGCCACAGCCACAGAAAGCCACTGCGTTCTTGCCATCCTCCATGCAGCCGCGAGCCCTTCCCTCTCTCCCGGCACCCCTGTTTATATCGAGATCATAGCTGTCAACGTTTCCCTTTTCTTGCGAGGAATCCTATTTGGAATAAGGGGATTTCCCTTTAAAAAAAGGGAAAACGTTGACAGCTATGATCGAGATGGTTCTCTCCCAGGAGGAGGGAGGGGAGGGTTACGGCAGAGATGCGCACTGCACCATGCTGTCTCCACAGGATACCCCCCAAAACCCCCCGACAACAACAACAACAAAAGGGGTGGCGGAACGTCCATTATTTCGCTAACCTGGCCTTCTCCAGACTAAACTCAACACAGGCGAGGGGAGAAGAGGGAGACAAGACAGAAGAGGAGAAAGAGAAGGTTAGACGGAGTGGCAAAGTCCCCTCCCTCTCACACAAACACCCGGCAAAGAATTCAGGGAAGGTCCAAGAAGGTGCAAAGCTGTTCACTGGCATCTTTCTTCTCCCCACTGCCCTGCCCAAACCGAGCAATCTGAAGAGCGAAAAGCCGCTGCGTACAGGAAGAGGCCCAGGCCCGAGCCTTGGGCAGAATTTGGCTGGCATGGAATCTTCCCGCTCTTTTGTGTTTTTGCTTTTTTTTCCAAAAGAAGAGAACCAGGTTTCTAGTCCTCCCTGTTCACAAGAGGAAGGAAAGCAAGCAGGCAGGTTTGCTGAGGGCTCCATGAGCAGGACATCCATATAGTTATGTGGAGGGGCTCTCTGATGCCCCCCAAACCGTGATGCCCTTTGTCAACCCATGGTGTCCTCCCTCCCCACTTTACCCCAGCCTAACCCGCCCTCCTAGATCTCCAACACAAAAGCTGCTTCTTGGGCCCAGGCTTCCTGCATGCCGAAAAGAGGTAAGAACTGAATTGTGCAAGCGTGGGGTGGGCGAGGGAGCACACGTCTGATGGAGCAGGATCTTAGGTGGCAGCCAAGTTTCAAGGGTGGGGGTGCCAGGCCCTCTCAGAGGCAGCCTGTGGCAGATTGCGGTGAAGCTGGAGATGGGGTGGTGATGGTGATGGGATGCATTTGGCTGAGGTGGGGGGGGGTGGTCCACTTCGACATGCAGTAGGTACCCCACAAAGGAAAGGAAAAGACAGTTTTAATAATGTTGTTCAACTATTACCACCATTGCTTATTAAATTTGTATACTGCCCTTCATCCGAAGATCACAACATAAAAATCATTTGCACAGGTCTTTTTTGTCCTAACAGATTACCCCAGTAATCCACCCAACAGCCCTGAAAGGCAGGCAGGAATGATTACTGGCATGTTAGGGGGAGGTGGGACTGGGACTGAGCAATAAGGGTTTGCCTAAGGGCATCTGATAATCTCATGGCTGTGTTGGGGACTTCCTGTTCCACAGGAAGTCAACCCTTGTCGACTGCACTAGGGCAGCCAATCAGAGACTTCCGGTCAAAATAGAACCCAGAGGTTGTCACTTCAAAGGTTTGCCTAGGCACCCCTTTTGGGGGTGATAGGCTGGCTCCAGGCAGGGGGAGACCCTCCACCCCTGGGGGCAAGCACCCCTCTTCCACACCCCAGCCCTCCTCTCACCTTGGACATTTTGCTCTTGCTGTCGGCTGTCAGGAAGGACATGTTGTTGATTTCGTTCTGCACTACGAAGTTCTGCTCCTCCCGTTTGAAGTTCTGGGGCATGGGAAGGAAGAACAGATGAGCCTCATTTCGTGGGAGATGCTCTCACGTGTCTCCATCAGCACCCACGCAACCACCACCCCTTCTGCCGAAAAGGCGACTCACGTGTGACTTGGACCAGTAAATGAACACCTCCCCGACCATCCGGAACAGCTCCTCGGCATCTGAGTTTGGTTCTGTCAACCAGTTGGCCCTGCAGATTAAAAAAGAACTGTCAGTAGATACCACCTTCCCACTTCCATAGCTAATGGGGCGTATTCAGGGCACATTATAAAAAACACACAACACAACTGATTTAAGGTACGGTATTAGATTATCTTCCCCCCTTTTCTCCCATCCCTGTAATTGGACAATGCAAGTCGTCACTGGATGGTGCAGTTATCTAGAGGTAAACATTTGGAAGGGAAACGTAGCAAATCGTCACAACTTTCTGGGTATTTGGTGGTTAGGCATTGGTATAGTTCTGTAGATGGAAGAGGGGAGGTAGCGCCATCACCTGCCCCACATATTGAAGGGTAGTCCGTTAAAGGATTCTGGGGTATGTGGCCCTGTCCAAAGCCTAGGGAGGTTAGGGTCTAAGGCACGCCCCCTATTGGTGACTCTGCGGGGGTTTCCTAGTTGATGTGCATCAGCAGGACTCCCCCTACTGGTGGTTAACCCTTCCCAGACTTCAAGCAGACGGGCTGGAGTCGGATATAGTCGGTTAGGACCAATGCCTAAGCCAATACCGCTCATCACCTGTAACCAATAAAGTTGTGGCCTTTTTCAGCCCATTAACCTTAATAATTGCGTCATGTGTCATTATTTCCGACTGGGGGAGTCGGGAACTCGCCACGCAAGTCTGCCTGCAGCTTGTGAGTGTGGTATCTGAAAGAGGGACTCAGGCAGAAACACCAGGCACCTTACTCCTTGCACCGCTGGAGAACTTCTCAGACACACCGAGACATTATTAGCTCAATCTCTGCCGGGCTGCAGTGCCACCCCCTGTGGTGGCCAGAGCTGGAACTTTGTGATTGGAGGAACCAACAGGAGCCTCGCCAACTCGCTTGCTCCAAGCTGTGCTGTTGAGTCTGAGTAACTGTGACATGGAGCAACAGCACAGGCTGCTTGCCCTGGAGCCCATCTTTGACTACGTTCCTGCCTCTGAACTCGTGGTTCTCATCTACCCAACCTGGTACAGTGGTGCCTCGCAAGACGAAATTAATCCGTTCCGCGAGTCTCTTTGTCTTGCGGTTTTTTCGTCTTGCGAAGCACGGCTATTAGCGGCTTAGCGGCTATTAACGGCTTAGCGGCTTTAAGAAAAAGGAAACAAACTTGCAAGAACTCACAAGATGTTTCGTCTTGCGAAGCAAGCCCATAGGGAAATTCGTCTTGCGGAACGACTCAAAAAACGGAAAACCCTTTCGTCTAGCGAGTTTTTCGTCTTGCGAGGCATTCGTCTTGCGGGGCACCACTGTACCTGACCGTTGGTGTGACAATTGATGACCTCCTTCTACCAGTCCACAATAGAAAGTGTCCTCTCACTGTGTCCTCACAGTGTGGTACGTTGGCTTGACAGCCACGGACAGAAAGTCTTTACAGAGGGTGGTGAACACAGCGCATGATATCATGGGCTGTCCCCTGAGCCCGCTAGATGACATCGCAAGGGACCGTTGCCTTAGGAGAGTGAGAAAAATTCTCAGGGACGATTCACACCCCGGCCAGCACCTCTTTAATCTACTGCCCTCAGGCAGGAGATATAGAAGAATAATCAGTCGTACCAACAGGCTAAAAAAACAGTTTCTATCCGTGGGCTGTTAGGCTGCTGAATGGAAAATAACATAGTGCAACTGACTTTCAGGGTCGGTGTGTTGTACGACAAGCACACAGAGTGCAATGAAATTGAGTGTTTGTGTGGGGGGGGGGAGGCTTGGTTAATTTCATTGTACACAGGTTGTACATTGACAATAACGGTATTATTATTATTATTTAACCTAGTGGAATTTATGTGAGGACTAGACTGATGTTCAAACAACGCAGCAGTAAAGTTTAAGGACCCAGGGATGTGTGGAACAGGGTGGTGAGGGGTGTAGCCCGGGAAGAGGGAGTGTGGCCTGGGGAGAGGGCCAGAGAGAGGGAGAGAGAGAGGGGGGGGAGAGAGGGAGACCTGGAGGCCGCATTTGGCCCCTGGGCCCAAGGTTCCCCACCTCTGTTGTAAACCTGTGTTGCATGCAAGCGTTAACGCCCTGTGCAAAATCCAAAGTACCTGCTGTTGTCAACGTAGCGGATGAGCAGAGGGTATAGGGCGTAGAGATCGCGGCAGAGCACAGAGAACTCGTCCCTGATCAGCAGCTCAGCGTCCTCCGACTCGGTCTTGGCCTCCAGCCGCAGCTGGTCCTCCTCAGCCACCACTTTCCCGGACCGCTTCTTCAGCTTCTCCATGGTTGGAATGAAATGGGAGCGGAGCAGTTCTGGCTTGGCCTTGCTGACGATGGGCTGGGCAAAGACTACGTGGGGAAGAATTAAGAAGATGGGGCTTCGGATGAGAAAAAGTGCCTCAAATCCCACATAAACGGCCTCGGTCCAGTATATCTGAAGGAGCGTCTCCACCCCCATCGTTCTGCCTGGACACCAAGATCCAGAACCGAGGGCCTTCTGGCGGTTCCCTCATTGTGAGAAGCCAAGTTACAGGGAACCAGGCAGAGGGCCTTCTTGGTAGTGCCACCCTGCCACCCACCCTGTGGAACGCCCTCCCACCAGATGTCAAAGAGAACAACTACCAGACTTTTAGAAGACATCTGAAAGCAGCCCTGTTTAGGGAAGCTTTTAATGTTTGATGCATTACTGTATTTTAATATTTTTTGGGAAGCCGCCCAGAGTGGCTGGGGAAGCCCAGCCAGATGGGCGGGTATAAATAATAAAATTATTATTATTATTATTATTCACATCCTCCCTGTTCTCTGACCCTCCGTACCTGCCAACCGCTTCATCCAGGAAGCTTCGTCGATGCCCAGGTTGTTGACGATGATCTTCAGGATGTTGCCCAGCAAGGTGTTGAGTTGGTCAGAGGTCACATCCGTGCACCAGGGCCCCTGGGGGTTGGTTTCAGGGCCCCGCTCCCACCAGCGGGGCAAGTAGTTGCAGAGCATCGGCAGGGTGACCTCAATCACATGCGGCATCTCGGTGTAGCGGGCCCCTGACTCCGCCAGCCCGCTGATGTCCTTCATCAGCTTGTCCAGGATAGGGATGTCTGGGCACATCTCCTCCACGCGGTTTGGAAGGCCTAGGACTGGGGAAACAAAGGGGGAGGGCATGAAACCCCTTGGATTGGGAACAGAGGAGGTGCAAAACGACCCACACGTTCAAGGAAAGCGTTTAATGTTTAATAGACTATTGTATTTTAATATTTTGTTGGAAGCCGCCCAGAGCGGCTGGGGAAACCGAAATGATATACAACGAATTGAAGAAAATGTTCCATTTAACATTTGTTAAAAAACCTGAAGCATTAGGGATTGTAAGGAAAGAGCTGCCAAAAAAGTTGAAAAACATCTTCATGTATGCGACAACGGCTATGAGAGTTCTGGTAGCACAAGGATGGAAGACTGAAGAAACCCCAACTAAAGAATCACAGCAAGAAAAATTGATGGACTATGCAGAACTGGCAAAACTAACATACAAGCTACGGGGCAAGGATAACTGTGACTTTAAAGAAGAATGGAAACCCTTTACAAAGTATTTGAAGACGCAACAAAGCGAAGTGGACTCCTTGGCTGGCTTTGAATAAGCATTCACAAACTTTTTATTGATAATAATCAGCTAAATAGTTTGAGGATTTATACAACTGTGTAACATGCAGAAAAAAAGCATTTTTAGAGAAATCAAAGACTGGAACTGAGGGAAGTCGGGGGGTGGGGGGTGAGTTCTGTGGGGGGAGGGAGGGGGAGGGAGGGAAAATGGGGGAAAATAAGGATGATACGTTTCTGGATAATATCTTTTGTTTTAATTTTGAATAAAAGCTATTTAAAACAAAAACAGAGTGGCAGGGGAAACCCAGCCAGATGGGCAGGATATAAATAAATAAATAAATAAATAATTATTATTATTATTATTATTATTATTATTATTATTATTATTGAAAGGCAGGTGGAAAGAGGCACTCACTTGCTCGCTCCCTGGGTGATTTGGTTGTGTAAACGGAGAAGGGGTTGTATTCGTTGAGATGAGGCTCCAGGAAGGCCACGGGCATTGCTGCTGCCAGCCGCGCCAAGCATTCACCAAGTTGCGGACGCTGCCTGCAGAGTTGGAGGAGACAGACAAGGAGAAGTGAGAGGCACTGAAAGTGAAAGGTGCTCTGCCTAACAATTTAACTTGGAAGGTACTGGTTCAATAATGCTCAAAAGGAAGGTTTGGACAATGAATGATTGAGAGTTGCTGCGCCATTAAACTTCAGATAACAGACGTGGACAACATCCCAGATTGGAATGGAGTCAGAGGCAGTTGCGCTGATAAAAAGGCAGTTGGAAAAATATGTACTAATAAAGCTGTATTCGACGGATGAAAGTATATGATATTTGGCATGATTGAGAATCGTGGACACTGGGATGGAGAATTGTAAAGCATCAAAATCGAGATGGGGAAAATATGGAAACAACGAGTAGAGGCAGGACTGAGATGTGGAGATACCGTATTTTTCGCTCTATAGGACGCACCTTTCCCCCTCCAAAAATTAAGGGGAAATGTGTGTGCGTCCTATGGAGCGAACGCAGGCTCCTTGGCTTCAGCGATAGCAATGCGAAGCCTCCGAAGCGCAGCGGGAGCGCTCCCTCTGCGCTCCCGAGGCTTCGCATTGCTTTCGCTGAAGCCTGGAGAGTGAGAGGGATTGGTGCACACCGACCCCTCTCGCTCTCCAGGCTTCAGCGATAGCCGCCTGAAGCCTTCGGAGCGCAGCGCGAGTTCCTGCTGCGCTCCGCAGGCTTCAGGTTCCTTTTGCTGAAGCCGGGAGAGCAAGACTCTCCTGGCTTCAGCAGAGAGGGAGAGCTGCGCAGCGCCCCTTCAGCGAAGCGGGAGGAGAAATGGAAGGGGCTCCGTTTCTCCTGCTGCTTCGCTGAAGGGGCGCTGAGCAGAGAGGGGGAGAATTTTTTTTCTTGTTCTCCCCCTCTAAAACAAGGTGCGTCCTATAGAGCGAAAAATACGCCAAGCTTCAGAGATCCAGACCCTGGGGAGCTCTGAAAAATTAATAATTATAATTTGGACTATAATTTGATCTTTTTTATTTTAGTTTTTATTTATGATCGGATATATTAATTGGATGTTTTTTACTGGAAAATCAATAAAAAGGATTTTTAAAAAGAATGAAAAGAAAGCGAAAGGTGCTCTTTGTTTCCATTGCAAAGCCCTGCTCATCCCACAATGGGTGATTTGGGTTCCGAATTATGTTCCCCACCCTGATTGTGTGAACTTTGGTGATGGGCTCTACCTCCTCTGGGCATAAGTAGCGCCCCCCCTCCCCCAATTGCGCACACAGACCCCTTGCTCCAAGATTCTCGTGACAATGCGCTCACCTCTCCACATAAGGGTTTTTGGTGGTGCCCAAGGAATAGATGCTGCATAGAGTTCGGTAGCAGGACACCTGCACGTCATCCACTGCGGGGACACACAGAAAAACGGGTGTTGGTTTCAGATCCAGATCCATACGGCTTCTCCTTCTTACAGTTCTCTGTTGTCAGAGATACGAACCTCCGGTTTCCCCAACTACATCGCCTCGGATGTATCCTGGGGTTCGGCCAAGACCACCAGGCCCCTCACTACCACCTCTGCTACACCCCAAAAAACTGGGTGGAGGGAAGTCTATGTTTTTATGTATTTTTGGTGTGTTATTTTTATTTTATTTTTTCTCCCCCCCTTTTTTAAAAAAAAAGATTTTTATTCAAAATTTTCAACATACATAAAGAAAAAAAGAACAAGAAAAAACAAACAATAGAAAAAAGCATACAGAAAAGATAGAAAAAATATAACATCATAATCAGAATCTTACTTTCTTAACTATTTGGACTTCCTCACATCTTTCGTTCCGGCTTTCCAAATTTAAAAAATTCTAAACAGCAATTTATCACCTTATTTCAGATACTTATTTATATTTTCCAATTATTATGTTTCCCATTTTAAATTTACCGCCCAAAAACTTAAAACCTTGATTTGAACATAATGTTATTCAAGGATTAACTTTAGCTCAAATTTCGCTATATTCTCACAATCTTTTTAACTAATTTACTGATGCCACACTTATTTTTACTCTTTTATTTTATTTTTTCTTTCGTGTAATTTGTTATTTTTCTTTTTTTGCTTGTGATATTGTTTGGTTTCTGTTGCTGCAATTCAATAAAGTGTTTATTTTTTTAAAAAAAACACAACTAGGCTCCATTTACACTAGCGATGGTCTAACCTGTCCTTTTCAATTTCTCAGTTTTCAATGAAGCACATTTCCCCAACAGTTTGCAACCATTATCATATCTCCAAGTCTTCATTAATGTTGGTTTCTCCTAATACATGCAGATTTCTATGCCGTTTGGCTTCATGTGTTGTTGTTTTTAAACTTCCCCGCTAATAAAATGCTGCTTCTTCTTTTGTATGTTATTTTCACCTATACATGGATCTTTGTGCGTGCCTTTCCCCACATATAAGTATTTGGGCACACGATAATTGGTTGGGAAGCCGCTTCACAAAATGCGAAAGATAGAAGAAGAGTTTGGATTTGATATCCCGCTTTATCACTACCCGTAGGAGTCTCAAAGCGGCTAACAATCTCCTTTTCCCTTCCTCCCCCACAACAAACACTCTGTGAGGCGAGTGGGGCTGAGAGACTTCAGAGAAGTGTGACTGGCCCAAGGTCACCCAGCAGCTGCATGTGGAGGAGCGGGGAAGCAAACCCGGTTCCCCAGATTACGAGTCCACCGCTCTTAACCAGTACACCACATTTCGGTTTCATGTACAGTGGTACCTCGGGTTAAGTACTTAATTCATTCTGGAGGTCTGTTCTTAACCTGAAACTGTTCTTAACCTGAAGCACTACTTTAGCTAATGGGGCCTCCCGCTGCCGCCACGCCACCAGAGCACAATTTCTGTTCTCATCCTTAAAGTTCTTAACCTGAAGCACTATTTCTAGGTTAGCGGAGTCTGTAACCTGAAGCGTATGTAACCTGAAGCGTATGTAACCCGAGGTACCACTGTATTGTTCTGAGGAGCGCAAAACAGCTAGGTTTCCGTTAAACTGCAGAGCGAACCAAATTTCTTCCTCACCCCTAAATCACCATCCTTGCCCTGGGGCGATCAGTGTAGCCTACGCAGCTCATTCCAGGCCTGGTTGCATTGCTAACAGCAACCAACCTATTCAGGCCTATCCATGCCTCGAAGCCGCGCTCCACCCACTCATCCCCCCTGCTGCCTCAATCGTTTGCTCACAGATGACGTCATCCCCAAACTGGTGCTGGGCGATGTGCTCGAAGATGGAGGTCAGCACCGGCAGCAGGACCACGGTGGTGTAGGTGATGTTCTGGCCCACGCCCTTGACCTGGGTGCGGGACTGCGACACTTTGCCCAGCTTGAGGTTCTCCACCATCTTCTCAATGTCGTCCGAGGCCCCTTCAAAGAAAGAGCGCAGGCCGGCCTTCACAATCTCAGGCCCCGATTTCATCACTGTCCTGCAGGGAGGAGGTGCCGGGATCAGATTTGCACAGGGTTACGAACAAGGAGGCCCTACATACCGCCTCATTAGAGTGGCAACATTTAATTGGGTTTATTATTCAATCAGAAGATCGGCAGTTCGAATCCCCGCGACGGGGTGAGCTCCCGTTGCTCGGTCCCAGCTCCTGCCTACCTAGCAGTTCGAAAGCACGTCAGAAGTGCAAGTAGATAAATAGGTACCACCCCGGCGGGAAGGTAAATGGCATTTCCATGCACTGCTCTGGTTCGCTGGCCACATGACCCAGAAGCTGTACGCTGGCTCCCTTGGCCAGTAAAGCAAGATGAGCGCCGCAATCCCAGAGTCGGTCATGACTGGACCTAATGGTCAGGGGTCCCTTTACCTTTACTATACAGTGGTGCCTCGCAAGACGAAATTAATTCGTTCCGCGAGTTTTTTCTTCTTGCGAGTTTTTTGTCTTGCGAAGCATGGTTTCCCATAGGAATGCACTGAAAATCAATCAATGCGTTCCTATGGAAACCACCTTCAGACCAGGTCTGGGGACAGTCTGTCCCCCGACCTCTTCTGAAGGCTGGGGGGGGGGAACAAGGGCTTTTCTTCCCACCGCCAGCCTTCAGAAGGCTGTTCTGAAGGCTGGTGGTGGGAAGAAAAGCCCTTCTCCCCACCTCCCGCCCCGCAAGCTCCGGGGACAGGAGGGCTTTGCTGCTGATCGCCAGCATTTTAAAAGCCCCCGGGACAGCGGAGACTTCTCCGCTGTCCCCGGGCGATTTTAAAATGCTGGCAGACGGCAGCGAAGTCTCCGCTGTCCCGGGAAGGCAGGCGGCCTTCAGAAGAGGTCCAGGACCTCTTCTGAAGGCCGGCAGTGGGCGAATCTTTGCTCCCGACCGCCAGCATTTTAAAAGAGGTCCCCGGAGATTTCCCTATGGGCTTTCGTCTTGCGAAGCAAGCCCATAGGGAAATTCGCCTGGTGAAGCACCTCGAAAAACGGAAAACTCTTTCTTCTTGCGAGTTTTCCATCTTGCGAGGCATTCATCTCGCGAGGTACCACTGTAGCTCTGTTTAGAGTAGGTAATGTCTTGATAATATAAGTGTTTTAAGTTTTTTGTATCAATCCAGTATATTTTCTTTTAATCGTTGAATGATTCTGTGTACATTGCAGCAGCCTTTGCCTATGTGCAATAAAACTGACTGACTGACTGACTACTCACCTGGCATCCAAAGAGCGGGCGAGGATGTGCAGACAGTTAACCACAGCAGCAGCGTCCGTCCCTGGATGGAGACAGAAGACCCAGATTTAGGGCCTGGGTTCAGGAAAATGGACTAGATGCACAGGCTAGAGAGATACAGGTGGTGGGAGGAGCAGAAGGGCAGCGGCTTTGTTCATGGCTGAGGTAGCACAGGGTGAGGGAAGTCAGGGTGCAGGAGGGAGAGCAGACTCGTGGGTGCAAAAAACCCCCACTGAGCCGACAAGAGGGAGGAGAAATGAAGAGGAGAGGGGGCTGAGACCGCCTGCCCACCCCAGGACAGGAGCAGAGGAAGGATGCAGCTTACCGAAGAGAGAGACCCGGTGCCTGACCAGGGCTGCCAGTTTGCAGAAAAGGCTGAAGGGCGGAAAAGAGAGAGGTAGAAGGAGAGAATGAAAGAGATTGTTGGAAAGAGGAGTGCACATCGATGGGGAAGAGGGGAGGGCGGACTCGGAGCCTCGGTGAGGCAGCTTGGAGAGGACGGTGTAAATGCCTCTACCTTCCTACATTCACGCACACAAAGCCCATATGCGCGGCCATGGAAGAATGCAAGAGGCAGAATTCAGAGCTAAGGATCTGTTCACAAAACCACTGCCATTTGTTGCAGATTGCAAAGAGTTGGTTTTCCCTGGGAAAGTGACGGAGCAAATGGAAAACCGCTTGCACTCCTGCTTCCTAGGTGCAGACGAGATCTCCGAGTTGCTTCACACGCAACCTTTTCCCCCCAAACAGGTGTTTCCAAGTCTCAAGAAAAAAATGAGCACAAAGACATGTGGCCTGAAATTAATTTTGGGAGGGAAGGGCCTAGGAGTTTTCAAGCAAAGACATTTGATTTGCAAAAGAATGTGACTTCATATCCTCTCTGCTTGATGGTTCCTCTCCATTTCCCTCAACAAAATTCCCAGTCGTGGATGCCGTTGGATCCAGGCTGTTGAGGGGGTTAATGGGTAAATACAATGTTCAAATTTAGGAATTCTGTTTGTAAATTATTATTGCCTTATAGTTAATACACAAGGCTTCCGCTCTCCTCAAAAATCAATCAAACAAACAAAAACCCTCCAAAGTTTTATATTTCAAAGCTGAAATATGCAAATATGTGAAAAAGGAGTCCAATTATGGCAAACTTTGCATTTGCAAAAAGTTTCATCTCGGCTCTAACAAGAGCCATTTTTCACACATTACTGGCTAGCAAACCTTGGTTTGAACGTCTTATCACAACGAACCACTGCATATCTGTATAACAAGCATATTTGCAAACACAAGTTTGTCCCCACTTGTCGTTTGCACCTTGCGCTTCTTCAGGGTCACACCTAAGGCAACCAACTTGAAAGTGTAACCCAAGCTTCCTCAACCTCAGCCCTCCAGATGTTTTGAGACTACAATTCCCATCATCTCTGACCACTGGTCCTGCTAGCTAGGGATCATGGGAGTTGTAGGCCAAAAAACCTCTGGAGGGCCGAGGTTGAGGAAGCCTGGTGTAACCCTTTGTGCACACTCGCACACACAGACAAGCATCCAGTCCTTTCTGGCGTTTCCTAGGTACTCACCTGGTTATCATCTCCTTCTCCTTGTTGGAGGCATGGCCCCCGCTGCCTAGGACTTTGGCCGGTGTGGACAAGAAGTAGAGGCAGTGATTGGTGAAGTACTGGTTGATGAGAGGCAGCAGGATCTGAAAGGGGGAAATAAATATTAAATAAGACGAGGTGCAAGGGACGCGGGTGGCGCTGTGGGTAAAACCTCAGTGCCTAGGGCTTGCCGATCGCATGGTCGGCGGTTCGAATCCCTGCGGCGGGGTGCGCTCCCGTAGTTCGGTCCCAGCTCCTGCCCACCTAGCAGTTCGAAAGTAGATAAATAGGGACCGCTTACTAGCGGGAAGGTAAACGGCGTTTCCGTGTGCGGCTCTGGCTCACCAGAGCAGCTTCGTCACGCTGGCCACGTGACCCGGAAGTGTCTGCGGACAGCGCTGGCTCCCGGCCTCTAGAGTGAGATGAGCACACAACCCTAGAGTCTGTCAAGACTGGCCCGTACGGGCAGGGGTACCTTTACCTTTACTAAGATAAGGTGCAGGTTTGTGATGTATTTTGGGCCGGGTTTAAACTCAAGAATGTCTGCTAGGACAAAGAGGCAGTCACCTCTCTCCTCCCCACTGGTCTGGGGTGGTGGTGGCTGGAATTACCCCCAGAACAGCACAGGGCAGAGGGAGAGGGGGGATTTGTTCCATCGGGCGAGCAGAAACCCTTGTGCTAATGAGACCAGCTCCTTAGCATTACGTCGGATTCATCCCCATGTACCTCGGGTTAAGTAATTAATTCGTTCCGGAGGTCCGTTCTTAACCTGAAACTGTTCTTAACCTGAAGCACCACTGTAGCTAATGGGGCCTCCCGCTGCTGCTGCGCCACCAGAGCATGATTTCTGTTCTCATTCTGAAGCAAAGTTCTTAACCCGAGGTACTATTTCTGGGTTAGCAGAGTCTGTAACCTGAAGCGTATGTAACCCGAGGTACCACTGTACTTGCTTTACAAAGGTCATTTCGTTGTTGGTTTTTATGCCATTCCCTGCCACGATATGAAGAGGGAAATGTCAAAAATGGCATAGTGAATAAATGTGATTATTTATGTGACGTTTGCAGGTTTAAATTGAAGCAATAGTGGACACAATTTGTATTCGCTTTTGTGCTTTCCGTTCCTGACCTCTGGCGTGTGGCATGTAAAAACGTATTGCAGTCAAATACAACATTCCTACAATGCACATGCTGGGGAATGCTTTGTATCACTCAGAAGAAAACTTGCTAGTTCCTCCTGAGCTGGGACAGACTTCCTTTGCATGTGACTGAATGTGGGGGTGGCCTGTTCTTGGACAGAGGAGCACACGGCCTCCATGTTCTGCTCTTCTTGTTCTCCATTTTGTCTTCCGAAGAGTTAGGAGAAGTGACTGCTGAGTCGCAGTCACTTGAGACTATTTCCCTTAGGGGATAATTCACATAGTTATATGTTGTTCTGTAAATTAAGTCTGCCCTCAGGGATCTTATTGTGAACTGGATGATTGCAAGTAAACTAGTTTTATGCTAACTTTAATCAGCTGGTCGTGTCTATTCTTTTAGGAGGGATATAAAAAGGGGTCGTACCAGGAATCCTAAATAGTGAGGCTCAGACGAGCCTGCAACTAGCTAACCGCTGTGTAATTTAAGAGGATTGTTTAACAACTCTGCTAAGTTATAGAACTTGCTAACGCAAGTTAGGAAGGATATCATAAAATAATATATCCTCTCGTGCCTCCCTAAACTTCCCCACAAAGGTTCTAGTTACAGGTAGGTAGCCATGTTGGTCTGCCATAGTCGAAATAAAAGAATTCCTTCCAGTAGCACCTTAGAGACCAACTAACTTTGTTATTGGTATGAGCTTTCGTGTGCATACACTGAAGAAGTGTGCATGCACACAAAAGCTCATACCAATAACAAACTTAGTTGATCTCTAAGGTGCTACTGGAAGGAATTTTTTTATTTTATCCCCACAAAGGGTTATGGGCCCAGATTGCTTCAGCTGCGTAATTTAAAAGGGGATTGTTTAACAACTCTGCTAAGTTATAGAACTTGCTGATGCAAGTTAGGAAGGATATCCTAAAATAATATATCCTCTCCTGCTTCCCTAAACATCACCACATGGCAAACTTGCAAATCACAAAAATTTCTGCTCCTGTTTTCAGTTCCGATGGAATTCACCAACATCGCTAAGTACAGCTGATGCTCCGTTTAGGGAGGGAAAACCTCCCCAGTCCCCAAGGCAAAGAGGAAGAGAGAAAGGTTGACTTACCTTGGCAAAGAACTTGATCTCTTGTTCATGAGGGGATTTCTCCACTCGGCCACTGCTTACCACGGCGTCTGAAGCAGGAAGAATCCCAGTGAGTTCCACCAAGGTGTGAGAAGCGGGAGGGATAAGGCACACTCACATGCAACAAATGCACACCCGTGTCCCTAACCCTGAGCAATTGAGAAAAGGAGCTGGCTTCCAGACAGGTGACTTACTGAGCATTCGTCCTGCCTGGTTAGCACAAAGTTCGCAGGGTGGTTTGAGTTATTTATTTATTGAGTGTTAATTAATTATGATTCCTTTGCAGCAGGGTAAGGTCAAGGCAGTTACCCCAGTGCACCCAAAAAATCCTATTCTGGGGTGAGAGAGTGAGTTTGCTGCGCAAGGGCAACAGGTCAGTCCGAATTTGGTGGTGTGGTGCTGAATCCCAGCCAAAAACAAGGACAGGTTGGAAGCATTCAAAACGGTTTGGTCTTTGGCCCAGGGATCAGTAAAAGGCTCATCCAGACTTCATTCTGTGCCATGTTTCTAGGCGCGGGTCCCAACGCTTTATGCTCTTTACTGTTGAGTCGGAGCAAATGGCAATCCGTAGAAGACCTGATTTGCCATTTGTTGCAATTCAGCATTAAAGAGTGTGTTTTTCCCCCTGGGGAAAGCAGGGGAAGCACTTGGACATAGACCTTTGCCTAGAAAGCACAGTGAGGATGAGCCCAAAGCTTTAAAACAGAACGCAATGCAGACTCACACTTCCCAACTGCATTTGACAAAGCGAATCCATGTGTCCTTACTCCTATACACTAACGTGCTTTAACCGCTGTCCCCTTCCCAGAACTGAGAACAGAACCCCGGAGTTCTGGCTCAACTGGCTTTGCTACAATAGTCTCCATTCCCATCCTAAGTGAGCTGAAACAGCTCATTCTAAAGCTCTCTTCTTCCCCACCCACAGGGTCCCTGGAGGTCTGGAGCGCTACAGGGGTCCGTGTGTAGCTCCTCACAGGTTCCAGGGGTGGGGGGGACATATTCACAGCTCCTTTACCCAGGTGGGCCACAAACTCCTGAGAGATGTCCATCCACTTCAGCAGCTGCTGCAGGAACCCATAGGCAAACCGCTTCTCAATGGACGATGTGTCCAGTTCCATGTCCTTCAAACCCCTGCGAGAGATAAACAGAAGGCAGAGATAGTGAGACAGGTTTTTGCTGCTACTCTCGACCGCCTTGGGTCCCCAGATATTGTTGGACTACTACTCCTATCATCCCTGACTGCTGGCCCTTCTCTTTTTATATATATATAATTTTTTATCGGTTTTTTTAACATATCATTTTCAACAGCAATTAAACATACTTTTACATCTTATTCAAACTTTTGACTTCCATCAATCCTCTCTGAAAAATTTCCAGTCTAATCTCTCAGTATGTATTTCTTATCCTCCCTATTACATTTCAAACTCATAACCAATATCTCTATCTTTTCCTACTTTGTAACACTTCGTATATTTCTCCTTACAAAACTTCTTGTAGTCCTACTAGCGCAATTTGTTGATTACAGTTGCTCTTCAAATAATTCATATACTTCTTCCAATCTTCTGTAAATCTCTGGTCCCGCAGGTTTCGAATCCTTTCTGTCATTTTGTCCAATTCTGCATAGTCCGTTAATTTCGTCTGCCATTCTTCTTTCGTCAGAATTTCTTCTTGTTTCCATTTCTGGGCTAGCAATACTCTTGGCGCAGTTGTTGCATATAAAAACAATTTAACATCTTGCCTATTAGTGCCCTGACCTATAATACCAAGTAAAAATGCTTCTGGTTTTTTTAACCAGAAGTGGCCCTTCTCACTACAGATGTGCTGCAGATGATAGGAGTTGTAGCACAACAACATCTGGGGACCCCAGAGAAGCCAGGTTTTCAAAAGAGGCACAGCATAATGTCTTTGTGTGTGCATCCGTGCATATATTTCTGTATCCTTTTTTTTAAATGTTGGTGCTATTATAGTCTGTTTCATCACTATTTTCTTAATGGATATTTTAGACCATTTTATGTAAACTACTTAAGGGATTAAATAAACAAATTACAAAGCAGCATATAAATTTTGCTAAATAAAATAAAGCAGATAATTGCTAGGGGTGCTGTGAAATCCTTCCTGACCCTCCTCCCCTATAATGAGTTGCAAAAAGGGACTGTCTGCGGTGAAATCCTAAACTGGTTAAACTGGCTTTATTGTTATTTAATAATTTCAACCAGATCATACATTAGTAAGTATAGGGATTTAAATGTTACCACCAATACCTTGAACTCGACCCAGTAGCAGATTGGCAGCTAGCGCAAATCCCACAGGCAGGGTGGTTATCCCTAGAGCAGGCATCCCCAAACTCGGCCCTCCAGCTGTTTTGGAACTACAACTCCCATCGCCCCTAGCTAACAGGGCCAGTGGTCAGCGATAATAATAATAATAATAATAATAATAATAATAATAATAATAATAATAATTTATTTATACCCCGCCCATCTGACGGTTTCCCCAGCCACTCTGGGCGGCTTCCAACACATTATTAAAATACGGTAATGCCTCAAACATTAAAAGCTACCCTAAACAGGGCTGCCTTCAGATGTCTTCTAAAAGTCTGGTAGTTATTTTTCTCTTTGACATCCAGTGGGAGGGCGTTCCACAGGGCGGGCGCCACTACAGAGAAAGCCCTCTGCCTGGTTCCCTGTAACTTGGCTTCTCACAGTAAGGGAACCACCAGAAGGCCCTCGGTGCTGGACCTCAGTGTCTGGGCAGAACGATGGGGGTGGAGATGCTCCTTCAGATATACTGGAATTGTATTCCTGGAATATACTGGAATTGTATTCCCAATTGTATATGATGGGAAGTGTAGTCCCAAAACAGCTGGAGGGCCGAGTTTGGGGGTGCCTGCCCCAGAGCATGTAGCGTACGTTCCCCCATCTTTTTCCTTTTTTATACAGAACATGTCATCAATGCGCATGTGTGTGTGTGTGCGATCTCGCCCACCCACCCCACCCCACCCCGTCTCCTTCCAGGCTCACCTTGTCACTGCATAGCCGTTAAGCTGGAGGAATTTGAGCAACTCCTGGGCCTTTTCTCGGTCTCGGGCCTTCTCCTTGGCCGTCAGTGTATCGTAAGGCACCAGCAGGGGATGGGTGCCACCCCCTGGGGGGGGGGAGAGAGAGAAAGAGGAGGCATGAAGCCTGCTGGGAGGGGGGAAAGGGGAGAGAACAACAGCCTCCGATAAAAGGAAAGGCAAAAAGAAGAAGAAGAAGATGGAGAGGCTCACCTTTGGCTTCCAGTTCCAGCTTCTTCTTGCGCCCCCAGGTGTTGTGGTAGTTCTCAGCCAGCTGCTCCGCCATGGCCTGTGGAGAGAGACCAGCGGTGGGGCGAGGAGAAGACGTGGTCAAAAGCGGCAGAAATTATATATTTGGGTAAGTTATGATGACTGAGGAATTTTCCTGCTCTGCTTTGTGCTCACTCACCTGCAGTTCCCTGGAAAGGGTCACTCCAGAAAGGTCAATGGGTTGCGGGTTGTAGCCATGGCTGGGGTCATAGGTCTAAGGGGGGACACATAAGAACAAAGACCGCTCACTGGACGCCATTGCTTTTGCAGTAGCAAAAGGACAAGAAACCCCCCTGGTGAACCTCTCAGGATTAAAAATAGTACAGAAGGTGTCAGGTGTGCGTGCAGGAGCCAGGCCCTGTGACCAATAGGACTCTGCAGGACTGGGGCCTTCCTAAGTTTGTTCTGAAGAGGCAAGGTACGGCCACACAGGTGAGGCCGATTGGTAACTCAAAGCACCTGGTGGCAAGAGCCGGGAAGGGATATAAGGTCAGCATTTCCCCCTCAGCTCTTTGCCAGAGCAAGACGTTCCCTACCTTGCTGCGTTTGGTTCCTTGACTCCTTGCTTCTTGACCCTCGGACCCCTGACTTCGTGACTCCTTGCTTCTTGACCCTCGGACCCCTGACTTTGTGACTCCTTGCTTCTTGATCCTCGGACCCCTGACTTCGTGACTCCTTGCTTCTTGATCCTCGGACCCCTGACTTTGTGACTCCTTGCTTCTTGATCCTAAGACCCCTGACTTTGTGACTCCTTGCTTCTTGACCCTCGGACCCCTGACTTCGTGACTCCTTGCTTCTTGATCCTCGGACCCCTGACTTTGTGACTCCTTGCTTCTTGACCCTCGGACCCCTGACTTCGTGACTCCTTGCTTCTTGATCCTCGGACCCCTGACTTCGTGACTCCTTGCTTCTTGATCCTCGGACCCCTGACTTTGTGACTCCTTGCTTCTTGATCCTTGGACCCTTGGCTTCTTGACTCCCGGCTCTCTGACCCTCGGACTCTTGGCTTCCTGACTCCCGGCTTCTGAACTCCCGTTCCTGCTCCCACCCCGCCATCTTGCCCCCAGTCCCGACGTCCCCAGCTGGGACTTTGATCACCCGTGAACCGGACCGTGACAGAAGGAGGAAATAGGAAAGGGGGTTAAGAACCCACACAACCCTCTCAAAATTGTGGCCTCCCAAGGGGCTTTTCATAAAAGAAAAAAGCATTCAGGGCAAGAAACATGTAGTATTTCCCCTTAGTTCCAACCCCCAGATGTTTTTTCTCCTCCTAAGACACTTCGGGACAAACCTGGGTTGTTTGTGAGATCTTGCGAGTCTTTTTCTTCTCGGTCTTCTCCTCTTCGCCCTCCCGGGCCTTCTCAACAGTCCATTCCCAAGCGATCATGGCCTTCAGAGACTCCTTGATGGGCCAGCGGTAAATTTCCTTATCCTACAGAAAGGGAAACGTGATGTTAAATTTTGGACAGAGGAGAGAAAGGACTATGGCAAAGAATTACCGCATTTACTCAAATCTAACGCTCACCTTTTTTTGGCCAAAAAAAAGGTGCGCGTTAGATTTGATGGCGCATTAGACTCGAGTAAATATGGTAAGCTGTGGTGCCCCATTACATCCTGAGATGGCTATTATGGTCCAGACAGGCCACATAAGAGGAGAGCTCTCTAACAAGGTGATTGATAGCCAACTGAATATTTCTAAGTCAAATCTCCACCCCCATTCACGATTCCCCCCATCACCTCTTTCCCCCTTTTCTTCCTAATGTAACACTAACGTCTTAACAAATGAAACTGATCTGTAAAAAAATGTAACTTGAAAAAAGAGACATTGCAGATACTTTTGTAAACCAAGAAAAATACATTAAAAATATATATCTGCAAGCAAGAAATCCAATTTTCATCTCTTCATTTGAAACTGTTATAACATTCCTAATCTTGTAACCAGCTGGATTCCTGACATTTTAATGATACAAAATATTCATCTGCTACCTAATTATTTCTTCTTTAAAATGCTTTCCCCCCCAAGAAGGTTTAGTCTGGTGGACAGTGCCAAAATCCCTTTGGCCAAGGCACAGCCTGACTCCCTCCTTTGGCAATCTTCACAGAACTTCTAGCCCAATGGTTGCCATTAATTTGATTGGAATTAATTTTATAATGGAATGATTTTAGAATGTTTTATCATTTTACTGTTGTTAGCCGCTCTGAGCCTGGCTTCGGCTGGGGAGGGCGGGATTTAAATAAAAATTATTATTATTATTATTATTATTATTATTATTATTATTATTATTATTATTATCATTATTATTATTATTATCATTATTATTATTATTAAGATGCATTTTCTTTTGGTCTAGAATTCTAAATTTCAGATTCAGTTGGCCTGTCAAGCGTCAGAATTCTGCGACATTTGCCCTTAGCTTGCAACTGGACTCGGGAGTCACAACTGGACTTGGGAGTCAAAAGGTTCTTCCCGGCTTCTACAGAGTACAATATTTACCTTTTCCGAGAAAGTTTTGTAAGGGCGCAGCATGGGGTTGGTCTTGGCCTCTTCGTCGACCACCTCCCCAAACGACCAGTTATTCTGAATCTGCAAGTGGGAGATCAAATGGTATCATATCCATTTCTTTCCAAGCAGAGTGAGGCAGAGAGCCTCATCTTCCTGGAGCTTGGAAGGTGTGTGTGGGGGGGGGTCACTTGGAGGCTCCTTACCTTGTCAAAGGCCCACTTCTCATGGGTATACTCAGCATACTTGTTGATGAAAGAGTCCAGCCTCTCAGGAATGATGACGCTGCAAGAAATAACGTTTTCATCAGATGCGAGGCTGGGCAGTTACAGGGGAGAAGTGACAGGCAGGAGCAGTAACCACACCCGGCCCTGCAACGTTTAATCATTCCCGCCCACTCTCAGCGCTGGAATAAATCCAGGGGAGGGAGGAAATACTGAAAGAGTTAGAGGGTATTTTTAGCAGGGAGCAGAAAGTGTTAGAATTCCTGCTCCATGATTGCAGTCATGGGATTGTTGTCTATCACATGACAGTGTATATTTTGACTTCACAGTGTGGGAAGTGATGGAGACAGGATGTTTGTGTTACTGTGTTCCGTGAAGTGGAACTATTCTCCTTTGTTCTTTTTCTCTTTGCTGTCTGATGCTAGAGAGAGAGAGAGCCATGATGCGGCGCTGCTCCGTGTGTGTTTATATGTAAATAAAGTAGATTAGCCAAAATGCTGAGTTGCTGAGGTCTGTCACGCGAACTGCGCAGACTCTGCGGATCCCTAAGTGTGCCGGTGTCTGTTGGCATCGGTCGCTGTGATGTTCGGGCTGAAGAAAGCTTTTGAAGCTCCCGAACGATCGACCAGGAGGGAGAGAACATGCCAGTCGGGCATGTGACCAGGATCCTACTCGAGTGTAGGACAAGCTCCTGACAGAAAGGCTAAATCCCTCTTCCCCTCTTTCAATCTTTCCCTAAAGGTTCATTGTCTATCCCTTCACTGGCATTACCTCAGCAAGCCTGCTAATGTTTACGTTTATCTTTATTACGCCACAGATCTCACGCCTTTCCTTCAAGGAGCTACAAGTGGTATACACGTCCTCCCCGTTTTGCTCCTCACAACAGCCCTGTGAGGTAGGTTAGGCCTGAGAGATGATGACTAGCGTGAGCTTCGCGGCCAAACAGGGATTTGAATCGGCATCCTAACCACTACGCCATGTGCGTCCTTCTGCACTGAGAAGGAGCATCTCCACCCCCATCGTTCTGCCTGGACGCTGAGGTCCAGTGCCAAGGGCCTTCTGGCAGTTCCCTTGTTGCAAGAAGCTAAGTTATGGGGAACCAGGCAGAGGGCCTTCTTGGTGGTGGCACCCGCCCTGTGGAACACCCTCCCACCAGATGTCAAAGAGAAGAACAACTACCAGACTTTTAGAAGACATCTGATGGCAGCGCAGTTTAGGGAAGCTTTTAATGTTTAATAGATTATTGTATTTTAATATTCTGATGGAAGCCACCCAGAGTGGCTGGGGAAACCCAGCCAGATAGGTGGAGTATAAATAATAAATTATTATTATTATTATTATTATTATTACTTAAACATCACTCACTTGAGGGTCTCCACAGGCTTGGGGTCGAAGTTGCCCTCAGCATCCACAGACGCCTTCTTCTCTGTCTTGGATGAATAGCTGGCATCCACGTAGTCAGGGGGGAGGGCCCCTGCGATGGCACACAGGCAGGGCATGGCAAGCTTGTACAGGTCAGGGTCAAATTTCTGGGCACCGTGAAGGAGAGAAGCAGCGGTAGGGTGAAGTGGCAGACAGAAAAGAAGAAGACCCACATTCCTGGCCATTCCCCACCCTCCCAACTGAGTTGCCCTTGGCTGTAACCTCCGCTGACAGACACTCATAGCCAAGGGCAGCCAGGAAAGAGGGAGACAGATCAGCTGGGAGCCAAAGGTCAGAGGCCAGCTCCAGCAGGCTAAATGCTTGAGCCAGTCAGCCTGAAGGCTGGTCACATAGTAGGGCACAGGAAGAGACTTTAAATATTTTATTATTGGTATATAAGGCCTTATACAGCTTGGGACCAGGCTCCCTCTGTCATTTTATGGAATAATCATTGTAAGGTAAAAAAAGTAAAGGACCCCTGGAAGGTTAAGTCCAGTCAAAGGCGACTATGGGGTTGTAGCGCTCATCTCGCTTTCAGGCCAAGGGAGCCAGCATTTGTCCGCAGACAGCTTTCCAGGTCAAGTGGCCAGCAGGACTAAACTGCTTCTGGCGCAACGGAACACTGTGTCGGAAACCAGAGCAGCGCACGGAAACGCTGTTTACCTTCCCACCGCAGTGGTACCTATTTATCTACTTGCACTGGTGTGCTTTCGAACTGCTAGGAAGGCAGGAGCTGGGACAGAGCAATGGGAACTCACCCCATTGCGGGGATTCGAACCGCCGACCTTCTGATCGGCAAGCCCCAAAGGCTCAGTAGTTTAGACCACAGTGCCACCTTTAATAATCATCGTACCATCATAGAAATGGCTTTGTTTGGTGTGGTGTGTAATTTTCTGCATTTTATATTGTGTCTTATTTTACTGCAAAACACTTCACACATCACCCAATTCCCAGGCTGACCCAATGGATCCTACTTAAGATCAAAGTTAGGTACAACTGCTTACCTTGTGGGACAGAGACTCAAAAATGCCCCAGAAGAGCTTCCGGGTCAGGTGAAGCTCCTCCTCAGAGGTGACCCCATAGTTGGCCCAGCCAGTGGGAAGGCAGTAGTACTTCCAGCAACGCTCATAATGATTGGTCAGGAGCTGGGCAGGGTGGAGAAAAGGAGTCAGCAGGGAGAGGGGCTTCCCGTCAAGAACACAATTTCCTTCATCCTCCAGACCAGCCTTTGCCAACCTGGTGCCCTCCGAAGTTTTAGACTACAAGTCCCATTGGTTCAAACCAGCGCAGCCATGCTAGCTGGGGCTGATGGGAGCTGTAGTCCAAAACACCTGGAGGGCACCAGGGTTTTTTGTTTTTTTGAGCTTCTTTTCAATTTATTTAATCATTTTATCAATACAAACAGCAACCACAAAAAACACATACAACGAAAACCACAATAACACAATTTGACAATTCAGATTTTAGTGCTGATATACTTATAACTACACCCTTTTAACAATATTTCCCCACCTCTCCTCCCCCTACTTCCCACTACTTTCCGCCTTATCTCTTAAGTAATCCTTCCAGATTTCTTCATATTTATCCATTCTTAATTTGCGTCGATATGCAATTTGTTCGTTTGTAACTAGTCTGTCCAGGTTGACAAAAGCTGCTGCAGACAGCCTGGTGTGTTCCATATAACAACATCCCCTCCCCACATGCACTGCTCACCTTCAGAGACATCTTTGCAAACTCATTGAGGATGGGCACATCAAATACCAGCCGGCGCAGGAGATGCTGAAGCATGGAGGGCCTGATATACCTGGAAAAGTAGCCCGCAATGAAATTCTGTGTTTGGGGGACCAAAAATATTAAGGAGCAGGGGTAGGGTGGCTTATAGGAATGATAGTTCTGACACCTGGTCAACCTCTTAAGTGTACAGTCATACCTTGAGTTAAAGTAGCTACGGGTTAAGCATTTTCGGGTTGCGCTCCGTGGCGACCCGGAGGTAACGGAACGCGTTACTTCCGGGTTTCGCCGCTTGTGCATGCGCGAATGCTCAAAATAACGTCACGTGCATGCACAAAAACGGCGAATCATGACCCGCGCACACGCAGACACGGGTTGCATTCGCTTCAGGATGCGAACGGGGCTCCGGAACGGATCTCGTTCGCATCCAGAGGAACCACTTTATTTGTATGGAGGGACCAAGCTTCCTCAGAACACTGGCTGTGACTAGCCAGATAGAGACAAAGGCCATATAGATCCAGATGCAGTTAGATCATAGGAGAGAGAGAAATAGTCACAACAGGTCCTGATGTGAGCGTTGACCTCAGCACAGGCAAATCAGGACAAAAGTACCCTGGACAGCTCCATACAGGGCTCACCTTGAAAAATGAATGAGAGAGAAGCTTAGATGTTGCTTCAACAACAGTCACTCTCGGACCAAGTTTTATACACTAGCTCTGTCTCAATTGCTAGCTCTGCCTCCACTCTCCAGCTGTCGTTTACTCCAGTGCAATGAGGAAGACTCTGGCGCAATGCAACGGGCCGGAGGGGTAGAAGAAGAAGGAGTTTGGATTTGATATCCAGCTTTATCACTACCCTAAGGAGTCTCAAAGCGGTTCACAACCTCCTTTCCCTTCCTCCCCCACAACAAACACTCTGTGAGGTGAGTGAGACTGAGACTCCAGAGAAGCGTGACTAGCCCAAGGTCACCCAGCAGCTGCATGTGGAGGAGCGGGGAATCGAACATGGTTCACCAGATTACGAGTCCACCGCTCTTAACCACTACACCACACTGGCTCTGTGAGCTCCTCCTGTGCACATGCTTCCTCCTCTGAATTCCTCCTCCCAATCTGAATCCCCAGTCTCATTCCCCAAAGAAGGGGAGTCTAACCCCGGGGTCGTGGGAGAACAGAACATATGTGGGCAGATTAATACAAGAAGCAGCCATGACAAAGAAGGAATTCAAGGCCTGCCCAACTTCCCGAGTCGAAGAGGCAAGTTGTTCACCTGTTGGAATGGTGCTCCATAGTTTTGGGGCCACCCTGAGAAGTCCCCGTCATCATTTGCATTCACCTACCTAACTGATCTTGGGACACGGGTGGCAGTGTGGGTTAAACCACAGAGCCTAGGACTTGTCGATCAGAAGGTCAGCGGTTCGAATCCCTGCGACGGGGTGAGCTCCTGTTACTCAGTCCCTGCTCCTGCCAACCTAGCAGTTCGAAAGCACGTCAAAGTGCAAGTAGATAAATAGGTACCGCTCTGGCGGGAAGGTAAACAGCATTTCCGTGCGCTGCTCTGGTTCGCCAGAAGCGGCTTAGTCATGCTGGCCACATGACCCGGAAGCTGTACGCCGGCTCCCTTGGCCAATAAAGTGAGATGAGCGCTGCAACCCCAGAGTCGGCCACAACTGGACCTAATGGTCAGGGATCCCTTTACCTTTACCTTACCTAACTGCTCTAAAGGGCGGGCATTCAAGAAGGACCCCCAAGGACGTGAAGGCAGTGCTTCCGGTAACCCAGGGCGTAAAAGGTCTACCCTGAAATTAGGGCCCCTCCTCAATACCTGCACAGCGCCATGAGGCACTCTTCAATGACGTCACGCTGCGCTTTGGTGAGGGAGCGCCCCCGTGACAGCCGGTAGATGGTGTGCAGCATGGAGTCCACCATGATGGCCCGGTGCTCAGTGCCGGCGAAAAGGGGGGCACACTTGGTGATGAGCGGCAGCACTGCCAGGCACAGGTAGCGATTCATGGCCAGAGCCATCTCTGTGGTGCTGAAGGCAGCCTGCGGTGGGAGAAAGGAAAAGGTCAGAAGCGTGGGAGATGAGAAGGGTCTGTCAGTTTGCATTTCTTAGTGCAGAAAATATTGATCTGATTTCGTTATACAGTGGTGCCCCGCAAGACGAATGCCTCGCAAGACGGAAAACTCGCTAGACGAAAGAGTTTTCCGTTTTGGAGGTGCTTCGCAAAACGAATCTCCTATGGGCTTGCTTCGCAAGACGAAAATGTCTTGTGAGTTCCTGCGGGTTTTTTTCCCTTTCCTCCCCCCCTTTTTCCAAGCCACTAAGCCGCTTATCAGCTGATCCGATAAGCCGATAAGCCGCTAATAGCGCTAATCCGCTAATCCGTCAATGGGCTTGCTTCGCAAGACGAAAAAACCGCTAGACGAAGAGAATCATAGAACGGATTCTTTTCGTCTTGCGAGGCACCACTGTATATAAAGAAGATAAAAATAGTATTTTTTGCTCTATGACTCACTTTTTCCCGTATTTTTTGCTCTATAAGACTCACTTTTTCCCTCCTAAAAAGTAAAGGGAAATGTGTGTGCGTCTTATGGAGCGAATGCAGGCTGTGCAGCTATCCCAGAAGCCAGAACAGCAAGAGGGATTGCTGCTTATTCTGGGATTCAGAATACTTTTTTTTCTTGTTTTCCTTCTCCAAAAACTAGGTGCGTCTTATGGTCTAGTGCGTCTTATAGAGCGAAAGATATGGTATGTGTTTTTGAAAAAACAAGAGTCATTCCTTTTGGGAATGGTGGGAGAAGACATTGACAAGAATGACCATAAACTGTTCTTATACACAACAACAGCGGCGAGGTTATTGCTGGCTCAGGTATGGAAACAGCAAAAATTGCCTACAATAGAAGAATGGCAGTACAAGGTTATGGAGTACGCAGAAATAGCCAAATTAACAGCAAAAATTCGACATCAGGGGGATGAAACATATCAAAAAGAATGAGGAAAAATTATGTTATATATAGAGAAGATGATGTGAAATAGGGAAACCAGTAGAATTAAAATAATATCTCATAACGGGAAAATACAAAAAAATTACTGGATAATAATATCAAGATGAATTAAAAATGTATATTAGGATTATTATTGAACAATATTTGTAAATGAATATAGACAGACAGCAAGAATTTGTATATATAGAAAGATTTATTTGTTTACGGACATTTAATGGAAAAAATGAAGAAGAACAATCTTATGGAAAATGGACAAAGACAATGCGAAAAGTCAAAGAGGACACAAAAAAGCCAGAAGAAGGAAGGAGGGAAGTCAGCTCGGGAGAGCAAGAACAAACGTGAAATATAATGTATGTGTATGTACAGTATGTAACTAAAAATTCAATAAAGATCATCGGGGGGGGGGGGAGATCTGATTTGTAGAGATCTGTCCTATTCTAATTAATTCAGGAGGGTTCTTGGAGCGGGATGAAATATAATTGCCTCTGGTCTACTGTTTGGGAATCCTGCAACATGTTTAAGTTTTTACTCTGCTAGCTATACATTGGAGTTCTATTCCGGATCAATATTGAGTAGAATTTCAATGACAGGGCCATCAGAAGGGAAGACCACAGAACATGAGAAGAACCCTGCTGGGGAAGATATTGGGACAAAGTGGACTCTGCAGTTAAGCAGTAAAGGGGAAACATATAGCAAAAGTGAACTATTAGATTTTCATACACGCTGAAAGAAGGAAAGGAAATTTATAAACAGCAGTTTTATTGCAGACTGACAACTTGATCACCTCACTTGTAGATATCGGAAGTGTTAGAACATTGCACGTACAGGATTTTGCAAGTGGGTAGGTGATGTTAAGGGATAGTAAGTTAAATTTAACAAAGAAATGATTGTGATATAGGGAATGGAATGTGAATTAGAAATGATTGGGGAAACAAAGGGAAATTATGGGCACACCGAAAACGGAGTGTGGGAAGCCAATTTCTGGGAAAATTGTACTAAATTTGTTTTCATCTGTGGTGGATTTGATAAAATTCGCTTTAAAAAAAATTCTTTAGGCAAGCCAACCCAGACATATGGAATACTGACATACATTTTAAACCTGGTTTTTATCTTGTCATGGGTGGCAATCATTTTTTGAATGTTTTAAATTCCTTTTGTTCCATTTGGTTTATTTGTTAAGTTTGTATACCACCGCCCTTCAGGGAGGTCCACAGCATGAAAACACAAAATAAGAACACAAAATATACAATAAAAGCATTAACAAAACCAACCAGCCAACCCACAACCCCGTGGTTGTTTTTAATAATCATAGAATCATAGAATCATAGAATCATAGAGTTGGAAGAGACCACAAGGGCCATCGAGTCCAACCCCCTGCCAAGCAGGAAACACCATCAGAGCACTCCTGACATATGGTTGTCAAGCCTCTGCTTAAAGACCTCCAAAGTAGGAGACTCCACCACACTCCTTGGCAGCAAATTCCACTGTCGAACAGCTCTTACTGTCAGGAAGTTCTTCCGAATGTTTAGGTGGAATCTTCTTTCTTGTAGTTTGAATCCATTGCTCCGTGTCCGCTTCTCTGGAGCAGCAGAAAACAACCTTTCTCCCTCCTCTATGTGACATCCTTTTATATATTTGAACATGGCTATCATATCACCCCTTAACCTCCTCTTCTCCAGGCTAAACATGCCCAGCTCCCTTAGCCGTTCCTCATAAGGCATCGTTTCCAGGCCTTTGACCATTTTGGTTGCCCTCCTCTGGACACGTTCCAGTTTGTCAGTGTCCTTCTTGAATTGTGGTGCCCAGAACTGGACACAGTACTCCAGGTGAGGTCTGACCAGAGCAGAATACAGTGGCACTATTACTTCCCTTGATCTAGATGCTATACTCCTATTGATGCAGCCCAGAATTGCATTGGCTTTTTTAGCTGCCGCTTCACACTGTTGGCTCATGTCAAGTTTGTGGTCAACCAAGACTCCTAGATCCTTTTCACATGTACTGCTCTCAAGCCAGGTGTCCCCCATCTTGTATTTGTGCCTCTCATTTTTTTTGCCCAAGTGCAATACTTTACATTTCTCCCTGTTAAAATTCATCTTGTTTGTTTTTGCCCAGTTCTCTAAACTGTCAAGGTCGTTTTGAAGTGTGATCCTGTCCTCTGGAGTGTTAGCCACCCCTCCCAGTTTGGTGTCATCTGCAAATTTGATCAGGATGCCCTTGAGTCCATCATCCAAGTCGTTGATAAAGATGTTGAATAAGACCGGGCCCAAGACAGAACCCTGTGGCACCCCACTAGTCACTCTTCTCCAGGATGAGATTCCACTGTATCATTCTTTTCGTAAGTCTCTTTGAGGTTGTTGCTTTTGTTTTGTTTCTAAAAATATTTTTTATTAAGCAATTTCAACAGAACAAATTATCAGTCCAAATAATCAATTATATTATTTCCCCCCTTTTTATTCCTCCCCATCCCTCCCTCCCCCCCCACCTGAGACTTCCCTCAGCTCCCCTCTTTATTTGCACATATTATTATCCGCATGTTAAAAATTGTACATATCATTGCTTTATCTATCATTTATTCTATTAATAAATTTGTGGATGCTTATTCAAAAGGAGTCCAAGTCATTTTGTTGTTTTTTTAAGTAATTTGTAAAAAGTTCCCAATCTTCCTTGAAGTCATGATTATCCTTCTCACGTAATTTATGTGTCAACTTTGCCAATTCTGCATAACTCATCAATTTTTCTTGCCATTGCTCTTTCATTGGGATTTCCTTGAGGTTGTTGCTTTTGGACAATCAAGTGGTATATTAATTTATAATCACTCAAACAAACAAACTGTTAAGTTGTGGGTGAACATATCAGACGACACAGCGATTCTTCAAACAGCTCTTGTTTATTCACAGGCCAGAACAGAACTGAACTGAAGGGTTCAGTCAGCCTGCTTATATAGAGCTCCACTACAACATAACTGTAACAATTTTCTAAAACTATCCAATCACTGAACGTCACTTTCGATCCCTTATTTGCATGACTATCTACAGTATCCCCCTGCTGGCCCAGGGTGAGAACTTCAGTACATAACACAAAGTCCAGCATCCTGATTTGATAGTGGCCAGTCAGATGCCCCAATGGGAAGCCCCCAAGCAGCAGTCTCCCCCTCATGTGATTCCCAGCCAATAGTATTCATCCCTTCCTATCCCAGCACTCACCGTGTCCAATGAGGCGGCAGCTCTCATGTCAGGCAAGAAGCCCACCTCCAGCACGCTGAGAAGGAAGTCCTGGTTGTCAATGCCGTAGACCCGGTCCAGGAACAACACCATGGGTGCCTTGTGGTCAGGCACAAAGCTCGCGGACATCTTGGGCTCGACTACGCTGCCGTCTACGCATGGGCAAGAGAAGAACATTAGCGGGTGGAGGAGAGAGAGCAAGCCAGGCTTCTGGAAGTCGGTTGGGGTTTGGGAAAGCAAGGCAGGCATAGGAAGGAGCAGCAAGTGCACATGGAAGGTTCCGGAAGGGCCCGGAAGGTTCTCGGGACCAGGAGAGGTCCCGCCCGGCCACCGTACCTTTGCCAAACGATGGGATCTGCAGAGGTAGACTGATGACCCCCACAAGATCCTCCAGGGGCACCAAGGAGCGCAAGATGGCCCTGATTCGGAGGGCTTCGCCTTTTCCGGCCTGGATGAGCTGTTGGGATAGAAGGAGGCAAGGCGTGAGGAGGAGCCAGTTGGTTAGGGACCTGATCCAATGCCCACTTTGGAAGAAAGGATGCTGGGGGGGGGGAGAGAGTTGAGAGCCAGCAGAGGACTATGCTGGAGGGTGGGTGGGATCAGTGCAAGGTGAAATGTTGTGGGGGGAGTTTTTTTTGGGGGGTGAAGTGGGCTATCTCTAGCATCGCAGACAGTGAAGGGAGTGGAGCGGTCTTGCTTACATGCATCTCAGGGGCGCAGCGCCCCAGCAAATCGATGAGGGCGGCATAGAAGGACATGATTGCGTTGCCCAAATGCACCCGGTTCTCCTCGTGGGATTCCTCTCCCCCAAATCTGATAGAGAGAGAAAAAGAGAGAAAGAGAGAGAGTAGGGAAAGGGGGATCATCAGCCGTTCATGCAGTGAAGGTGGGGAGCATGGGGGAGGGGCAAAATAATGAAGCCCTACCCCTAAACAAACAAACAAACAAACAAACAAACAAACAAACGTGAGAGTAGGGAAAAGGAATGAATACTTGTCACGAAGTGTGTGTGAAAATGAAGCTGCAGCCAGTGAGCTCGGACAAGTGGTCAATATGTCAGCAGAGTGCAGAATACGGCCATCAGGTTAGAACAGGGGCCGGCAAGGTTTACCTCGCCTGGGCCAGTTCACTCCAGCGGAGACCCCTCACTCCAGCGGAGACTCCATCGCTGGATATTGCGCGTGCGCGATATCCGGTGGTGGAGTCTGCGCAGACACGATTTCCGGCATCTGCGCAGATGTGATTTCCGGCGCTGTGGAAGCGAGTCCCCGTTCTGCACTGTGCTGGTTTAGTGCAGTGCGCAGGGACTCACCAAGCGGGCAGCTCGTGGGCCGGATAAATGACCCCCATGGGCCACTTGTGGCCCATGGGCCTTAGGTTGCCTACCCCTGGCTTTGAATATTGTGGCACTGCCAACAACCCGAATTCTTAGCTTTTACACTGAAAAAAACCACACACAAAAACAGATCAAGGCTCCAGTCCTCCTGAAGGCGGAGGGGAAGTGAAGTGGAGAGGGAAAGGGAGAAGGGAATTTTTTAATTGAGCTAAGAAATCAGGGGGACGCGGGTGGTGTGTGGGTTAAGCTCCCGTTGCTCGGTCCCTGCTCCTGCCAACCTAGCAGTTCGAAAGCACATCAAAGTGCAAGTAGACAAATAGGTACCACTCCGGTGGGAACGTAAACGGCGTTTCTGTGCGCTGCTCTGGTTCGCCAGAAGCGGCTTAGTCATGCTGACTACATGATCCGGAAGCTGTACGCCGGCTCCCTCGGCCAGTAAAGCGAGATGAGCGCCGCAACCCCAGAGCACACGCTGAGCATGTGCAGAAGCGTGGGAAGGTTGTTTGGAACAGCTCTCTGCAGGGACTCAGGCCTGTAGTGAGGTCACCTGGGAAAGCGTCACAGACTCATAGAATTGTAGAGCTGGGAGGGACCACAAGGCCCATCTAGTCCAACCCCCTACAATTCAGGAATCTTTTGCCCCGTGTTTGGACTCGAACCCACGACTCTGAGATTAAGAGCCTCATGCTCTACTGACTGAGCTACCAAGGCAGATAGTTGTCAGGCAAGTATTTGACTTGTGCGCTAGCTAGCAAGGCACCTTTTCAACAAGAGAGATAAGCTGGAGCAGGTCACACGCTGCTCCTCTGCTCAATGCGCTGAGCAACAAGGGAGCCTCTGCTCCTCTTGCTGTTCCTGGAGAAACAGAACAATTTTGCCTCTGCCTTCACCATCCTTTCCAGCCCGTCCCAGTTTAACAGGAGCTGTTAAATTGGAAAGGGGTGCAGCTCTGTGGCGCTGCCACCTGTTTGCAGGCAGAATGTCCCTGGGATCTTCAATCCCTGGGAATGTCCTGGAGAAGCACTGCCAGTCAGTGTAGACAACACAGAGTCAGATGGACCAGGTGTCGGACTTGGCATAAGGCTGCTTCATATATATCTCCAGGCTAAGACCTATAGTTCAGTGGCTGCGCATGTACTATGCATGCATAAGGTCCCATGCTCAATCTACAGCATCTCCAGGTAGGCTAGGAATCTTCCTAGGCCAAACTGCCACAGCCAGTCAGTGTAGGCAGTATTGAGCTACCGTATTTTTCGCTCTATAGGACGCACCAGACGATAAGACGCACCTAGTTTTGGGGGGAGGAAAACAAGGGGGGAATTGAATCCCAGAAGCCAGAACAGCAAGAGGGATCTGGCTTCTGGGATACTGTGTGGCTGTTCTGGCTTCTGGGATAACAGCGCCAAGCCTCTTCAGGGCAGCGGGATGAAGGCTCCCTCTGCCCGGAAGAGGCTAAGGCAGAAGCCAGGACAGGTGCCTCACTGAAGGGGCGCTGCACAGTTATCCCTCTCTGCACAGCGCCACTTCAAGCGAAGCTGGAGAAGGAACAGAAGGAGACCCTTCTGTTCCTCCTCCGGCTTCACAGGACAGGTGCGTCGCTGAAGCGGCGCTGCGCAGATAAGGAGAGCTGCGCAGCGCCCCTTCAGCGACACGGGAGGAGGAATAGAAGGGGCTCCGTTCCTCCTCCTGCTTCGCTGAAGGGGCGCTGCGCACCTCTACCTCTCTGCGCAGCGCCATTCACTCCATAAAACGCACTCACATTTCCCCTTACTTTATAGGTGCGTCTTATGGAGCGAAAAAAGTGCATCTTATGGAGCGAAAAATACGGTAGATGCAAAAATGGTCTGATTCAGTATAGGGCCTGCTTCTATGTTCCTATGAACTGGGCTGTATACCCTCTGGTTCAAGGATGGGGTCTGCATCCCTGGAATGTGTCTGTTAACTCTATGCCCTGCCCACCCAAATTACTCAATGAGCCTGCCCTCCCCGTCAGCATGCACAGCTCCCTCGCCCCTCCCTTCACGCACAGCTCCCGGCGGCGATCTTTCTTGACCGTCGGCCCGTCGCGGGCAGGATCCTGCGAGATCTGGATGGCCTCCTCAATGGCGGCCAACAGCCCGTTGCCACCTTCACCCCGTAGGGCGGGGCCAAAACACTCAGGGCGCCGGATCAACAAGCGAACCACCACGTTGGCGTTCTCTTCCACACTCTCGCCTGCGGGGAAGAAGGGAGAACGTTGCATGAACGGGGACAGGGAGGAAGGTTTCTGCATATACACATAAAATTGTAAGGCTGTCGTCATGTTGCAATTTGCATTGCCACCTAGAGAGGTGAGATGAAGGGGAGGGAGTTGGGGAGAGCTGGGAGGGGAGGTTTGGACAAACTGGAAGGGAGATGTAAAGGGATGGGGGGTGTTGGTCAGTCGTAAGCGAAGGGTGGGTGGCAAAGGGGTTGGTGCACAGGTAGGCTTGGTAACCGAAGCAAGCAGGCACCCTAGTTTTTTTCCACAGAAACACCTGGTGGAAACTCTACTGTCTTCGTTATTTCAGTTTTGACTTGCTTCCACAAAGTAAGGATTATATTTCTTACGTTTGTGGCACAAGGTTTAGAAATATGTGGGGTGTGCCCAGTGCCAGCTCAGAATCTGGTTGAAGTCTTGGAAGGGATATTAGAAGGGGAAAGAAAGGCTGGTCTGTGACATCTGTTGGGGCTGATGTGGCCGACTGGCTAGCCAGGGTTCTAAGAATTATAAACATGCCTCATCTCTTTCGTCAATCACTTGTTTCCCCCCAAAATTAACCCCGGGTCCAACTAATGAAATCTGCAGCAACCTTCGTCCTGTGCAGGTTTTGCCAACCTGGTGCCTTCCAGATGTTTTGGAGGACAACTGGTGGGGACTCCAGGTTACCAGATGCTGCTCCAGTGCAACACCAACACAGTGATACCTATATCCAAATTTAGCAGTGACTCCTCCATTCTGGGAACCCGCCATTTTGAAGACACTGATGCCAGAGGAAGGCAGACCCCCCCCCCCGAGTGAGTGAAATAATACAGCCAGCTGTGTTTTCTGGGTCGCGAGTGATGAAGAGTGGACTTGCTCTTCTGGACCCTGAATTATCTGTGTAACCACCAGTGTTAAGAGGCCACTGACCGCCAAAGCTCACCGTTGACGAAGACAGTGAAGCGCAGGAAGTCGAGGTAACGCTCGCCTCCACAGGGGTTCCAGCCAATGTCGGGGTATCCCTTGGAGAGCAGCATGGGGCAGCTCTGGAGGCCGGCCCCGGCTAGGTACGTCACCACCTGGGGAAGCAAGGCAGAGTGCAAGACTTGATGGCAAAGCTCCAGTCCTTCCATGCCTTTATCCACAGGGCATCCACCCCGATGGAGCAAAATGGTGGAGGACCAGATTCAAGACTGGGATAATTCACCCTCATTTCCCTGGACTGAAAAAAAGGCTACGCTTATAACTACCGTATTTTTCGCTCTATAGGACGCACTTTCCCCCCTCCAAAAATGAGGGGGAAATGTGTGTGCGTCCTATGGGGCGAATGCAGGCTTCAGGAAGCTATCTGCAAGCCTTCAGAGTGCGGCGGGAGTGCCCGCCGGGGTACGAAGGCTTGTGGATAGCAGCCTGCATCCCGAAGCCCGGGGAGTGCAGCGCTGCGCACCCCGGCTTCAGGCAGCTATCCACAAGCTTTCAGAGCCTGCCAGGCTTCGGGCAGCTATCCCCAGCACTTGCCGCCACTCCTGGACCTGTTCTGGGGGCTGGGGTCAGGGGAAGCTCGGGCTTCCTCCGCCCCAGCCCCGCAGCTAAAAATGAAGCCGCGCGCAGCCTCTCCCGGCTGGAGAGGTTGTGCGTGGCTAAAGAGGAAGCCAAGACAGCCAGCGGGATGGCTGTCTTGGCTTCTTTGCTCTTTGGGGCTGGGGGGGGGGATAAATATTTTTTTCTTTATTTCCCTCCCAAAAACTAGGTGCACCCTATGGTCCGGTGCGCCCTTTAGAGCGAAAAATACGGTAACTGAAAAGACTCACAAACCACACAATAAGTAACTGCACATGAGTGACAGGTCTGCATTCATGAAATCAATAGGCAAGAAAAACGGAAGAGGAGTCCTTTAGCTGGATCCCATCCAGTCCAGCATCCTATTCTCACAGTAGCAAACCAGAAGCTCATATAAGTAGAACCAACACTCCATACTTCTGCTATTTCTGGCATTCAGAGGCAAACTGCATTCGACAGTGGACAGGATGTGTATTGATCCTGGCGTCATTTATGACCTTTAAATAGCTAGCTTCAGCATTGCTGCCCAGGAAAGGAAGAGAGGTGGGATGCAGTTGCTAAGCAACCGCAGAGGAGTTTACTCCCTCACCACTGGACAAAAAGGCTGCCTAGGCTGCTGCTGTGAAGGCAAGGAACAGCTAAGGGAACTGCCGCTTCCCATATGAACTGACCCAGACCCTACAATCACAATCTCACACCCTTCTTTGTGTGCTTCCTCTGCAAAAGGTCCAGAAGGCAGCAACACAAGAACGGGCCTTTTCTGCAGTGGCTCCCCACTTGTGGAATGTTCTCCCCAAGGAGACTCACCAGGTGCCTTCATTGCAATATCTTTAGGCACCAGGCAACAAGATTAATTAAACAATCCATGACCTTTTAAACTGGAGAGGGGTAATGTTTTTGCCTGTTACTATGGCATGCATTTTTGTGTTTTTATATTGCAAATCGCCCTGTCATTCTTGGATGAAGAGCAGTATAGAAATTTAATAAATGATGAAAAGCCAGTGTGGTGTAGTGGTTAAGAGCGGTAGTCTCGTAATCTGGGGAACCGGGTTCGCGTCTCCGCTCCTCCACATGCAGCTGCTGGGTGACCTTGGGCCAGTCACACTTCTCAGAAGTCTCTCAGCCCCACTCGCCTCACAGAGTGTTTGTTGTGGGGGAGGAAGGGAAAGGAGAATGTTAACCGCTTTGAGACTCCTTAAAAGGGAGTGAAAGGCGGGATATCAAATCCAAACTCATAATAAACAATAAGGGGGAAGCCGGCGATGTTTTTAGGCCCCATTTGGATTTCTGCACCACTGCCTTGGGTGCCACCACTTCTCATCTCTTCTCAGTGGCGTAGCGTGGGTTGTCAGCACCCGGGGCAAGGCAAGTAATTTGTGCCCCCTAACCCGTGGATTTGCGCCCCCTAACCCATGGATTTGCGCCCCCTAACCAATGGATTTGCCCTAATCCCAGATGTTGCGCCCGGTGTGGCCCGCCCCCCTGCACCCCCCACGCTACGCCACTGTCTCTTCTCTCCCCTATCTCCCTGAATGACAGAAAGAAAGAACACACACGCTTCACTTTCCCAAGCGATCTGGGTAAAATGAATTCACGTGCACCTTGAAAAGCACATAGAGGGGAAAGAGGAAGTGTTAAGGAGTGCCCCTCTTGCCATTTCAGCTCTATGATACAGTCACAAGAGAAAAGGCGACCACCCTCTCACCACCTCACGGGGACAGGGTTGAAAGCCTTTGTGGGCAGCAGAGGAAGACCTGAAGGATGCTGGCGATCCCTGAGCTAAGGGAAATGGAGAGGAGGGCAGCAATAGCATGGTTTTGGGGAGAGAGAAAGGAGAGGGGCAAATTTGGGGAAGGGGAGCAGTCTTCTTGTAGCTAGTATGCTGTTAATACCCAAAGCTGGTCCTGTGATAGGAATTTTGAGGTCTTAGATATATGGTAATATTCATAAGTGTACCAACCAAGCACGTACATAGATCAGCACAGGAAGACCGACCTGAAGCCATTTTGATTCCTAAACTGAGCAAATGTTTTCTCTGCAAGGTCAAAGTGAAAAGCCTCCCCATTGTCTTTTCCTTCACAAATCCTGTCTTAAGGGTATGTCTGTGTTTGAATAGGGTGTGAACCTGTGACATGGCCCAGGAACTAAGTATTTATCATTACAAAAGACTGGCCAGGCTCCGCAGGCAATCCAATCAAGTAACCTGCCAGACAGGAGATAAACAACAACAGGAGAAAAACAATATTCAAATTTCTGTTTTAGACCGCCTTTTCTGTGATGTAGGTGTGATGTATCTGAGGGGTAGTTACACCCCTTCTGTGATGTATGTATGATGTTTCTGGGGGTGGTCTTGATCTAAAAAGGTAAAGGTACCCCTGCCCGTACGGGCCAGTCTTGACAGACTCTGGGGTTGTGCGCCCATCTCACTCAAGAGGCCGGGGGCCAGCGCTGTCCGAAGACACTTCCGGGTCACGTGGCCAGCGTGACATCGCTGCTCTGGCGAGCCAGAGCCGCACACGGAAACGCCGTTTACCTTCCCGCTAGTAAGCGGTCCCTATTTATCTACTTGCACCCGGGAGTGCTTTCGAACTGCTAGGTTGGCAGGCGCTGGGACTGAACAACGGGAGCGCACCCCGCCGCGGGGATTCGAACCGCCGACCTTTCGATCGGCAAGCCCTAGGCGCTGAGGTCTTGATCTACAGGGTGGCAATTTCAAAAGTCTTTATAAGGCCTTGCATGCCATTTTTCTGGGTTCCTCCTCCTCTCCTGCGTGTGAGGGGAGCACCCTGTTGCAACAGATCAATAAAGATCAAGCTTACTAGCTGCATTGCTTCTCAATATTCTCTGGTTGGCCTCTGTTATTCTCTCCTACCAATAGGGAACCTATGTAAGGACTCTATATGGGCTCTTGGATACCCCATAAGGGAAAAGGGCAATTTTTTATTTACAACCGTCCTTAGCCACACTCCACACCCACCCACCCACCCAGTCCTGTTTGGTACTTTCTGACCATGCCTCTTACCTTCTCCAGGTCTTGCTCTTGCAAGGCCAGAGCCAGCTCGTTGTTGTCGATGACAGAAGCAGCTGCCACGTCCAAGGGTGTGGATCCGCGCATGCCTAGAGGAGCAAAGCCAACAGTAAGAACAGGCAGAACTCAAGGCCCAAGGGGCAGAGCATGGCCTGACAAAAAGGGGATAGAGGATTCACTGCCCTCAGAAGTTGTAGCTGGAATGGCACAACTTGGGTAGGTCTGTTTTAGAGGCAAAAATAAAAAATCAACTGTTTAATTTTTCAAAATGGGGTTTAATCCTCCCCTGCTAAAGAGGCATGGATAGATTTGCGGGGTGACATGCTTTCTCAATTTGTTTTAAAGGTAAAGGTAAAGATACCCTTGCAGGTTTGGGCCAGTCTTGCCAGACACTAGGGTTGTGCGCTCATCTCACTCTATAAGCCGGGAGCCAGCGCTGTCCGCAGACACTTCCGGGTCACATGGCCAGCGTGACAAAGCCAGAGCCACACACGGAACGCCGTTTACCTTCCCGCTGGAAAGCGGTCCCTATTTATCTACTTGCACCCGGGGGTGCTTTCGAACTGCTAGGTTGGCAGGCGCTGGGACCGAACGACGGGAGCGCACCCCGCCGCGGGGATTTGAACCGCCGACCTTTCAATCGGCAAGTCCTAGGCGCTGAGGTTTTACCCACAGCGCCACCCACGTCCCCCCAATTTGTTTTAACTAGCATTAAATCAGAATTTCTCAGAACAGTGGAAGAGGACCAAAAAAAATGCTTTGCCCTTCAGTTTTGACACCAGACACACATGGAAATGGAGGAGCAAATTTCACCTGTGTGAGAATATTTCTACATTTATGTTCATCAGCCAAACACCTGGTTAAAGAGAAACATTTCTGCTGGGGACCTAAAGATATATAATGAAGGTGACCAGGCGAGACTCCACAAATGGGGAGCCACCGCAAAAAAAGCCCATTCCCACCATCTTTGGACAGCTGATATCTGCTGTCTTCCTCCACACCCCGGAACCCCACTGCACCCCCCCAACCCTGCTCCAAAGCGCCCTTGCTCACCCAGCCCAATGCCACTGTTCTCCAGCAGGTAGCTGAGGTGGTCGAACATGGAGCGCTGGTTCTGGCGGCTGATGCGGCAGAAGTAGCACAGGAAACGGCAGCAATTGGTCACCATCTTGGGGAAGCGGATCTCCTGCTCAGCAAGGGACAAGGCGGCTTCCTTTAACAGCTTTGCTAAACACCCGCTTTGCCATCTCACCCGCCCCACCCCTCTCCTGAAATATGGGGTGACGTTTTGACGAAGACGGCATTGCATGGCTGTTGCACGCACTTGCAGTGCACAAGTCCACAATAATCACCCTGAGTGTGTGTGTGTTCACTTGGAGGGAGCTTTTTTTAAAAAAAATGGGGTGCCTTCCTGTCAATAATGAAGCAGTTCATAGTCCCACCGTATGGCCTGAAGGAGTGATGCATGACAAACTGCTATCAGTGCTTCCCCTTTCCGTGGGAATTGATCAAATAAGAGCTTTGAGTTCCTCAAAAGCTCCAGCGTTGGAAAAGTATTGAAGCAGTGAGTTCTTCCACTCTGTTTTTTGAAGTATTAAAGGTAAAGGTACCCCTGTCCGTATGGGCCAGTCTTGACAGACTCTAGGGTTGTGCGCCCATCTCACTCTAGAGGCCGAGAGCCAGCGCTGTCCGAAGACACTTCTGGGTCACGTGGCCAGCGTGACAAAGCTGCATCTGGCGAACCAGCGCAGCACATGGAACGCCGTTTACCTTCCCGCTGGTAAGCGGTCCCTATTTATCTACTTGCACCCAAGGGTGCTTTCGAACTGCTAGGTTGGCAGGCGCTGGGACCGAGCAGCGGGAGCGCACCCCGCCACGGGGATTCGAACCGCCGACCTTTCGATCGGCAAGCCGTAGGCGCTGAGGCTTTTACCCACAACGCCACCCACGTATTATATATAGCAATTATGGTGGCTGTCTCTCTACATGTTAAATAATAATAATAATAATAATAATAATAATAATAATAATAATAATAATAATAATTATTTGTACCCTGCCCATCTGGCTGGGTTTTTCCAGCCACTCTGGGCAGCTTCCAACAAAGATTAAAAATACATTTAAAATGTCACACATTAAAAACTTCCCTGAACAGGGCTGCCTTCAGATGTCTTCTAAATGTCAGGTAGTTGTTTATCTCTTTGACATCTGATGGGAGGGCGTTTCACAGGGCGGGTGCCACCACCGAGAAGGCCCTCTGCCTGGTTCCCTGTAGCTTTGCTTCTCACAGTGAGAGAACCACCAGAAGGCCTCAGCGTCCGGGCAGAACGATGGGGGTGGAGACACTCCTTCAGGTATACTGGGCTGAGGCCGTTTAGGGCTTTCCAGGTCAGCACCATGCCTCCCTCCTCACAGAATGGCAGAAAGCATTTGATCCAGTTATGGACCCCCTCGCTCTCCTGCACTGAAGACCGCACCACCACTACCACCTCTTCCTCCTCCTTCTCCATCAATTTTGTTGGGTGGGTGTGTGCAGCCATGAGCAGCCTTGAAGATGTGGGCCTGTGCTAGCCGAAAGCAAGCTTCCTTACCTTCGAATCTCCTCCTCCGAGCACATTCACCATCACCTCCATGACGGTCTCATGCATGCCCAGAGCCCTCATCAGGTTGGGGTGCTGGTAGAAGACCTTGTTGTTCATAATGTTGCTGCCAGGGGAAAACACAAGGGTGCAAGGTGCTGAGGAGAATGCAAGCCCAGGATGCAAGGGACAGAGCAAGTGGGAGTAGAGGGGAGTCGTGAGTGTTTAAGGGGAAGAGCTTCAGGCTGAGAGAACGGCCACCACCCTGGAAGGCTTTAAAAGAGGGTAGGACAAATACGTGGAGGAGGGTAAGATTATCCATGGCTAGTAGCCATGATAGCGATGCACTGCCTCCATGGTCAATGCTTCTGAATACAGTGGTACCTCGGTTTAAGAACAACGTTGTTCACCTTCACACTGGTATGGCTCTCCTTTATCACATACACAGCCCAACAGGACGACGACAAAAATCCACCAACAGCATACAAATCAATACGGCTAACCTGATCCAAAACACCCACCCACCCCACTCACACAGGAAAACAAAGACCACCACAGCCAACCACAAGTGAATAACCACACCCTAGGCCAACCCCAACCTCTCTCACCACCAAAGGAATACAAGTGAACAGCAGAGAACCTGCACAAGCAACGCTGACACCAGACCCTACATATATTAAATAAAATAGAAACATCTATTGAGGGGGACAGCTCTGGGCATGCTTAACAGTCTACAGCTCCCAGGATCCTTTGGAAGCCATGACTGTTTAAGAAGAAGAGAAGATGAAGAGTTTGGATTTGATATCCCGCTTTATCACTACCCGAAGGAGTCTCAAAGCGGCTCACATTCTCCTTTCCCTTCCTCCCCCACAACAAACGCTCTGTGAGGTGAGTGGGGCTGAGAGACTTCAGAGAAGTGTGACTGGCCCAAGGTCACCCAGCAGCTGCAGGTGGAGGAGCGGAGACGCGAACCCGGTTCACCAGATTACGAGACTACCGCTCTCAACCACTACACCACACTGGCTCTCCAGTGGTATTAAGGTGGTATCGTAGTGCTTTAAATGTATGGAGCGGACTTAGCCTCAGAGAGGGATGCTGTCCCCGCAAATGGGAAGGAGTCAAAAGTTGGGGGTGGGGGTGGTCATAGCTCATGGACAGAGCAGATGTTACCCAGTGAGAAGGGGCCTCAGGCAGCAGGGAAGGATCCTTGCCTCAGACCTTGTAGAGCTCAGTACCAGACAAGATGAACCAAGATGGCTGAGTAATATGGAAATGTATTTCTGCAGCTCATTGGAGTGAACAGTTCCCTTTGAGGAGGAGCCGGGAACCCAGGGAGCATGGAGGGACTGCTTCAGGGTGGGATAAAGGAGGAGGCTACAGGAAGGGGTGGAGGCACATACCCAATACTCTGTATCATCAGGTTCTCCTCCTCAGGCCCCATCTGGACGATGAGCAGTGAACGGATCTGGCCCAGGCACTCCAGCAGGCTCATAGTGTCTTCCACAGAGTTGGCGTTGATGGTGTAGGCCTTGGGGAGGGCACGGATTAGCTCCCCAAGGCCGTCGTACTGCCGATGGAGAAGGCTGAACATGACCCGCACCAGCTCCGGGCTCTGGATGAAAGACTCTTGGGCCCAGTGAACCATGGTGTGTGAGATCAGCTCCTGCAGGGTGGCTGCATGGTTGGGGAGAGGGAGAACTGAGGTCTACTAGACCAGGGTTCCTCAACCTCGGCCCTCCAGGTGTTTTGAGACTACAATTCCCATCATCCCTGACCATGGGTCCTGCTAGCTGGGGCTCATGGGAGTTGTAGGCCAAAAACATCTGGAGGGCCAAGGTTGAGGAAGCCTGTACTAGACAGCCTATAAGAGGCTATAGTGCAAAACATCTGGAGGTCACAAAGCGGGCAAAGGACACTTCTTAAGAACATTAAAGAAATCTGCTTCTTCCTGACTCATGGCCATGATCCTCAACTCGCAGCAAGGTAAAGGTAAAGGGACCGCTGACCATTAGGTCCAGTCGTGGACGACTCTGGGGTTGCGGCGCTCATCTCACTTTATTGGCCGAGGGAGCAAGCATACAGCTTCCGGGTCATGTGGCCAGCAGGACTAAGCCGCTTCTGTCGAACCAGAGCAGCGCATGGAAACGCCGTTTACCTTCCCGCCGGAGTGGTACCTATTTATCTACTTGCACTTTGTGCTTTTGAACTGCTAGGTTGGCAGGAGCTGGGACTGAGCAATGGGAGCTCACCCCGTTGTGGGGCGTTCGAACTGCCGACCTTCTGATCAGCAAGTCCTAGGCTCTGTGGTTTAACCCACAGCGCCACCCGCGTCTCTATAACTCTCAGCAAAGTAGCCCCTTAACCACCCCCTTCCTTCCCCAACTCCACTCTTGCACCTACTGGGTTTTGGCTCCTCTTCTGCAGGCTGCTCTTCCTCCGTTTTCTCCTCCTTCTTGCGGAAGCTCGTTACCTTATCCACTAAGCCCATCAGCCGCCGGTAGAAGGACGTGTCTTCCTCCTCCTCCTCTTCTTCACCCTCCGATTGGATACCTGTTGGGGAATGTGCAGAGCTAATGAGCGCAAGTGTCAAAAAATGGGGGAAACCGGTCTGGTGCCCAAGCCAGCCAGGGTGTGTGGACAAGAACACACTGTGCAAGTGTGGACCTTGGCATCTGCAGCATCTTCACACTTGCCGTTTGGATTTTCAATGCAAGCTTCTAGCTGACATTCACCACAGGGATAAGCTGGGGAAGGTGTGGCTTACATCTACGAAATGGAACTCTCAGCACCCCTAGGAAACTACAACTCCCAGGATTCCTTGGGGGAAGCCCTGACTGTTTAAAGTGGTATCACAGCACTTTAAATATATAGTGCGAATGTGTCCTGATGTTAGGGCAGGTGTGGGGAGCAGGTCAGCAATAACTCAGAAACTGCCAGTGACGTCAACTCTTTATTCCAAGAAACAAAACAGCTCAGGCCTAGTGAGCACAGCAACTCTTTCCAGTAGACCTTGCCCCAATGCCAGTTGTGAGGACGGAAGGTCCACACCTTCCCACAGCTCCTCCTCGCCCGGGTCCTTCCCAAGCAATCTGAGACTCTGATGCCTTGTCTGTTTTTGCTCTGCCCTCTTCACACCTCATCTGGTTCTGTAAGACCAGGGTTCCCTTGGGGGTTCCTCAGCTGGTCTTCCCAGCACTCCTCTGCATCAAGCAGAGTGGCTTTTAGTGTGCTTAGGGCTGGTAGGGGCAATGAAGAGGTGCTCCTTACCACAGTGAGACAGCAAATCAGCGTGGAATTCCAGCAGTTCGTCCCGGATGTCTTCCGGTACTGGGCACTCCTCCTCGTCAGCCCCATTCTTGAAGTGCAGCAGCATGTTGATCTGCAGAGGAGAGAAGACACAGCTTGCACTGGATGTGGCCTGCAAGCCTGGGCAGCTTTTGTCCCATGCTCCATACAGCACCTAGCGCAGCGGTTCTCCACCTGTGGGTTCCCAGATGTTGTTGGACTACAACTCCTATCATCCCTGAGCTATGGCCTTGCTAGCTAGAGGTGATGGGAGAGTTGTAGTTCAACAACATCTGGGGACCCACAGGTTGAGAAAGGCTGACCTAGCATCATGCTGGAGTTAAGTGATGAATGCTGCTAAGCAGAGAATCCGGGCCTTTCCTGTGGAATGTACTATGCCAGTCTTCCCCAACCTGGTGCCCTCCAGATGTTTTGCACTGCCTGGGACTGATAGGAGTTACAGCTTGTCACATCTGGAGGGCATCAGGTTGGGAAAAGCTGTGCATTAAAAAAGCCTTTCCCTTGCTCTCAGTAAACCCATAGTTGCTCAGGATACAAATTTAGCAGAACAGCAAAACATCATGTGCTGCACTGTAGGCCACTGACAGTGAGAACTTCATTCATTCATCATTCACCATTTTATTTGTATGCCGCCTTTCCATAGTAAAAACAAGGCTCAAAGCAGCTTACAACATGACAAGATTTACATAATTACCAACATAACAAAAATCATAAACAATAAACAAAACAAATAAAAAGTACCAACCAAATGGAAAACAATTTGCACATAAATCATAAAATCTAAATCTACCAGTCAGTAGACTGGCAGAATCTGAGACCAGGGAGAAGAGTCGGTGGAAGAAGACTGGAAAAAATTTAAAGTATATTTACAGAAATGTTGTAAAATTAATGAATGTTAGAAGGATGCTGGAAAGAAGTTATATGGCTTTAGCAGAAATGTTATAAAGAATTAAGTAAGAATAGATTGATAACGGGTTAAGGTGTAAAATCTAAGGCTGAATTGCGTTAAGATAAATTATTGAATTAAATTTGAGAAAGAGGGAAAGGACTTGCTGAAACAACTAATTGAACTAGAATACAAAAAAGGGAGGTGTGAGGAAGTCAAGGAAATAAGTAAATGAAAGATAAGGATATGAAAATACTGGATGGTTTTTTTCTTTTTTTAAAAAATGTTTTTGTTTTTAAATGCTTTTGCTTTTTCTTTCTTAATGTTTTGTTGTATTGTTGTTGTTGTTTTTTACTGTACTTTTTTATCTTTGAAGTCTTGTAACATTTTAGTGTTCGCTTTTCTTTTTTTGAAATTGTTAAACTCTAATAAATATTTAAAAAATAAAATAAATAAAATCTAAATCTAATACAGCATTACAGTCATACCTCGGGTTGAAGTAGCTTTGGGTTGTGCATGTTTGGGTTGTGCTCCACGGCGACCCGGGAGTAACGGAGTGTGTTACTTCCGGGTTTCGCCGCTCACGCATGCGCAGATGCTCAAAATGACATCACGCACATGTGCAGAAGCAGCGCATCGCAACCCTCGCACGCGCAGACGTGCGGACGCGGGTTGCGTTTGCTTTAGGATGAGAACGGGGCTCCGGAACGGATCCCGTTCGCATCCAGAGATACCACTGTAATATCAATCACAATTTAAAATGACATACAGTGGTGCCTCGCAAGACGAAATTAATTCGTTCCGCGAGTTTTGTCATCTTGTGATTTTTTCCGTCTTGCGAAGCACGGTGTCGGGAAAGTTTTGGAAAAGCTTTAAAAACCTCAAAAAGCTTCAAAAACCTCAAAAAAGGCTACCACACCGCGTGCTATGAGTTGCTCCTCGAAGTCAAGTCGCAACTGTATTAATGGTGTTAAGAAAAAGGAAACAAACTTGCAAGACGTTTCCGTCTTGTGAAGCAAGCCCATAGGGGAAATCGTCTTGCGAAGCAACTCAAAAAACAAAAAACCCTTTCGTCTAGCGAGTTTTTTGTCTTGCGAGGCATTCGTCTTGCGAGGTACCACTGTAGATAAAAAATAAAAACAAAAATGGAGCCTTTTCTGCCCAGCAGCAGCAGCAGCAGCACTCTTTATGGAGCCTGTCAGGCCCCAATCCAAGCCAGGTGGAGAGAAGCAGGGCAGGGCCCTTCAGGCTCCCAGCTTATGTTCTGAATCCCAAAATGAAACTTAATTTGCTTCTGTTATATCAATTTGCTTCTGCTATATCAATTTGCTTCTGCTATATCAATCAGAGGCTAGCACCGTGGCTTTCAAACTCACCCAGGATTTCCTCAGCGAGGTGGTCAGTGAAAGTATTATACAATAAATAATGAAGAATAATAATATTCTGGAGTGCTGTGTGAGAATATTATCAGCTTTTGACATAGGAGCATTACAGGAACTTGTACCTCTTCACTGGCTGACGCCCTGCCTAGCCACCTCCCTTAGCTCTCCCCATTGCCCCTCCCCAGTACCTGCTCCTGAGGAGGGGAGCGGAACTCTCTGGTGCGCCGGGCCGTCTCTGCGGCAGACATGGTGAAGGCCTGCATGAGGGTGTTGTAGCGCTGGCGCTGGTTGGTCTGCAGGTTGTCCACATAGCGCTCCGAGAAAGCGATGATGGCTTCCACACGGTGCTGCAGCTCGCGGTCGCAGAAGAACTGCAGCAGGTTGCACATCTGTGGGAAGAGGGAGGGAGAGAGGAGTCAGCACAATGGGGGGAGGAGCCACAGTCACCAGGGGTGGGTGGAAAGGACTGCGAAGGAGAGAGGAGGAGGTTTGGGGCTTAGCATCTTAAAAAGCAGAGACATCACCTTGCCGACAAAGGTCCGTATAGTAAAAGCTATGGTTTTCCCAGTAATGATGTATGGAAGTGAGAGCTGGACCATAAAGAAGGCTGATCGCCGAAGAATTGATGCTTTTGAATTCTGGTGCTGGAGGAGACTCTTGAGAGTCCCATGGACTGCAAGAAGATCAAACCGATCCATTCTGAAGGAAATCAGCCCTGAGAGCTCACTGGAAGGACAGATCGTGAAGCTGAGGCTCCAAGACTTTGGCCACCTCATGAGAAGAGAAGACTCCCTGGAAAAGACCCTGATGTTGGGAAAGATGGAGGGCACAAGGAGAAGGGGATGACAGAGGACGAGATGGTTGGACAGTGTTCTCGAAGCTACAATCATGAGTTTGACCAAACTGTGGGAGGCAGTGGAAGACAGGAGTTCCTGGCGTGCTCTGGTCCAGGGGGTCACAAGAGTCGGACACGACTAAACAACAACAAATGTACATACCAACTGGAGATGGGACATGGAGTAGGCTCAAAGGAGGTGGACCACACAGAGATGGGTCTTTCAGGGTGACCCGGTGCTCACAGAGCTGGCTCAGGATGTTACATAACAAGAGCCCTGGATCAGGCCAATGGCCATCAGGTCCAGCATCCTGTTCTCACAGTGGCCACGAGGACAAGAATGTCCCTTCCCCATTAAAAGTGGGCAGCCCATGAGTGGAGCCAGAGCCAACCCAACGAGGGTTGTCTCCAACTGAGCTTAGACCCAGTGGAATGAAATAGAATGTTCATTAATTTCAGCGCATCCGCTCCGAGTTAAAACTCAGTTGGGTACAACCCAAAACACACTCCTGCTTTCTCACATGGTCACAGAAGCACAACAGCTAGAGCCACCATCCATTCAATCTCACACATGAAGACCTCACACCCATCCAAACACAAGTGTTCACCTCATGCTCCTTTCGTTCCTCCCTAGAATACAAGAAGAGCCGTTATCAATCAGGCCAATGGCCCATCTAGTCCAGCATCCTATTCTTAAAGTGACCAGTCAAGATGTCAAGAACAAGATGCCCTTGATCCCGTTAAAAGTGTGTGGTCCATTGTTTGGACAGGAAATGGAGCTAACCTGAAAGAATATTATGAAAATGATATACAGGTGGTACATGACTCCAGTCAAGCTTGCAAAAATTTATCATTTGCCCGATAATAAATGTTGGAAATGTAAAGAAACTGAAGGTACATTCTTTCACCTTTGGTGGACATGCCCAAGGATTAAGGCTTTCTGGGAGATGATTTATAATGAAATGAAAAAGGTATTTAAATATACCTTCCTGAAGAAACCAGAGGCCTTCCTTCTCGGCATTGTCGGCCAATTGGTGCCAAAGAAGGATAGAACTTTCTTTATGTATGCTACGACAGCAGCAAGAATACTTATTGCAAAGTATTGGATGACACAAGATCTACCCACTCTGGAAGAATGGCAGATGCAAGTAATAGACTAGATGGAACTGGCAGAAATGACCGGCAGAATTCGAGACCAGGGAGAAGAGTCGGTGGAAGAAGATTGGAAGAAATTTAAAGACTACCTACAGAAATATTGTAAAATTAATGAATGTTAAAATGATGTTGGATGGAAAGTTATGTGGTTTTTAGCTATAACGCTATAAGGAGTATGAAAAAAATGGGCTATTAACAGTCAAAAATTCAATGTTACATATTATTTTAAGATTAAAGAGTAGGATAAACAAAGAGGGGAAGGATTTGCTGAACTAACAAATTGAACTGGAATACTAAAAGGGAGGTGTGAGGAGGTCCGGGAAATAAGCAAATGAAAGAAAGTGATGGAAAGATGGAATTGTTTTTTATCTATTTTTACTTTGTATTTTTCTTTTTTCTTTTTTCATTTTGTAAAATTCTAATAAATATCTTTTTTTAAAAAAAGGAATGGAGCTAACCGACTCTGACAGTGGGAATAAGATGGCTGGGAAGCCACTGTTGAAGGACCACAGAGGCTGGGTGATCTGGAGGGACAAAACCCCAAAGCCACACCCTTTACCTGCAGCTTGACAGATTCAGGAAGCTTCATCTGCAGCAAGCCTTCCTCCAACGCTTCCTCATCCTCCTTGGCTTCCGCTTCCCCGGCCTCAATGGCTTTCAGCTCCCTCTTCTCGCCTCCCTCCACGTCTTCCTTCTTCCCCCCTCCGGCCTCTTTCTCCGCCCCCTCTTCGTCTTCTTCCTCCGCTACCGCCATCTCCTCCTCTTCCTCCGCCGTGGGCGCTTGCTCTTCCCCTCCCTCCTCAGCATCCGCTGCTGCCTCTTCCTCCTCCTTGGGCTCCACGAAGACGTTCGGCTCGATCATCTTGAGGATGTGGCGCACGTCCTCGTCTTCGAAGACGCCCATGATGAGGAGGGTGCAGATCAGCTTGAGGACCGGCACGAACTGGAACTCCACGCTGCCCCCGACGGGGTCGCGGGTGTGCTGCCCGCCGTCCTGGACGGCCTCGGTCAGCATGTTGATGGCCTTCACCTTCAGCACGTCCAAGGGGATGGACGGGCTGAGCTGGTACAGCTCCTTGCTGTTGCTGACGAAGCAGGTGTCCACAAAGTGCAGCGGCGGGCGCAGGCAGGTGCTCATTCCCACCCCGGGCAGGCCGGGCTTCTTGGTGCCGGCCGGGAAGAGCGTGATGCTCTTGGTCTCGTCCGTCATGGGGACGATGAACTCGCTGTTCATCATGAGGCGGGAGCGCTTGGCGGACTCCAGGTGCATGCCGATGAGAAGGTCGTAGTAGCCGCTGCGCAGAAGGCCAGGCAGGTGGTTGCTCTCGATGGTGTACAGCAGCTGAGACTCGTCCACGTGGCTGCACAGCGCATGCGCCACCCGGTTGTTGCCCAAGGCGCAGACGGCGCAGTACAGCTTCAGGGTATGCGAGTGGAATTTCAGCAGGTCCAGGCGCTCTGAAAGCTCCAGGATGTCTATGCACCTGCGAAGGGGAGTCAGAAGAGAGGAATGAGAGAGCACTGCGTGGCAGGAAGTGCCCTGTCCTCCAGGCCTGGGCACCATCTTTTTGAAATAGCTCTAGTTCTCCACAAGACAGCTGAGCCTAGGGCTGCATCTACACCTTACATTTAAAGCACATAAAGGTAAAGGTAAAGGGACCCCTGACCATTAGGTCCAGTCGTGACTGACTCTGGGGTTGCGGCGCTCATCTCGCTTTATTGGCCGAGGGAGCCGGCGTACAGCTTCCGGGTCATGTGGCCAGCATGACTAAGCCGCTTCTGGCGAACCAGAGCAGCGTACGGAAACGCCATTTACCTTCCCGCCGGAGCGGTACCTATTTATCTACTTGCACTTTTGACGTGCTTTCGAAGCACATAGCTTCTCCAAATGAGTCGTGGGAAGTGTTGTTTATCCCTCATGGAGCTACAATTCCCTGTATTATTATTATTATTATTATTATTATTATTATTATTATTATTATTATTATAATATACCTCCCTATGATTTTTTTAGGGAAGTATAAGTTGAAAACAAAATAGAGCAAAACAGATGCAAAGGGTGAATTATTAATATAATAGGCTTAACATGGGTCTGTAACTACGCATGATGATAATCTTAAACGCCGTTTACCTTCCTGCCGGAGCAGTACCTATTTATCTACTTGCACTTTGACGTGCTTTTGAGCTGCTAGGTTGGCAGGAGCAGGGACCAAGCAACGGGAGCTCACCCTGTTGTGGGGATTCGAACCGCCGACCTTCTGATTGGCAAGTTCTAGGCCAAAAGGTGTATAGTTAATAGTGCCAGATGCACCTTTGTAGGGAATGAATTCCACGACTTAGGGCTGCCACATCCTCTCCAGGGTCACCACTACCCCAAACTTCTGAAGGTGGTGGAACTACCAAGAGAGCCCCCTGCTTCAAATGAACAGTGGGCATGTGACTTCTGAAAGGTGAGCGGGAGGAGATCTGCTCAAAAGGTCTCCATTTTCTTCCAGCCCTTTGTGGGAGCAAGTGGCTCATTAGGAGCTCTCCACGGTGCTGAAATGGCTAACCTGCCTTAGGACTTGGTCGAGCTGAGCTGTAATTCCTACAGGGGCTTATAGGAGACTCACCGGCTTTCCTCTGGAATGTGGAGGGCCATCATGATGTTAGGCTCTGTACACTCAACCATCCACCCATGCCGGTCGCTGAAACGGGCAACTTCCACCCGCAGGAACTCATTGGGCATACGGCTCCAGGTCATCGGTGTCAGCATCTGAATGGCAAGCCGTGGTGGGCACTGGGGTTCTGGGTTCTTCCGCTCACTGCGGAACATGGCAGCTGAGATGGGCATGATGTTCTGCCAGGGAAGGAGAAGGGAGACAGAAGAATGTGGTCACTCTGCATGTCACAACTGCAAGCTTCCCTCCGTTCTAAAATACTGTTATAGTTTTGAGGGGAGGTCAGTCTGGATATCTGTGGGCCCCTTCCAAGCCTGTGACCCAGTATGCAGCGCGGTTTAGAATCTGGCAGAAGAAGCAACCGAACCAGTCAGACTTGTTTCTTTGTTAAGATAATGCCCTCAGCTGGCTAGCTAAGTACTTCCGTTTATATGTCCAAATAAGTTGCCCTGTTGCTATAGAAACAAAAGGATGGGCCTTCTCCCACCTCATCTGGCTGGATGCCATGTGATCCTAGGATGGAGAACAGCAGGTGGATGCTGTTTGTGAGAAGGTTTGGGCTGATGCTGGAAGCTGGAGACACAAAGGCTTGCCTCACTCTGTGCTGTACCCGGAGCTATGGTCTGGGAACTTAATGTGGAGGCAAGATCTGCTGGGGTGTTAATGCTGTGAGGCCTTCCATTCTATGCTAAGGTTGTAAAAAAGTAAAGGTAAAGGGACCCCTGACCATTAGGTCCAGTCGTGACCGACTCTGGAGTTGCGGCGCTCATCTCGCTTTATTGGCCAAGGGAGCTGGCGTACAGCTTCCGGGTCATGTGGCCAGCATGACTAAGCCGCTTCTGGCGAACCAGAGCAGCGCACGGAAACGCCATTTACCTTCCCGCCAGAGCGGTACCTATTTATCTACTTGCACTTTGACGTGCTTTCAAACTGCTAGGTTGGCAGGAGCAGCGACCAAGCAACGGGAGCTCACCCCGTCGTGGGGATTCGAACCGCCAACCTTCTGATCGGCAAGTCCTAGGCTCTGTGGTTTAACCCACAGCGCCACCAATATGCCCTGCTAAGGTTGTATTGATATGCAAATGCAACCATATATCCTGTAGACACCACAGTCTCCATTCACCTTCATTTCAAGGAAACCGAATCCTGGATAAGGGTTGGAGCCCCTAGAGTCCCTCATGGCTCGGCGATTGGGATGGGTGCAAGAACAATACTATTTGGCTGTTTGGGCCTTACCTTCAACTTGCCCAGTTCAAACTGGATTACGTTCTGGCTTGTTGGGAGGGCAACGACAGCAGGAAACAGCTTCGTGTTTGGCTCCACCTGCAGTGCGACAGGTGTGTAAGATGATGCAGTAAAACACAAAGGGAAAAGGTTTCAACTTGTAACTTTTTCTCCCAATGAATGCTGGGAATTGTAGCATTGCAAGGATGCCCAGTACCCTCTTGCCAGGATGCTGAGTCAGGTCAATATTTTGTTTATTTTTAGTTACAGGTAGGTAGCCATGTTGGTCTGCCATAGTCGAAACAAAATAAAATAAATAAATTAAAATAAAAAGAATAAAAAAATTCCTTCCAGTAGTACCTTAGAGACCAGCCAAGTTAGTTAGTCTTCAAGGTGCTACTGGAAGGAATTTTTGTTTTGTTTTGTTCATTTTTAATGTATTTAAAACAATTATATATACCGGCTTTTATCAAGTATTTCAGGGCAGTTTATTTTCTGTAAATACATTCAAGCAGAGAGTATTGGTCCTGCAGTCTCTGACATGCACATACACCTGACATTTTTGGCCACTACGCTAAATCAGACACACCAGGTAAAGTAGTTTAAGTCTGTGGTGTCGGAGAGCCTTTACATGAGTGGTTTCACAGCCCCTGAATCTAGCAGCGATCCATTGTACCTCAGGCTGAGGGATAGGAGCCCCCAGAGAAATCTCTAAGAGCATCACAGTCTATTGGGCCAGAGCCTGGACCCTCACGGACACCTTCCCATGAAGAACCAGATGCTTCCAACTGCACATCACCGGTCTGGTGGTGCAGGGAACACACTAGAAGGCCGTGTATGGGACAGAGGAGAGTTGCCCGCCTTTAGGGCAGAGGGTTGGGCCTTAAAGGCTCTGTAGTCCACAAGCCTGGAGGATGTAGTCTGGAGACAGAGGATTATATTGTCCACTCACAACCTTTGCTGGAAGGGTTGGCAACTTTCAACCTGGCTGAAGCTTGCATCGGTTCAGAACATGGCAGGTGCATATAACAGGCATCCTTGACAAAGCTCTAGAAAGAGGACTGTTTTCTGAGAGCCTCAAAGGAGAATATAGAAGCTCCAGCCAATAATTCCCCTCTTGTGTGTCTCCAGTGTCGGTGGTTGGAGGTTGAAAATGGAGGTTGCATTATGTTATCCTTATCAACAATTTCACATCTATTTTAATAACCCATTTAAAGACTATCTAAAGCCAGCATCCATCCCCACACCTTGTGGTGGCAAGTTCCTTAAATTAAATATGCACTGTATGATGACCACCTCTCTGTACTCCACAGTGTCCTGAAAAATGTGTTCTGCCCTTCCACCCAGAAGGTGCCCCACTCACCTGGAAGAAAGTGTTGACCTCTTTCCCGTTGGCTGTAAAGGTCATGAGGCCTGTTGCCAGGTCAACGAGGCAGCCAATCACCAGGTCCACGGTGCTGACCCGAGTCTGCTGGGTACTGGAGACGAAGTCCCCTCCCCACACCATGTAGCAACTGCTTCGCTTGATGCTACGAAAGGGAGAAACAGTTGAAGAGTCCTTCTGACCAAAACCTTCTTGAGGTACCACTAAGCCCTGGAAAACAAGGCTTCCCCAACCTGGTGCCCTCCACATGTTGCTGAACTGCAATTCCCATCACCCCTCTTGTCTGTAGCCTCTTTTTGTGCTCATCCTTTTGGCGGAGTGAAGGAATGGGTTCCCAAAACTTAAAACCTGACTGGGCAGTCAGTCTGAAACAGGCCCCAAAATCCACATTTTTTCCTTCTCCAAGGGAGCATTTCTAAAATGCTTTAACATGAGCTCTTGAGCCAAAACCCAGCTGTATAAACAAGTGCTCAAAGCTCTCTCCTTTATCAGTCCGTGACGCCTAATGAATGGCCTTGTCCATTCCAAAGTGGAGCAGGGATGACGCATCTGGGTCTTATCTTACACTGAGGCACAGACCTTGTCAACCACCCGGGAACAGCGCCAGGAGTTGGTGACCTCTTGCTCCAAGATAAGAGTATAGGAACAGGAACAGGAACACCCTTTTATGGTCAAGAGTACAGGAAGAGGAACACCCTTTTATGGTTAAGAGCACCAGAGCAGGAACATCTGTGATGTCAACCTGCATGTATAAGCTGACGTGGTTGGATTCCTGGGGAAGGAGGGAGAGGGTGCCTGGAGGATATATATACTGCATGAAATTTCTCATTTCTTTGGACTTGCTGTGGACTGACCACGCAAGTGCCTTCTGCTATCTGGAGAGCAGAATAAACTCTTTCTCTGAATCAACCTCAGTGTCATTTGACTTCCTCCCTCCCTCTTGGGAGCAATGCAGACCCCATCAGTTGGTAAAGCCTAATAAGGCTACAAATCAGTCCTTTTATAAACATTTATGGATGAGCATTTGATGTCCTTGTTTTATCTCTGTGAGACCTCCTTTCAACCTTTACTCCCAATCAACTACGACATGGGCCTGAGGAAATGTTTATGACAGACTCACAAGGCAAAGGGAACCCGGCTAGCTCTCACCTGTCGTGGATGTTTCCTTTGTCATCACCCATGGTGACAGTGACGTTGCGCACCTTGGTGAGGTCAAAGTTCATGTCGTGCTGGTGGTAGTCAGGTGTGACCCAGCCTACCCAGACACAGGTAGGCTCCTGGCCCGCAAAGATCCGAACTGAGTAGTAATACTGTAAGGAGAAAGGACTAATGACAAACTGTGGTTTGCTTAAGCCAGGAAGCAATTCCTCCTTTGGTGCAAGTTGAAGGAAGAGAGGAGCTATGCGCAGGATTTTTGAACTCAAAACATTTCCCCAAGCATCCCATCTCTTGGAGAAGGCCACATTCTCTGAAACTGGTCCGTGAATCGTGCTTTAGCTCCACCCAGAAAAAAGATGCCCTCGGCCTGTAACAAAGCATATCTGAGCACCCCAAAGGAAGGGAGGAATCTCTGCTTCTATCAAGAGATTGCATGCCAAGCCTCACAGAGAGCCAAGTCCTGGTTACCGTTGTGGTGTTCATGATGATCTCGGGGTCATCTCGATTATCTGGAACCACCTCCTCTTCCAGCCGAGGGACGGTGGGGACGACTGGAGGAGGATTGATGAATGTGGTGGCTTTCTTAGCTTTGAACAGGAAACTGGAGAGGTGGGAGAGAGGGAGCATGGTCAGAAACGGAAGCTGGCGCTGCATCCAAATAACCAGACCTCATTCTCTCCAAGGCTGCCATCATTGCTTTTCTTGGATTAAAGTGCATTACTGACCTGAATGGGACTTACTTCTCAATCAATCTGCTTTGGACCACATTGTTTAAACATGCAAGGGTTACTTTCACGCAGCAGCGCACTGGGGCCTTGTCACTGCTTACGCATGAATGTTTTGCACAGTACCACCCACATGCTGTTATGCTCATACGTCCGGTAGTTTCTCCTAAAAGTTCCTAACTTTAATAAATAAACTGAACTCTGCAGTAACTCAGAACAGGGCTTTTAGGTTGGCTGCCCCCTATTCTGTAGAATAGCACTCAGACGCGACAAGGGACGCAGGTGGCGCTGTGGTCTAAACCACAGAGCCTAGGGCTTGCCGATCAGAAGGTCGGCGGTTCGAATCCCCACGACGGGGTGAGCTCCCGTTGTCCAGTCCCAGCTCCTGCCAACCTAGCAGTTCGAAAGCACGTCAAAGTGCAAGTAGATAAATAGGTACCGCTCCGGCAGGAAGGTAAACAGTGTTTCCGTGCGCTGCTCTGGTTCACCAGAAGCAGCTTAGTCATGCTGGCCAATAAAGCAAGGTGAGCGCCGCAACCCCAGAGTCATCTGTGTGGAAGAATCAGAACCTACAGGGTTAAGAGGTTCTGTGTGACGCCTTGCATCATGAGGCGTGGTTACGTTTCACACGTATGGGAGTGGTTTCTCTGCGTGTGTTCTTCTCTTCCGACTGCCGGAGAGGAAAGATGGGAGAATCGTCTCCGGGTGATTAGAGACTGGATTTACGATGTTATGCTACCCGAATAAAAGCGTTTTGAGATAAGAGATAAGAGAAGCCTGCGTGCAAGCTTGATTTATGATCCCCACACCGCAGCAGTTTTTTTCACCGTTGCGTATAGCTCTGCTAAACCGTCCAGAGAGAGGCAAGAGGACATTGTTGTGATCAGCAGGGTGCTGTATGCGCAGATGAAGCCTGCCAGGCGCCATGTTGGCCCTTCTGGACGGCACAATCTGCAACTGGACCTAATGGTCAGGGGTCCCTTTACCTTTTATCTCAGATGCGACAAGCACTCACTAACTGCACTTTCCTGAAACAGCTGAAGACATGCTTGTTCAAACAGGATTTCCTAGTAGGACAAATGGGTCTTAAACACCAATGTCCACCTGTTAGGGTTTTAGCCTTCTTTTAAATGCAGTGAGGGGGTCAGTGACTCTGTGCTGGACACCAGGCGGTGGCTTACTCCCGCTAGGCTTACCCCACCCTCCAGCCCTAGGAGCCTTCAGAAAGGAGCTGCTGCCCCAAAAACAACTGCTGCTTCATGGAATTGTTGACTTGAGCTTTTAGTGAGCTGTACTGTTTAGTTACAAGTTTTTATATGTCAAATGAGCCGCTAACTAATGATGATTAATTTTCTAGTGTTGTGTTACAGCGACATTATACGGCTCACGGTGTATAATTATTGCATCGCTGCATTTAGTTTCTGAACTGCTTTGAGCACAAATTTACTTGCAGAAAATGTGGTTTAAAAGTAAAACAATGACCTGCGCTTTTGTGCTTCTAACTGTTTTAAAAATCGCCTTAAGCAGTTGGTTTGGAAGGCCATCCTATATTTTCTTCCCATTTGATAGAGATTTGCCATTCCTTCAGAAAATCCGATATATAAAACCAACGTGCCACATAAAGGGTAAATCTGAATTAAATGGGGGAGGGAGGGATGAGGCAGCAATCTCATGGGAAGCCAAGCACGCTGCTGCATGCTCTTTGGAGCAAAGTTGGGATATACCTACGGGACCGCCTCTCCCGGTCTGCCCCACGGAGGACCTTAAGGTCCATAAATAGCAACACCCTAGAGGTCCCGGGCCCTAAGGAAGTGAGATTAGCTTCAACCAGAGCCAGGCCCTTTTCAACACTGGTGGAACGCTCTGCCTCATGAGACCAGGGCCCTGCAGGATCTGATTTCTTTCCGCAGGGGCTGTAAGACAGAGTTGTTCCACCTGGCCTTTGGCTTGGAGCCAATTTGATTCCTTCCCCCTCTTTCTCCGCCCCCCCCCGTGATGAGGCTGCATTTTAATGTTTTAATGTTGTATTTTAATCTTGTTTTTAAGTTGCATTTCAATCAACTTGTTTTTATTATTGGTTGTTAGCCGCCCTGAGCCCAGTCTTGGCTGGGGAGGGTGTGGTATAAATAAAATTTATTATTATTGTTGTTGCTGTTGTTGTTGTAATAACATAGGCAGGAAGGTGCTGAAGGAAAGCCATCTGAGGTCGGTGGGGCGCTCCCCACTCACCCCGGGCGAGCACCTGCAACGGGCAAGAAGCCTTTTCTCCCCATGCCCCAACCCAGCCCTCACCCTCGCTTGGTCTTGCCCTTTTCCGTCGAAGCATCCTTTTCGTTCTCGGCCTTGGCGGCCTCCTTGGGGGGCTCCTTAGGCGCGCCTGGCGGAGCGGGGCCTTGCTTCTCCTTCTCGGCCTCTTCGGCCTCCTTGGGGCTGGCGGTCTTCTTCAGCTGCTCGTATTCCGAGTCGAGGTCGACGTCCTTGACCTCGTCCTCGGGGATGGTGAGGGTGTGCGTGAGGGGAGTGGCGCCCGCCGTGACCTTGAACTTCTCGTCAAACTCCACGGGCATGCTGAGCCGAAGGAAGAGGAGCTCCACCACGGCGTTCTGCGAGCCGAACGTCCGGTGTGTCAACTTCAAGCACGGAGGGTTGTCCACGGTGCCGTCGATCCGGGACACCTGAAAATGGAGCACAGGGCGGCACGGGTTCACCTTACGGTTTCTCTTTCGCACAAGACTACCTGCAACCAAATCCGCATCCTTACCTGGTCCTGTGCCTAGAAACGCGGCACAAAAGGAAGTCAAGATGAGCCCTCAGAAAGTACCAACCATAAAAAAATAAATGACATCCCTAAGGATAAAAGGAATGTATTCCTTTACGCAACCGCAGATGCCAGTATCGTAGTGGCAAAAAAATGGAAAACTGATAAAATACCAGAGTTATTAGAATGGAGACATTTTAATGTATTTTTAATCTTTGTTGGAAGCCGCCCAGAGTGGCTGGGGAAACCGAGCCAGATGGGCTGGGTACAAAAAATAAAATATTACAGTGTACCTCGGGTTAAGTACTTAATTTGTTCCAGAAGTCTGTTCTTAACCTGAAACTGTTCTTAACCTGAAGCACCACTTTAGCAAATGGGGCCTCCCACTGCCGCTGTGCTGCCGCTGCACGATTTCTGTTCTCATCCTGAAGCAAAGTTCTTAACCCGAGGTAATATTTCTGGGTTAGCAGAGTCTGTAACCTGAAGCATATGTAACCTGAAGTGTATGTAACCCAAGGTACCACTGTATTATTAATTATTATTAGTAGTAATAGTAGTAGTAGTAGTAGTAGTAGTAGTAGTGGGACATGGGTGGCGCTGTGGGTGAAACCACAGAGCCTAGGACTTGCCGATCAGAAGGTCGGTGGTTCGAATCCCCGCGATGGGGTGAGCTCCTGTTGCTCAGTCCCTGCTCCTGCCAACCTAGCAGTTCGAAAGCACCCCAAAAAGTGCAAGTAGATAAATAGGTACCACTCCAGCGGGAAGGTAAACGGCGTTTCTGTGCGCTGCTCTGGTTCGCCAGAAGCGGCTTAGTCATTCTGGCCACATGACCCGGAAGCTGTACGCCGGCTCCCTCGGCCAGTAAAGCTAGATGAGCGCCACAACCCCAGAGTCGTCCGTGACTGGACCTATTGGTCAGGGGTCCCTTTACCTTTACCTTTAGTAGTAGTAGTAGTATCCCCTTGGTAGCTCTGGCTCAGCGCTCCTCTTGTCAAGCAGACATGGCTGCTTCCCTCAGACACAGCCAAGGCTTCCCTCTCTCCCCTGCCTCCTCACTGCTGCCCACTCTGTGCATGCCACTATTTGCCTCTCTCTGGAGCTCCATAACAATGCCAGTTCCTTTATCCTCCAAGGTCCTGATCCCTTTTCCCCAACATGGCTTTGCCATATACCTTAAGGGCCTTCTCCTCCGTTCTCCATGGTGAGGCAACAAGCCTGGAATCTTCCTCTGTCTCTCCTTACATTTACCTCAGAAACCAACCTCCCTCTTATCTTCCTCACAGGGTTCAAATTTTGAAGTGGACTGGCCTCCATTTTTTAAATTATATATATATAAATAGGCACAGCCATATAAGCACTCCTCCAGTGACTCGCTTTTTTATTATTTTATTTTATTTATGATTTTCAGTTTTAAACATTTTAATGATTCCACAGTCATTTTAACATTTCAAAACCTGACTTCCTTCCCCCTCTTTCTGCGGTTCCTTAAATTTATTTTTAATACCTTCTGCATATCCAAATTAATTTGTTTCATTTATTCATCTGCTTTAAATATATACTTTTATAAAACTTCAGGTTATTACAATAATCCTGCCAGTGTTCTTATCTGTTTGCAATTTGTTTGTAAATATTCAACGAACCATTTCCATTCTTTTATAAAAAGTTTGTTATCTTGATTTCTTATTTTTCCGGTAGGCTCCCCTTATAATTTTGGTTCTATGTTACCACATCTCTGCAATTTGCTTTTTTTTTAACAGAATATTCTCCGTGTGTGGTTCTGCTATTGCTTTGTATGGCTATGTGTTTGGCACATAGGTTGATGATAAATCAATTTAAAAAAGACATTAAAATGATACATATGATGGAATGTGATATTGAAATAGAAAAGAGAATTTTTACAAAATATTAATGATAAATTAAAGCAAGATGTTTAACATAAAGGAAAATATGGAGAGGATTGGATGTCATAGGCTCGTGTAGTTGAAATTGTATGTATCTTTTGTATATTTTTATTGGAATGACTGAAATGAAGATGACTACGTGTTGTATATATATATATATGGAAAATTAATAATAAAGCATTTATAGACTATGTAGAATTGGATAAATTAACAGGAAAGATTTGAAACCTGTGGGACCAGAGATTCTTAGAAGACTGGAGTAAATATATGAACTATTTGAAAATGAACAGATTACGCTAGTAGGACTGCAATAAGTTCTGTAAGGAGGACTATTTGAAATATTGCAAGAAAGACTATGAGGAGAATTACTAGTTAATGATCATTAAGAGTAAAAGAGAAATTAAGAAATGCAGAATAAGTGATAAAGAATGGAAAATCATAAGAGGTGTTGACGGAAGTCTAAAATATTGTATAAGATAAGACGTTATGCTATATGATTGTTGGAAATGATATGTTAAAAAAACTAATAAAAATGTATAAATATATATAAAAATGAATAATAAAGCATTTAAATGAAATAAATTTGGGGAAAAAATCATTCCTCAAGTTCCCTCGCATTCCCACCCTCCAAAGTATGCCCTCTGAAATGAGGCGAAGGAGGTGTTCGCTCTTTTCCTCACAAACTGGGCTTCTAGAATGATCTAGAATGTTCTAGAGTGTTCTAGAATGTTCTCTGCGGGCATCGATCTACAAATCCCGTCTCTCTGGGGTGTCCCTTCCCCCCCCCAGGCCCAGGGGGGGGCAAAGCTCACCTCATAATGAGGGTGCTCCGTGGGCACCGTGGAGAACTGGGGCAGGCTTTTGCTGAACCACATGGTGATGTCCCGCTTCATGTTGATGGCGAAGGGCTCAAAGCCTTCTTGCAGGCCGCAGATGGTGAAGTAGCGGAGGGTGCTGACATCCTGGCCCAGGTTGAGGCGCCCCACCTGGGACAAGCCCAAGCTGCACACCGGGATAAAACCTGCAAAGGTACCATCATGGAGGGGGGTAACAAATTATCAAGGAACAATTACTGCCCTACTAAAGGTAAAGGGACCCCTGACCATTAGGGTCCAGTTGTGACCGACTCTGGGGTTGCGGCGCTCATCTCGCTTCATTGGCCAAGGGAGCCGGCGTACAGCTTCCGGGTCATGTGGCCAGCATGACTAAGCCGCTTCTGGCAAACCAGAGCAGCACACGGAAAACGCCGTTTACCTTCCTGTTGGAGTGGTACCTATTGATCTACTTGCACTTTGACGTGCTTTCAAACTGCTAGGTTGGCAGGAGAAGGGATTGAACAACTGGAGCTCACCCCGTCACGGGGATTCGAACCGCCGACCTTCTGATCGGCAAGCCCTAGGCTCAGTGGTTTAACCCACAGCGCCACCCGCATCCTACTAGGACGGTTCATAAAAAACTTTTTTAAAAAAATGCCGGCTCCAAAAGTTCTTATCTTACTATGCTAGGGATTACAGTGGTGCCTCGCAAGATGAAAAGAATCCGTTCTGTGATTCTCTTCGTCTAGCGGTTTTTTCGTCTTGCGAAGCAAGCCCATTGAAGGATTAGCGGATTAGCGCTATTAGCGGCTTTTAGCGGCTTATCTGCTGATCGGATCAGCTGATAAGCGGCTTAGCGGCTTAGAAAAAGGGGGGGGGAGGAAAAAAACCCAGCAGGAACTCGCAAGACATTGTCGTCTTGTGTAGCAAGCCCATAGGAAATTCATTTTGCAAAGCACCTCCAAAACGGAAAACTCTTTCGTCTAGCGAGTTTTCTGTCTTGCGAGGCATTCGTCTTGCGGGGCACCACTGTATATAGCTATATATGAAATTTCATGTATATCAGTTAATATCTTGACCACTTTTGGTGAACCATTTTTTGGTAAACCACCAGATCTGGACCCCGGGCCTTTGTTTGCCTACCCATGCACTAGAGCAGCCTTTCTCAACCTGTGGGTCCCCAGATGTTGTTGAACTACAACTCCCATCACCCCTAGCTAGCAAGGCCAGAGCTCAGGGATGATGGGAGTTGTAGTCCAACAACATCTAGGGACCCGCAGGTTGAGAACCGCTGCACTGGAGTGTTCTATTCTCCTTGTAGCTGACAAAGAAACCCTGCATGTTCTTCATGTGGCCCATGAGCAAAAAAGAAAAGAGAGAGAACCTGAGTCCTCTACTTACCGTCCTCGATCTCAACATCTTTGAAGGCCAACTCCGACCCCGAATCGCTGATCAGCATCTCCCCATTGAGCGTGAACATGATATTGTTGTCGATGAGGTCTATCATGCAGCCCACCACGTCCCCCGGTTGCCACGGCCGGCCAAAAGGCTCGCTGCCCAGGTGCCAGCGCTGGCCCTGAAGGATAGGAGGTTGGAAAAGGGGGGAAGGATCTGGTAACAGGTAGCAGGAAGAGGAGACACAAAGCAGGACTTGGCTAGCTGGGTCCACCCCCCAGGATAAGGGGGGTGCAGCCATAGCTGTCAACTTACAGATTTGAAAATAAGGGACCAGCAGTGTCGAAAATAAGGGATCATCAGCCAAAATAAGGGATCAACAATTACTTTGATAAAATACATATTTTGTTGCATGCAAATGGCTTTAGGTACCCATTAGGTCCATAAATTACCATATAGCATATATTCAACACAAAAAACCAGCAACAATTTGTTGTTGACAAAGGACAGCTGGACATAGAAAGGGCCCCATTACCTTCAGTAGCTTATTTAAGGGACATCATCAATAAAGGACAGCAGCAGGACATGGTGCTGGGATAAGGAACTGTCCCGCCAAATAAGGGACGCTTGACAGCTATGGGTGTAGCATACATTTAAAGAGCTCTGACAGCACTTTAAAACAGTCGTCACGGCTTCCCCCAAGGAATTGTGGGACCTGCCATTTGTTAAGACCCTGAACGGCAACTTAAGGTAGCATTTGGGAGAGACCCAAATTCTGAAGGGCTGTTGCCTGTCAGTGTGGACAACAGTGAACTAAATGGAGGAATAGTCTTACTTGGACCACGTCTGACACACTTTTAAAACCACATGATGTAACTTTAAAGAGTTATGGCTTCCCCTAAAGAATTCTGGGAGCTAAGGGTGTGGAGAGTTGTTGGAAGACCCCGTTCACCTCAAAGAGCAGGGGTCAGCAAACTTTTTCAGCAGGGGGCTGGTCCACTGTCCCTCAGACCTTGTGGGGGGCTGGACTATATTTTGGGGGAAAAAATGAATGAATTCCTATGCCTCACAAATAACCCAGAGATGCATTTTAAATCGCTCCCATTCTCTTCGCCAGTGTTAAGTTGTGGGTGAACATATCAGACGACACAGCAATTCTTCAAACAGCTCTTGTTTATTCACAGGCCAGGCCAGAACTGAACTGAAGGGTTCAGCCAGCCTGCTTATATAGAGCTCCACTACAACGTAACTGTAACAACTTTCTGTAACTATCCAATCACTGAACGTCACTTTCGATCCCTTATTTGCATATGTGGACCTGAACTATCTACAGTATCCCCCTGCTGGCCCAGGATGAGAACTTCAGTACATAACAACATTCTACTCATGTAAAAACACACTGATTCCCAGACCGTCCATGGGCAGGATTTAGAATATGATTGGGCCAGATCCGGCCCCTAGGCCTAGGTCAAAGAGCCACAATTTCCAGAGTGTTTTAACTGTCAGTCACTCTTCCAAGCAGCTCTAGAAAAAGTACCTCTGAGAGAATAGGGAGCCTGCTAATAACTCTCAGCGCCTCTAACAAACTACAGCTCCCAGAATTCTTTGGGGGAAGCCACGACTGTTTAAAGCACCACAGGGGGCTGGACTAGAGGACCCCCGGGGTCCCTCCCAATGCTACAATCCTACGATTCTATTCTAAAGTGGCATCACAGAGCTTTGAACCTATGGTGCAAATGAGGCCGTAGTTCATCCCCTCTGACTCACCCGGTGTCCGTTGAAAACGTAGGAAAGCTCATCCGCTCCCAGTTCCACGTCAGGCCGCACGTTGGGTCGTGCCCACCCTACTCGCATCTCTCCCGTTGTGACGGCCTCAAATTCAAAGTACCATTTGCCTGACTTCACTGCGTAGAACTGTTCGGCGCGGAAAATGCGGACCTTCTCTGATCGGCCCTTGGTCAGCTCCTGACCTGTTGAGGAGTCCCAGGAAGAAGTGAGGAGATACAGTGGGGATGTTGCCTACTTACAGATCTACAGGCTGTGGCACCCTGTTCTGTTCACTCTCCTCTAGGCAGAGAGCCCAGTCACACGTTCAGATGGATCACATAGCCCTGAGTATCTGAGATTGTACAACTCCAAGCTGCAGATGGGAGTCCAGATTGTTCTCCCGACATCAGAACTTCCCCATATTTGGAACACGAACATGTCCGGGACAAGATTTTAGCTTAAACTTGTTTTTGCATGCCAGCTTCTGCAAGCAGAAAGGTAACATAGAAAACTAGCGTGCCAGGAAGAAAGCTGGGTTAGAATTCCTCCTCTTTGAATTTGGGGGTTTTGTGCATAAGGAGGTTTAAAACGAAATACAGGGAAAGCAAACCTGCAATTCCACTCTTCTGCAGTCTCAGGTAGCACAATCTGCCACATTTATTTATTTGAAATATGATCTGAAAACATTCTAAACCTTTGCCTTTCCAGCTCAAATGTGCCTCCCCCAAAGGTTGCTTATAATATCCCTGCAATTAAATGCTAGAATGATGCGGGATATAAAGATAATATGGTATTAGTGATATATTTAAAAGTTATGCAAAAATGATATATAGAACAAAGGTGAACTCAGAATAATATTATGTCAAACCATAACAATATGAAAAATGGAGGGAAGAATAGAGGCATAATAGTTGAAGTGTATAATATGAATTAAGATTGGAAAAAAGGTGAGGTATTGCTGAACAAAATTTGGTAAATGGGAACACAGAAAAGGGAGATGTGAGGGAGTCCAGAAAAAGGATTATGAGAATAATATCTAAGAAAATGGCTGTTTTCTTTTTTATGTTTTTTCTTTTTTTCTTTTTGTCTTGTATGATGGGTTTTCTAGTGGGTTTTGTTGTTGTTTGTATGTTATTTTTCCTTTTTATTATGGGCTGTGAAATTTGTTTTATTCTTGAAACTTTAATAAATATTTTTTAAAAATATATATATATATAATATCCCTGCAATTGTATAGCAGCAATAAATAAACAGAAGAAGCTTCATATGAGTTCATCAAATGCCCAGGCAACTAAAATCATCTAAAGCTGTCATTGAAAAGAGAGGAGCGGTGGCGTCAAACAAATAATTCTGGAAGGGTTTTCCGTACATGAGGCACCACCACCCAAAAGGCTCTGCCCCCAGCCACCAACCACTTAGGCTCCAAAGGCACTGAGAGCACAGCTTTTGATAACTGTCTCATTAGCCAGACAGGCCTGTGTGCCTCTCCTAGCTGTACTGCCCTGCTCCTATCAGCTCTCCCACTAAGACTGGCAGAAGAGGAAACTTGGGGGGAGCAGAAGGACGCTCACTGGCTTCCTGGTCTGGTGGTTCGATGTTGTATCCATAGCCGATTAGGGTGCGGACCGCTTCGCGCAGGCTGTCCCGGTTCGTTTTTTTCGTCCGCTCATCTAGCAGGCTGTAGGGCACCAGGCGGGGGTTGCGTTTGTTTTTGATGTCCTAAGAAGGGCACAGCACAAAACACACACATAAGACAGGCCCGTTTCCCAAAACCCATAGCTGTCAACTTACAGATTTGAAAATAAGGGACCAGCAGCCTTGAAAATAAGGGACCAGCAGCCAAAATAAGGGACCTGCAGCCTCACCTGTTCCAGGCACTCCAGTCTTCCTGTCCTCCTGCAGTCTGGTCAAACTCATGCTGGTAGCTTCGAGAACACTGTCCAACCAACTTTGTAACCAGAGGTTCAACTGAATAGAATCTGAATCACATGCACCACAAGGCCTATGCAGCCTCAACTTAAGATGGCTCCCCGGCCTGGCTTTGCACTGCAAAGTTTGCAGCAGCACGTGCAACAAAATGGCGTCCAGCATTCAAAAACCCCCTCAGCTTGCATTAACTAGCCACACACAAGGCATGCAAGCTCCACCCCCAGTCGTTCTTAGACTTCTTAGTGGGTGAGCAACACAGCCATGCAACGCAGTTGGAGCCTCCCTCCTCCCTGGCCGGCAGGGAGGGAGAGGAGCTACTTCCTTTGAAATTTAAGGGACATCATTTAAGGACATCCATCAATAAGGGACAGCAGTGGGACATGGCGCTGGAATAAGGGACTGTCCCTTCAAATAAGGGACATTTGACAGCTATGAAAACCACACCCACCTGTCCATCAGCTGGCATCCACAGGTGATGTCAACTGACGGGTGGGTGAAGGGAGGGATCAATCCTGCCGGGTGCTGCTTCACCAGTGCAGGGAACGTGCTGTCAAAGCAGATCCCTCTCCCAGCCCACAGCTCAGCTTTGATGGGTGGACTGGATCGCACCCCTATTAGTCACCTGACGTCATCATGACATCAGAGGACAGGCAGGAAAGTTGGATGGGTGGAGAAAACCATCTGGCCCACTGAGCCAAGAAGGTCTCCCATCCCTGGTATACACCACACAACATAAACACAGGTATCCTTTATGTTGAACAAAGTATGCCTCACTAGAAAGGTGGAAGGAGCAGAACAGAGGACTCAGGAGTCCTGGCTCACAGCTTCTCTTTCTGTCTTAAGTCAGGACATCTGACTCCTGTGACACAATGGCCATTACATTTTTCTTTCTTTTCTTTTTTAAAATTTATACCCTGCCCTCCCCGGCCAGAGCCGGGCTCAGGGCGGCTAACACCAGCAAAATTACAATAAAAAAATAATAGGGGAGGGGGGGAACCAATTTAAAATACAGGTTAAAAATACAATTTAAAATGCAGCCTTAGTTTTAATAATAGCCCATAGATCAAAACCATAAGGGGAGGGAAACATAAGGGTCAGACTGAGTCCAAACCAAAGGCCTGGTGGAACAGCTCTGTCTTGCAGACCCTGCGGAAAGATGTCAAGTCCCGCAGGGCCCTGGTCTCTTGTGACAGAGCGTTCCACCAAGTCGGGGCCAGTACTGAAAAGGCCCTGGCCCAAGTTGAGACCAACCTAACCACCTTGCGACTTGGGACCTCCAAAATGTTTTCATTTGTGGACCTTAAGGTCCTCCGCGGGGCATACCAGGAGAGGCGGTCCCGTAGGTACGTGGGTCCTAGGCCGCATAGGGCTTTAAAGGTCAAAACCAGCACCTTAAACCTGACCCTGTACTCCACCGGGAGCCAGTGCAGCTGGTAAAGCACTGAATGAATGTGATCCCACGGCAAGGACCCCGTAAGGAGCCTTGCCGCGGCATTCTGTACCCGCTGGAGTTTCTGGGTCAGCTTGAAGGGCAGCCCTGCATAGAGCGAGTTACAATAATCAAGCATGGAGGTGACTCTTGCATGGATCACTGTGGCAAGATCAGGGCGAGAAAGGTAAGGGACCAACTGCTTAATACGGCGGAGATGGAAAAATGCCACCTTTGCTGTGGCTGCAACCTGCGCCTCCATGGAAAGGGAGGCGTCGAAGGTTACACCCAAGTTCTTGGGACATTTGACAGCTAATTGAGACCCCGCAAGAGATGGGAGTTGGCTACCTCTGGTTTGACTTTAAGCTTTCCTTCCTCCCCTGTCACCTAGAACCCTGCCAGGTGGCTGCTTTGCTAAGCATCGCTCTCATGCCAACTGGTATACCATACCTGCACAACACTATAGGTCCAGCCCTGCTGGACACGATCTCTTGCCCAGACATTGTGCCCATTCTCTGCCAGTTTGTCCACCAGGGTGTTCTGGGCCGGAGTTAACTTGATGTGGTTGAGATCCAGCGGCGCTGGTTTGTAGCCATTGGACATCATGTACCTGTCAAGAGGATCAAAGCAGGGCTTTAGAGCAAGGCGAACGCCCCCCAAAGCCTTTCTTTCCACCTGTTTGCAGTCACGGAGCTATTTGGGACAGCATTCCCCTCGCCTTCACCAGCTCATTTGCCCATCCGGACAAATAAACAATTCTGTATCTGCTCGGTGGGAAAACAGGCCAGCAAATCAACTGTCCCGTCTCAAAATGGTAAGCTAGCATTGCATAGCCAGGGCTGCATTTCATAATTCTGCACCAAGCACTCCCACCAAAGCCAGTTCTTTGCACGTTTGTGTTCTTCATCAGCCTGGATGGTAAACAGAGCCAAGGGATGGGCAGCTGGCAAAAGCCGCAAGTCTGCATTTGGTAAAGCTCTTAAGGCAGAACAGACTCTGTCTGTGGGTATCAGGTAGCACCAAGAACTAGTCTTTCATATATTTTATGTGTTTGGATTATTAATGTATCTGGATGACTTTGTACAGTGGTGCCACGCAAGACGAATGCCTCGCAAGACAAAAAACTCGCTAGACGAAAGGGTTTTGCGTTTTTTGAGTCGTTCCGCAAGACGAATTTCCCTATGGGGTTGCTTCGCAAGACGAAACGTCTTGCGAGTTCTTGCAAGTTTGTTTCCTTTTTCTTAAAGCCGCTAAGCCGTTAATAGCCGCTAAGCCGTTAATAGCCGTGCTTCGCAAGACGAAAAAACCACAAGACGAAGAGACTCGCGGAACGGATTAATTTCGTCTTGCGAGGCACCACTGTATTGTTTAAACTTATGCCTATAAAAGGCAACAACACAGTACTGGGAAGAAGTCTCTTAGCAATTTTTAACAGGGGATGCTAGGGATCGAAACTGTACATAACTTGACCCTCTAAAGATGGGGTGGTGGCCACTAAGCTGGGTGGTTTTAAAAAACGATTGGATAAATTCACAGAGGGTAAGTGGCATTTAGGAACAATGGCTAACTGTTGGAAGCAGCAATGTCTGAATACAGGAGAAACTCAAAAAATTAGAATATCGTGGAAAAGTTCATTTATTTCAGTAATTCAACTTAAAAGGTGAAACTAATATATGAGATAGACTCACGACATGCAAAGCGAGATACACTTCTACTTCTCAGGGGTCCAATATTGCTCTATTTGCAATCCTTGTTTTGCTGATTTCATTTAATGTTCTAATTTTCTGAGATTGTTAATTTGGGGTTTTCATCAGCTGTAGGCCATGATCATCACAATTATAACAGATCAAGGCTTGACATATCTCGCTTTGCATGTCGTGAGTCTATCTCATATATTAGTTTCACCTTTTAAGTTGAATAACTGAAATAAATGAATTTTTCCACGATATTCTAATTTTTCGAGTTTCACCTGTACAAGTTTCTGGGAATCACAAGAGGACTTCCCATGGGCAACTGGCTGGCCACTGTGGGAACAGGCCGCTAAACTAAATGGGTGACTGGCCCAATCCAGCAGGGGTCTTCTCCAGTCAGATGGGCGGGGTACAAATGATAACATCATCATCATCATCATTATTTGTTGTTGTTGTTGTTGTTGTTTAGTCGTTTAGTCGTGTCCGCCTCTTCGTGACCCCCTGGACCAGAGCACGCCAGGCACTCCTGCCTTCCACTGCCTCCCACAGTTTGGTCAAACTCATGCTGGTAGCTTCGAGAACACTGCCCAACCATCTGGTCCTCTGTCGTCCCCTTTTCCTTGTGCCCTCCATCTTTCCCAACATCAGGGTCTTTTCCAGGGAGTCTTCTCTTCTCATGAGGTGGCCAAAGTCTTGGAGCCTCAGCTTCAGGATCTGTCCTTCCAGTGAGCACTCAGGGCTGATTTCCTTCAGAATGGATTGGTTTGATCTTCTTGCAGTCCATGGGACTCTCAAGAGTCTCCTCCAGCACCAGAATTCAAAAGCATCCATTCTTCGGCGATTATTATTATTATTCTCTTATGTAAGAAGAGGATGTGCTCATCACTGAGCTACAGACCCTTCCAAATGTCAGAGGTGCGATTGAAGGTAACCTTGCCAGCAAACCAACACACACATTCAGAGCTATACTTTGGCATCTGCCTGGAGGCAGCCACCAGCCCACCTACGTTTTGGGGAGCTTTGTCTTCTTGAGGTTCTCTTCAGCCTTCTCATCTGCCATCCCCACATGGCAGCCCAGAGCAAGCAAGGTCCTGCAGGGGACAGAGCAAGGGTTAAATAAACTCTGCTGTGACCTTACAGGCCACATTCCTTTCCACCACTCATCTCAGTCAGCAACCCTGAATCAGTGATGGCTGATTTTCAGTTTCACGGGGAATTCAAAGCGAAAGAGACTACTGAATCAGAGTTCAATTTACCGGCAGCACCATCTGTCAAATACAAAGCTGGTATGTGTGTGTGTATATAAAGCTGGGTTCGTGATAAGGACAGAATGATCTGTCAGCTTTTGTTCTCTCAGTTTCTCATTTTCCCAGTCTTAAATTCCATTCCCCACATTGCCATTTATTTTCTTTTAAAAAAACCACAATCATGAAAATTCATCAGCACTCCAGTGTAAACTTCACCCGATAAACACGCTGTTATATGCAGTCTTGACTAAGGCGCACATTTTTGCAAGCCTGTAATGAAATGCAGTCTTGTATGTTATTTTCGCCAACACCTTTGTTTTTATGCACGCTCTGATGCACACATTTTTGTAACCCAAGGGACTGCAGCCTTCTACAGAGAACAGGCTCCCCACCTCTGCTCTAAGACATATTCTCTTATGTTTTTCTCAGTTCCTCTCTGTTTCCTTTTCTGGACCCTGACACTGCCAGAACCGTTTTTCCATTGCCAACCGCATGGGTATGCAAACTAAGGCCCGGGGGCCGGATCTGGCCCAATCGCCTTCTAAATCCGGCCCACGGACTGTCCGGGAATCATGTTTTTACATCAGTAGAATGTGCCCTTTTATTTCAAATGCATCTCTGGGTTAGTTGTGGGGCATAGGAATTCATTCAATTCCCCCCCCCAAAATATAGTCCGGCCCCCCACAAGGTTTGAGGGACAGTGGACCGGCCCCCTGCTGAAAAAGTTAGCTGACCCCTGGCCTGCCGTCTTATCCTGCCCCCTGACCTACACATGTAGAAGAAGAGGAGGAGGAGTTTGGATTTGATATCTCGCTTTATCACTCCCCTTCAGGAGTCTCAAAGCTGCTAACATTCTCCTTTCCCTTCCTCCCCCACAACAAACACTGTGTGAGGTGAGTGGGGCTGAGAGACTTCAGAGAAGTGTGACTGGCCCAAGGTCACCCAGCAGCTGCAGGTGGAGGAGCGGGGAATCAAACCCAGTTCACCAGATTACGAGTCTACCGCTCCTAACCACTACACCACACTGGCTACCCCCCCACCCCACCCAAAAAGCTGGCCCACTTAAATTGAGCTTGCTTCTCCACTTAGGACTCTCCACCACCAACTCACTTGAGTGTCTCTCCCGACATCTGCAGGTTGTAATTGCGTTCTGGTTCGGGCAGGCTGTGGAAATCCAGCAAACACGGGTGCAAGCGCTTGTTGTCATCCCGGATCTGAAAAGGGGGCAGGAGGCACGGGATGTAATTCAAGTACAGTGGATGCTCGAGTTGCGAACGTGATCTGTGCAGGAGGCACGTTCACAACCCGCAGCGTTCGCAACCCGCAGCGCCACGCCTGCGCATGCACAGGTTGCGATTCAGCGCTTCTGCGCATGCACGGCCGCCGAAACCCACAAGTAAACCGTTCCGGTACTTCCAGGTTTCGGCGGGTCTGTAACCTGAAAAAACGCAAACTGAAGAGTCTGTAACCCAAGGTATGACTGTACCCCTGTCTGAGTCCTCCCTCACTTGCCACGACTAAAGGTTCAGAGGCCCAACTCAAGCTTGTTTTAGGTGAGTTGGCGGAGAAGGAAACGGCAGCTTCCCAACCTATATATTAATTGGGGGGTGGGGAACAGGAGTCTCATCGGTGGGCACCGAACACTCACGGGGCCGTAAGTCCACCCTTGCTCAATGCGAGTCAAAGCCCAAAGTTCATGGATGTTCTCTGCCAGTTTCTCCCGAATCCGCTCAAGATGGGGGGGCAGTACAATCTGCAGAGAAGGAAAAGAGGAAAGTTAGCAGGGAGACGAGGCACAGGTGTGATTCCTAACTACCTATATTTCCCCAGTAGTGATGTATGGAAATGAGAGCTGGACCATAAAGAAGGGTGATTGCCGAAGAATTGATGCTTTTGAATTCTGGTGCTGGAGGAGACTCTTGAGAGTCCCATGGACTGCAAGAGGATCAAACCTCTCCATTCTGAAGGAAAACAGCCCTGAGTGCTCACTGGAAGGACAGATCCTGAAGCTGAGGCTCCAAGACTTTGGCCACCTCATGAGAAGAGAAGACTCCCTGGAAAAGACCCTGATGCTGGGAAAGATGGAGGGCACAAGGAGAAGGGGACGACGGAGGACGAGATGGTTGGACCTTGTTCTCGAAGCTACCAGCATGAGTTTGACCAAACTGCGGGAGGCAGTGGAAGATGGGAGTGCCTGGCGTGCTCTGGTCCAGGGGGTCACGAAGAGCCGGACACGACTAAACAACAACAACTACTACCTATATAAAGGGACGTGGGTGGTGCTGTGGGTTAAACCACAGAGCCTAGGGCTTGCCGATCAGAAGGTCGGCAGTTTGAATCCCCGCTACGGGATGAGCTCCCGTTGCTCAGTCCCTGCTCCTGCCAACCTAGCAGTTCGAAAGCACGAAGTGCAAGTAGATAAATAGGTACCACTCTGGCGGGAAGGTAAACACCATTTCCGTGTGCTGCTCTGGTTCGTCAGAAGCGGCTTAGTCATGCTGGCCACATAACCCGGAAGCTGTACGCCGGCTCCCTCGGCCAATAAAGCGAGATGAGTGCTGCAACTCAAGAGTCGGCCACGACTGGACCTAATGATCAGGGGTCCCTTTACCTTTTAACTACCTATATAGCCCAGCCTTTGGCAAACCTGGCAACTGCTTGCCCCAGAAATCCCTCGGCTTTGGGGCTGGCCAATTTCAACCTGACCTCCCACCTCCCCACACTTTGCTCTGCTGATCCTCTTTACCTGGATGGTATCCACGGGGTATGGCGTGAAGGAGGTGTGGGACAAGGACTGGGTGGGCCCCAGAAGGTTCCGGAACCCGTTGAAGTCGTGTTTATACTCCTTGATGGGCTCCACGCGCATCTTGTCACGTGGCAGGAGGGCCTCGTAGCAGGGGGCGTAGCCCGGTGGGGGCAGGAACTTGAAGTCCCCATGGCGTCCCCCCAGGAGGAACCTCACCCTGGCGGGGGGGGGGGCAAAAGAGAGAGAGAGAGAGTTGGACACTGTCCCCCTTAAGGAAAGAAGCTACTTTTAATTAAAAAAAATTAAAATGCTATTATTATTAAATTTTATTTAACATAATTATTACAAAGTACAAGCAAAATACAAATACATACATGCATATATAAAAAAGAACAAAAAAGAAAAAAGAAGAAAAGAAAAAGAAAAATAGGAAGATAAATTGGAAGAAAAAGAAAAATTGGAAGAATTTCTTCCAAATTTATTCTACAAATATCTCAATAATAAAATTTCATTGATTGACTTCCATCGCTTACACTGCACTTCCTATATACATTGTAAGCAAATTTGTATGTTATTCCGTATTTCCCACATACAATCTTATACAAATATTCTAATCAATAAGTTTTCTAAATCTTACACTTAATCCTTGTCTACATAAATAATCATTTAAACATTTCCATTGTTTCTGGATTATATTTTTTGGTTTTTGTCTTATCAAATCAGTCAGCTTTGCTAATTCCAAGTATTCGCATAATTTACCCAGCCATTCTTCTTTGGTTGGAATGTAATTCCCTTAAGGAAAGAACCTACTGTTTAAAGGTCATTGGGTGGAAAAGCAGGCTGGAAATATTAGCATTGTCCTGCCTACGGGCTGAACAACAGAACCCCGCCCCTGCTGTCCCGCCCCCATTCTCGCAGGCCTTGATTGGCTCAGAGCCTCACTCCAGTTTTCTGAATGGCCGTGATGGGCTCTTTGACAAAGCAACTTTCCAGGGGCCGCATGCGAGTGGTGGAGGGGGCCAGAGGCAACAATTGGGTAGAGCAAGGGGAAGATGTTACTGCTCCTGGTGGTTTTCTTTGCTGTTGCGTTTATGGCTTTTCTCTTCAAATTATATTTCAAAGAGAATATGAAGTAGCAATATAGACAGTACAGTACTAACTGCAATCTAAGGGACGCGGGTGGCGCTGTGGGTTAAACCACAAAGCCTAGGACTTGCCGATCAGAAGGTCGGTGGTTCAAATCCTCGCGACAGAGTGAGCGCCCGTTGCTTGGTCCCTGCTCATACCAACCTAGCAGTTCGAAAGCACGTCAAAGTGCAAGTAGATAAATAGGTACCACTCCGGCGGGAAGGTAAACGGCATTTCCGTGCGCTGCTCTGGTTCGCCAGAAGCAGCTTAGTCATGCTGGCCACATGACCCGGAAGCTGTACGCCGGCTCCCTCAGCCAATAAAGCAAGATGAGTGCCGCAACCCCAGAGTCGGTCACGACTGGACTTAATGGTCAGGGGTCCCTTTACCTTTATCTACAATCTGCTACAATAACTAGGGGCCCGTCCAAACACTCGCTCCTCCAGCTCCTGCTACCCCCAAATTTTCTCCTCTCTAGATCTAAAGCAAGATGGCTCTCCTATCTGGATTTTCAAAGCATGGGAAACCTTCAAAGTTAGGGAGGAGAAATCGTGAGATGACAGGAGTTGGAGAAGAACGCCACGGAGATGAGGGCAAGGTGCGGACAGGCCCTAAAATGAATTCTCCTCCTAACAGAACGTTGACTCAATGGGGATTATTCCTCTTCTTTAGTAGGTGAGCACTAATCCATAATCCTGGCCTGAGCCTCATTTCCGTGCTTTGAGCTTACTTGATGCCAGCAGAGAAGCTGACCACAGGGAAGAAGAGGCCGTCCAGGTTGAAGTTCTCGAACATGCCCTGGACGGGGAAGCCATTGATACGGAAGGAGATACTGGGCACGCTCAGATCGAGGCAGCAGCTCACCACGTCGTCCGCCCCCAAGGTGTGCTGGCCGGGGGAGGTCACGGCCCGAGCCACGCGGCCTATGCCGAGGAGAGAGGAATCATAGAACGGTAGGAATCTGAACTAGATCATACAGGACAACATACAATGAATTCATAACATGCAGGCGATGTTGACATTTCCATTCCACCTTAAGGAACAGGCATGAGATTGTTGTGTGTCACATGTCTGTTTACATTCCAGCACATAGCTGTCAACTTACAGATTTGAAAATAAGGGACCAGCAGCCTCGAAAATAAGGGCTCAGCAGCCAATATAAGGGATTTTCCAAGCACAGGTATGTTCAACTTCTGAGCCCCTCCGAGCCAAAGGCAGAAAGCCCAGCCAGCGGCCAAACGAAGCCTCAAGCAGTGGTTCCCACAGCGCAGCAACCCGGCAAAGGGGATGCAGCAAGGAAAACCACCGTCACCTCTCTGCTGGGAAGCGCTGAGCAAAGGCGAGTCCCCAGGCAACGCGGCCGATTTGATCGGCACAAGGCATGCAAGCTCCACCCCCCAGTCGTTCTTAGACTCCTTATTGGGTGAGCAACGCAGCCAAGCAACACAGTTGGAGCCTCCCTCCTCCCTGGCAGGGAGGGAGGGAGGGAGAGGAGCTGCTTCCTTTGAAACCTGGGAAATTTAAGGGACAGCATCGATAAGGGACAGCAGCGGGACACAGTGCTGGGATAAGGGACTTTCTCGCCAAATAAAGGACAGTTGACAGCTATGTTCCAGCACAGCTTGCTGGCAACTTCCATTTGTGTATAGCTTTTGCTATTTTCTCCGAGACGACCTGAGAGAGAGAGACGACATGTTTCTTTGTTCTGATTTATGTTTAATAAATCTGTAGCTGTAAGCATGACTTCATACGCCTCACGCCTACTTCTGTGTGTGCAGTAAATTCTGCTAATTGTGTGCCCTGGCTTTTGAAGTCCAGGTCACTGATTTACGTCGGAGCACGGGCCGATGGAAGGAGACGTCCGAGCTGGCCTTGCCAGCTGGCCTCCCGGCCCTTCTGCATGTCGACAACAAGCCTTCAGCCCAAGACTCCTCTTCACGTTGAACCCCATGGATTCAGTGGAATTAATGAGGACTAGTATCCTCCTGCTACATTTTACCCCTCTTGGCTGTGTAACATTGCTCCTAAGACAAGCCACAGAAGCTCGTCCTTTCCTTGGCAAACATCTGCACCCTTGCTATTCATGTGCCGCCACCAACTTACGAGTGCTGCAATGCAAGAGATTCTTTATTGCGCTTATATCCCACCTTCCTCCAAGGAGCTCATGATGGCACACGTCGTCCTTCTCACCATTTTTCACTCTCACAACAACCTTGTGAGGTAGCTTAGGGTGAGAGAGGGTGCCGGATGGACCAAGGTCATCCAGGGATCTCCATGGCTGAGTGGCGGTTTGAACCCCGGTCACTCAGGTCCTAGTATGGCACTCTAACCACCGCACCATCCAGGATTAAAAAATGGACCACGTAGAGAGAGGTGAATAGACCTCTGTGCATGCAAACACCCAGAGTCCATGCAAGCAGGGCTGTGTGTCTTCTGAACCTATTTTTAAAACATTTAAGATCAGTGGATCTATATTTCTGGCCAGGATTATGGGTTAGTTGAATGTTATTATTGGTAATGGCATTACTCAATGATATAATTATTAATTGTTATTGGTTACTTGAGCAGATGGGGCGATGTGGAATAGGTGGGGGTTGTCTGCTTAGATTTGTTCTGTGTTATGTGTGTGTATTTTTCAATTATTTTGGTGACTGCATTATACGTGTTCTCATTTGCTTTTGTTGTTGTTGTAATGTTTGGTAATATTTATTAGATTTTCTAGATGATACATAAGCTCCCTGCTGAAATTTAAAAGGCCCTTTCTAGTTCTTTAAAGCACACCTAATTCCTTCCCTCTTTCCTCTCAAGCCTCCCTCTTTCAATTACTGTGTTGCTTTAATGGAATTGTTTTCTTGCATATTTTAATTACGGGTGTTTATATTTCAGCGTTTTAATGGGACTGCTTTGCCGCTAATTATAACCGTGTGTTTTAATTATGGGTGTTTATATTTTAATTGCTCGGCTTTTATACTTGCAAACCGTACTTAGAAGCCCATCTTGACAATAGTAATGACATCTGGAAGACCACCTCCTCCCCTATAAACCCTCCCGGGTGTTAAGACCAGCAGAGGGAACCTGTTTGGTAGTTCTACCTCCCTCAGTTTTAGGGGATATAGCTTAGGGAGAGGGCCTTCTTTGTGGCAGCCCCTAGGTTGTGAAACTCCCCAAAGACGTACAACTGGCATGTCTGCTATACAGCTTTTGGTAAATGCCAAAGACACACCTCTTTATCCTGGCCGTTTACACCTGAGGCATCTGTTCTCAGGACCCACACTATTCTTGCGACTGTACTCCATTTTAACTGTTTTATATTTTATATTGTTGTGATTTGCCGTGGGACCTGCTGGTGAAGGGCAGGTGACAAATATAATAATAGTAATAGCAATAAATAACAGCAAAAGAGAGAGCCAGTGTGGTGTAGTGGTTCAGAGCGGTGGCCTCGTAATCTGGTGAACCGGGTTCGCTTCCCCGCTCCTCCACATGCAGCTGCTGGGTGACCTTGGGCCAGTCACACTTCTCTGAAGTCTCTCAGCCTCACTCACCTCACAGAGTGTTTGTTGTGGGGGAGGAAGGGAAAGGAGAATGTTAGCCGCTTTGAGACTCCTTAAAGGGAGTGAAAGGCGGGATATCAAATCCAAACTCTTATTCTTCTTCTTCTTCAAAAAAATTCTTCCCGTTGCCTTAGATCAGGGTTTCTCAAACTTGGGTACCCAGCTGTTTTTGAACTACAACTACCATGATCCCTAGCTAGCAGGACCAGTGATTGAGAAAGATGGGAATTGTAGATCAAAAACAGCTGGAGACCCAAGTTTGGGAAACTCTGCCTTAGATGCCACAACAGCAACAACAAACAACAACAACAACAACAACAACAACATATTTCCATGCCTCCCATCTAACTGGGTTGCCCCAGCACCACTGGGCAGCTTCCAAAAATTATAAAACCACAGTAAAAGCATCAAACATTAAAAACTTCCCTAATACTGACTGCCTCTATTTGTCTTCTAAATGCCAGGTAGTCGTTTATTTCCTTGACACCTGAAGCCTGAATGGTGTGTGCAAGGTGTGTGAACCGCCCCACGCAGGTGCCCTACCTGACCACAGGTGCAGGCCGTCGAAGCCAAAGGAGTAGAGGTCGTCCCCGACGCCGTTGCCTCCCCAACCTTCCCCGCCTCCGGGGTAAGGGCTGTATCCTTCTGCCATGGCCCAGCCAACCCGCAAATGGGTGGCCTGAGAGGTCACGAAGGGTTCCACGTAATCCACGATCATCTCGTAGTACCACTTCTTGTACTGGGTGGAGCCATCGTGCGTGCCCAGGAAGATGTTGGGGCGCATGCTGTTTAAGAGGGAGGAAGAGCAGGGGAATGAGGAGGGAGGGTGAAGAAAGGAGGGAGAAGAAGGAAAGACCACCCAGGCCCAAAGGGAAGAGAAAACCATAGGACGTGATGGTGATTTGGGGGTCTCTCTGATGGCCTTCCTCCGAGTTTAAATTCTTTGATCCCAGTTGAATTCCAAGATCCTAGGTTAAAGGGTAAAAGTAAAGGGACCCCTGACCATTAGGTCCAGTCATGGACGACTCTGGGGTTGCACGCTCATCTCGCTCTATAGGCTCTATTTGTCCGCAGACAGCTTCCGGGCCATGTGGCCAGCATGACTAAGCTGCTTCTGGCGAACCAGAGCAGCGCACGGAAACGTCGTTTACCTTCCCGCCGCAGTGGTACCTATTTATCTACTTGCACTTTGACGTGCTTTAGAACTGCTAGGTGTGAAAGAGCTGGGACCGAGCAACGGGAGCTCACTCCGTCACGGGGATTTGAACCGCTGACCTTCTGATCTGCAAGTGCTAGGCTCTGTGGTTTAACCCACAGTGCCACCCGCGTCCCTATCCTAGGTTATGTTAAACTAAAAATTAAAGTTCCGTAAAGCAGATTCTTTGCCAAGGGAAGCTTGATCCTGCTATAACAAACTGGCTAAAGTTACACAATTTCTCTTATATGCACCATTTATTATGAAACATTTGCTATCGTGTCCAAGTCAGATTATGCAACAGGGCAAGGGATCTGAAGCTCTGCTGCCCCCCGCATCTTGGGAAATCTTATTCAACCGCCCCTCTAGCCCTCTGAGGGCGATGTCGAACTGACTCAAAACTCAAAACAGATCCCCTGAAATCATTGGTCTTGATTTACTTAAGCGCATCGATTTCAGTGGGTCTACTCCGCAATATGGCTAACAGTGGATATCATCCTGATATTTCAGCAGTCGTTGTCTGCACACCTTTGGAACTCATAAGGACTGGAAACGTAAAGGAAAGTCTAGTTATGTTTCCAAATTTGTGTTCTGTGCTGATACCCCCATCCTAGCAGAATTGTGACATATGTGATGCCACATTAAAACGGGGAAAGCACCAACCTGGTGACGTAGTTGATGAGCTTTGTCTGCAAGAGTAGGTCCCTTCCCGGGAGCAAGTTTTCAGTGATGAGGTTTTGGTTAGAGCGGACGGCCACACCGTTGCAGACACACAGAGAGCAGAGGACATCCAGGACCTGCCAAGGGGGCACCAAAATTTATTTATTTCATAAAACTTACATACTGCTTGATTGTAAAAAACAAATCAAAACCCTCAAAGTGGCTTACAAACAGAATTAAAACAATGGAATTATCAGCAAAAAAAACACAAAACCAAAACCACAGTTAAGGTAAAGGTACCCCTGCCCGTACGGGCCAGTCTTGCCAGACTCTAGGGTTGTGCGCTCATCTCACTCTATAGGCCGGGAGCCAGCGCTGTCCGCAGACACTTCCGGGTCACGTGGCCAGCGTGACAAGCTGCATCTGGCGAGCCAGAGCCGCACACGGAAACACCGTTTACCTTCCCGCTAGTAAGCGGTCCCTATCTATCTACTTGCACCCGGGGGTGCTTTCGAACTGCTAGGTTGGCAGGCGCTGGGACCAAGCAGCGGGAGCGCACCCCGTCGCGGGGATTCGAACCGCCGACCTTTCGATCGGCAAGACCTAGGCGCTGAGGCTTTTACCCACAGCGCCACCCGCGTCCCTAAAACCACAGTTACAAACCACTATTTAAAACATTCAAAAAAATAATTAACATTGATGATAAGGAAAAAACCAGATTAATGAGCCAGGGTCATCCATGTCAATGGGTCTACTCTGAATAGGAGTTAACACTGGACACGATCCAAGTGTGCTACATGTGCCTGTTAGAATTCCTGCTCCACGACTGCAGTCATGGGATTGTTGTCTATCACATGACAGTGCATGTTTTGACTCCACAGAGTGGGAAGTGACGAAGACAGGATGTTTGTGTTCCTGTGTTCCGTGAAGTGGGACTATTGTCCTTTGTTCTTTTTCTCTTTGCTGTCTGATGCTAGAGAGAGAGGGAGCCATGTTGCTGTGCTCCATGTGTGTTTATATGTAAATAAAGTAGATTAGCCAAAATGCTGAGTTGCTGAGGTCTGTCACGCGAACTGCGCAAACTCTGCAGATCCCCAAGTGTGCCGGTGTCTGTTGGCATCGGTCGCTGTGATGTTCAGGCTGAAGAAAGCTTTTGAAGCTCCCGAACGAAAGACCAGGAGGGAGAGAAGATGCCAGTCGGATATGTGTCTCTGCCAGGGTCCTACTCGAGTGTAGGCTGAGCTCCTGACAGTGCCCTCCCCCTGGCCTGTGCCCAACATGTTGCAGAGAAAAAGGCTTCCTGCCAACTGACGCCTGTCTGCGAGAAGAGGAGTCGGTGGCGCATGTGTGGCTCGACTTACCTTGTGGTTGCGCCCGTGTTTGTCCAAGAGCGAAATGATGGACTTGATGTGGTTCTCTTGGATGATGTTCAGAACTTCAGGGCTTTCAATGAGCACGCAGTATAAAACCTCCAAGATGCCTGGCAGATAAGACCAGGATGGGAGAAAGAGAGAGGGAGAGAGAGAGTGCACATACACGTTATCCCCACAAGGTAGGCTAGACTGGGAGTGAGTGACTCCTCAAAGGTCACCCAGGGTGCTTCGTGGCCAAGTGGGGATGTGAACCTTGGTTCTCCAGGTCCTAGTCCAACACTCTGGCCCATTACACCTCACTGGCCCCCAAGCTAATGGACAATGGTTGATTCCCCATAATTTTAGGGGAATTTTAGGGGAACTATAGCTATAAAGGTAAAGGTAAAGGGACCCCTGACCATTAGGTCCAGTCGTGGCCGACTCTGGGGTTGCGGAGCTCATCTCGCTTTATTGGCCGAGGGAGCCGGCGTACAGCTTCCGGGTCATGTGGCCAGCATGACTAAGCCGCTTCTGGCGAACCAGAGCAGTGCATGGAAACGCCGTTTACCTTCCCGACGGAGTGGTACCTATTTATCTACTTGCATTCTGATGTGCTTTCAAACTGCTAGGTTGGCAGGAGCAGGGACCGAGCAACTGGAGCTCACCCTGTTGCGGGGATTCGAACCGCTGACCTTCTGATCGGCAAGTCTTAGGCTCTGTGGTTTAACCCACAGCGCCACCCGCGTCTCTTAACTATAGCTATACACAAGACTAAATTGCTTTCAACACTGGGTTATGTTTCCTCTCCAACCATTTTTTTGTTTTAACATACATAGATGATAGATGATAGATAGATAGATAGATAAATAGATAGATGATAGATAGATAGATGATAGATAGATAGATAGATAGATAGATAGATAGATAGATAGATAGACAGACAGACACTAGCCTTCCTCAGCCTGCAGTTTTGGATTACAAAAGTTTAGGACTACAACTCCCATCATCCCTGCCAACTGCCTGGGGATGATGGATATTGTAGTCCAAAATTTCAACAGTGCTCGGGTGGCTTGAAGAAGACTTTAAGATCACGGTATAGGGCAGCCCCGACCACCCCATTTGCTCACCAGAGGAGGCCTCCAGTCGATCCAACTTGCTGACCAGCCAGTCCAGGTTGTTTGAGAAAAGGGCGCAGTTGGCCCGGTTCCCACGGATCAGTGAAGCTGCAAGGAGGGACACCAAGGCAAAGGGCGTGCATGTTACTATCCGGCTAGTTACCACCACAACATTATTGTCAGGCAATTTAATTTTGCAACCGCGAGATCAGACCAAAGGGCTATTATCTCGTCCAGCATTGGGTCCTCACAATGGCTAACCAGAAGCCCAGGAGCAGACATGACGGATGGAGTAGCCTTCTCTCACTCACTCACATCCTTTTACTTTAAATTATGGTTTAAAAGTGACACGCAAACCTGGCCACTGATGCCCCATCTGCATGATACCTTTCCATCAGGGGTATACCACTTTAAATAGTCATGCCTTGCCCCAGAGAATCCTGGGAAGTGTGGTTTCTTAAGGGTGTGGAGAGTTGTTAGGAGACCACCCCACTATTCCCCTTACAGAGCTCCAGTTTCCAGAGTGGTTTAATTGTCCATCGCATTTATTAAGTGACTGGGTCCCTAAGAAAAGGGATGAACCGTTAAACCACTCTGGAAACTGAAGATCTGTAAAGGGAATAGTGTAAAGGGAATAATCTCCTAACAACTTGGCTCCCTTGACAAACCACACTTCCCAGGATTCTATGGGAGCAAGGCATGACTGTTTAAAGTGGTATAACACTGATTAAAATGTATCATGCAGATGGGACACAAGGATGCACATTCTTAGAAAGTCTTCAGGGGCTGCAGATCTCATAAAGCCTCTTCCGCCATTCGGAGGAGGTGGAGTTGAGGGCTTCACGGCCCCAGCCCCCTCGCAATTGGGGGGATTCCTGGCCACATCACCTCCTGGGCAGCCAATCGGCTGGCTCTGGGGGTGTGGACCACCTTATTTAAACCAGGACATGGCTGGGGATCTCCGTCTTTCCCCGCCTGCCAGCTGTTCCTGCTTTCCCCACCTTCCCACCCTATAAGATTTTTCGTTCCTTGACCTTGCTATGGACCTCGGTTGGTCGCCATTGAGGGGCCTGGTAGGAATTTTTCCACTTGGCAAATTCGCACCAGCCACTTGGTTTCTGCCTACCTTGTAGCAAATCGTCACAACTTTCTTGGTATTGGCAGTTAGGCATTAGTATTGCTCTGTAGATGGAAGAGGGGAGGTAGCGCCATCACCTGCCCCACATATTGAAGGGTAGTCCGATAAAGGATTCCGGGGGAGTGGCCCTTATTTAGCCCATTAACCTTAATAATTGTGTCATGTGCCATTTTTTCCACTGGGGGGGAACTTGCCACGCAAATTCAGGGGCCGGGAAGGGTTGCTTGCGAAATCTGCAACCAAATCCAGACCGAATCAGAACTGACCCCCTTCCCAAAACTTTGCTAGCCATGCGAGAGCGCCCTGCAAGCTCCAGATCTGTGTCACGTCAACATGGGCCCAGGTAGCTCTCATCCTCCCGGAGCTCTGCCCTTCGTGTTCATACCGAGAAGCTCATACAGCAGGTTGACAATCTCCTTCCAGGACTCAGCGGCATCCTCGCCAGCGTATTCAGCAAAGTGTGCGGCAGTGCTGTACACGTTGAGGCGGTCGATGCAGTTCAGAACCAGTGTGATCATGCCCTGCGAAAGAAGCAGAATAATAATAATAATAATAATAATAATAATAATAATAATAATAATTTATTATTTATACCCCGCCCATCTGACTGAGTCTCCCCAGCCACTCTGGGCGGCTTCCAACCAAGTATCAAAAACAATACAATGTCAGACATTAAAAACTTCCGTAAACAGGGCTGCCTTCGGGTGTCTTTTAAAAGTAAAACACCGTATTTTTCGCTCTATAAGACGCACCAGACCACAAGACGCACCTAGTTTTTGGAGGAGGAATACAAGAAAACAAATATTCTGAATCCCAGAAGCCAGAACAGCAAGAGGGATCGCTGCGTAGCGAAAGCAGTGATCCCTCTTGCTGTTCTGGCTTCTGGGATAGCTGCGCAGCCTGCACTCGCTCCATAAGACGCACACACATTTCCCCTTACTTTTTAGGGGGGGAAAGTGAATCTTATAGAGCAAAAAATACGGTAGTTGTTTATTGCCTTGACATCTGCTGGGAGGGCGTTCCACAGGGCAGGCGCCACTACCGAGAAGGCCCTCTGCCTGGTTCCCTGTAACCTCACTTCTCGCAGTGAGGGAACCGCCAGAAGGCCCTCGGTGCTGGATCTCAGTGTCCGGGCAGAACGATGGAGGTGGAGACGCTCCTTCAGGTATACAGGACCAAGGCCGTTTAGGCCTTTAAAGGTCAGCACCAACACTTTGAATTGTGCTCAGAAATGTACTGGGAGCCAATGAAGAACTTTCAGGACCAAAGTGCCCTCAGGACCTGGAGTCCTACCTTAGCAAGCCCCACAACCCCCTGCTGTCTTCACCAGAGGTGGAGAAGCTGTGAGCCTCTCCCAACGCTGTTGCGACTACAGCCTCCATCATTCCTATTGGCCATGCTGGCGGGGCTGGTGGGAACTGGGAATCCAACATATTGAGGGCACCAGTTTGGCGACGGCTTCAATGAGGCCACCCTCCTAAGCTGAGCCCCCGATTGCTCACCTCCTCCTGGAAGAGGTTCTGCCTGTTTTTGAGGGAACGGAGCTTGGTCTGCTTCTCCTCATGTTGCAGCTCTTCCTCAGGGTGCTGGAAGTAGTTGATCAGGTCCTGCAAGCTGAGAATCATCCCATCGATGGGAAGAGTCACTGGGGTTCCCGACTTGACCTTTCCGCTCAGTGTGTCCAGGCCCCTGGAGAAGGAAAAGCCAGAGCTAAGATTACCAGTGGATATGGATGGCACAGAGGAGGAATCACATCCCTAAGAGGGCCGCAAGTTGTGGAATGCTCCCCTTAGCGCCATACCTCTTCAGCTTCGGGTCTTGAAACAGGGCAAGCTGCTAGACCTCATGGCCGCTTAATCAAAGAGAGGAGCGGCGGGATAGAAATTCAATAAATAAACCCAGCACCACAGCTCCTCCTGTTACTAGGCACTGCTTCTCTTCTCGCCAAACTGACCTCTCTCTTCCCTCCTATTGAAGGAATGGGTTTCCCAAACCCAAAACTGACTGTGCAGACAGTTTGAAACGGGCACCAAAATCCCTATTTTTCCTTAGCTAAAATCCATTTAACTTGAGCTCTTAGTCAATGTATAAACAAAAACCCGCTGTATAAACAAGTGCTCAGAGCCCTCTCCTTTATCAGTTTGTGATGGCAAGGATGACCTTAACTGTTTCAGTGGAGTAGGGATGACATGTCTAGGTCTTATCTTACGTCCTGACGCACAGATCTAGTCCGGGAACAGCGCCAGAGTGTGTTCTTGGAGTTGGTGACCTCTTGCTCCAAGATAAGAGTAGGAACAGGAATACCCTCTTATGGTCAGAAGTACAGGAAGGAATACCCTTTTACGGTTAAGAATACCGGAGCAGGAACATATGTGATGTCAACCTGCGTGTATAGGCTGACGTGGTTGGGCTCCTGGGGAAGGAGGGAGAGGGTGCCTGGAGGATATATATACTGCATTAAATCTCTCCTTTCTTTGGGCTTGCTGTGGACTGACCACGCAAGTGCTTTTCTGCTGTTCCGGAGAGCAGAAATAAAGAACTCTTTCTCTGAACCAACCCTCGGTGTCATTTGACTTCCTTCCTCCTGTCCGGGAGCAACGCAGACCCAATCGGTGAACTCCAATAAGGCTACAGTATGAGCATAGCTGTCAACGTTTCCCTTTTTTAAAGGGAAATTCCCTTATTCCGAATAGGATTCCTCGCAAGAAAAGGGAAAAGTTGACAGCTATGCCTATGAGCAGTTCGGTTTCGCTTTGCATTGCGACGAATTACTCTTAGTCTTGCACACCTATTGGAATGCTTGCTAACATTCCGTGGCACCGCAATGGATCAGCCAATGGGGATGGCAGAGGGGAGCATGGAACCACAAAAAAGATGACAGGCAGGCACAGAACACAACTCAAGCGGTCGATTTCTTGGTTTCCACGGGAGCAGAATCTGCCCGGCACCTACTTGATGAACTGGTTGTAAAGGCCAGAAGTGCTGTAGATCATCCGGGCAGCTTGCGACTCCTCACGCTGGCAGCGGGTCAGGGAGAGAGCATCATCCATGTGACCTTCCTGGTGCAAGATGGCCTGTTGGGTGAGCGAAGAAAGAGGGTATATACGGTGGATGCTCAGAGGATTCTCGAACCAGAGATTATTGACAGGAGGACCTAGGAAACTTTACTCTCTGCGCCACTATCTCAGCTGGCCAGCAGAGGGCGCTGTGCTGCGGTGCCACTGCCACAGGTAGCCAGAGGGTGGTGCTGCAGCGACCAATCCAAAAGAGACCAGCTGACATGGGGAGCCAATCAGCTTCCACCTGGCCCTATAAAGCTGCTGACTCAGGCCGGGCTCTCCAGTCTGAGGAACTTGTGTGTTTTAGATGCTTAATGGGCACCTTATGGGCTCAACCTCCCCTGCACGACTCCTTTGCTCAAGGCCACCAGCCCTGATGGAAAGCCAGGGAGGCCAGCCGGTTAAGCCTCACCTTTCTCTTGAGGAGCCCCAAGCGGAGAGCCTTGGCATCAGCCGCCGCGTACGTCACCCAGAGGCCGCTATCGACATGCTGCACGAAACACATGGACTCTCCGTACTTGATCTCAGGGGCTCCCATCCCCTCCACGTCTCGCTTCGGAGCCACATCCAGCTTTTCCTAGAAGGGCAAGGGGGAGAACAGAGGGCACCATGAGCTCAGAGGGATGGCAGGGCAGGGGCACACTGAGGCAATCTTTACATTCAGACATAACGTATTTTTCGCTCCATAAGACGCAATTTTTTCTTCCTAAAAAGGAAGGGGAAATGTCTGTGCATCTTACAGAGTGAATGTGTGGTCCCTGGAGCTGAATTGCCCAGGGGCAAAAAGCAGATCATGCTTTGCCTTTTTTTTTTTTTTTTTGAAAGAGGTAAGGGGGTGTTGAAACAAAGCCACTGATCGCTTGCCGATTGGGGAGAGAGATAAGGGACGCTAGAGATAAAGGAGGCTGCCTGGGAAGGGGGAGGTAAAGACAGCAAACTTGCAAAGGGGGGAAACAGGAAGACTAAAGCAATAAGGAGAGAAATTAGAAGAAAAGGAGGAGCAAAAAACTGTTCCAGCTAAGGAAAAGACATTAAGGCAAACAAGAGGGAAGGGAGTGTTGAAAGGAAGCAGCTGATCAGTGGGATCAGAAGAGAGATAAGGGACGCTAGCAAGGCTGCCTGGGAGCGGGGAGGTAAAAGCCCATGGATCCTTAGGATTTTTGCATTGGGTCACCCCAAATTCACCATCAGATCACATGTCTGTGGCCACAGCATGAATCACAAAAATCATACATCCACTGTTTCATTCAGAATATTTTTTTCCTTGTTTTCCTCCTCTAAAAATTAGGTGCGTCTTATGGTCAGGTGCGTCTTATGGTGCGAAAAATAAGGTACAGTGGTACCCCGCAAGACGAACGCCTTGCGAGACGAAAAACTCGCAAAACGAAAGGTTTTTTCGTTTTCGAGTTGCCTCGCAAGACGAATTTCCCTATGGGCTTGCTTCGCAAAACGAAGCTTGCCCCGGGGACAGCGGGTCTTCTCTTTTGAAGCAAGGGGCGGCGGGGAGATCGCTTCTCCCCACCGCCCCTTGCTTCAAAAGAGGTCCGGGGGCAGCGGAAAGCGCTTCCCGCTGCCCCCGGACCTCTTTTGAAGCAAGCGGCTGCGGGGAGATCGTTTCTCCCGGTGCTCCGAAGCAGGGCGGGGGGCGGGAACACCTTCTGAAGGCTGGCGGGGGGCAAAAGTCTTTGTCCCCCCTGCCTGCCTTCCCAGGGGCTTTTAAATCGCCCCGGACAGCGGAGAAGTCCTCCACTGTCCCGGGGCGATTTTAAAATGCCGCCCGCCAGCATTTTAAGATTGCCCGGACAGCGGAGAAGTCCTCCGCTGTCCCAGGGTTTTTTAAAATGCTGGGGGTGGGAAGAAAAGCCCTTGTCCCCCCCCAGCCTTCAGAAGAGGTCCGGGGACAGACTGTCCCCGGACCTGGTTTGAAGGCGGTTTCCCTAGGAACGCATTAATTGATTTTCAATGCATTCCTATGGGAAACCGTGCATCGCAAGACGAAAAAACCGCAAGACGAAGAGACTTGCGGAACGAATTAATTTCGTCTTGCGAGGCACCACTGTATATTTTCAGGCTTTTCTTTTAAAGATTGTATATATGTATGTATACAACACCCTATTTACCATACATCCATGTTTTCCCCAGACATTTTGCCGATTCTGAGAAAATCCACCCAAAATGAATGAATGAATGTTCAGTTCTGCTGTTCAGCTGGACCTGATTATTGTTTTAGAATATCTTGCTGTTGCTGAAAGTGCTTGGCTGCTCCTACTTACAAGATTCTCTCAATTTCAATGCCACTTTCAACATTTAGTATTTTTAAATGGCTGTAACCCATCAAGGGACCTTACAGTGAAGGGCAGGTGAGAAAATGAATGAATAGTAGTAGCAGTAATAGTAGTCGATCACTCGTAGCCGATCACTTTGGCGATCACTAATAGCCGAGTAAGATTGTCTTCCATAAACACGGTTTTAACAATGAGTCCATAAGTGACTGTGGAGGCCAATTCTGGATCCACACGTCCTTCCAGAGTGGGGACATTGGTAGTAAATAATAATAACCGAATAATAACCGAAAATCCACACGGGTGCCATTTTCAAGCCCATTTCCTGGCTGTGTCCAGGAAAATCCAGACACACAGCAGTCCTATCTTATGTGTATTTCGCCTTGAGACAGTGGTTTAGAAGGATAAATCAATGATCATAACAACAATAGTCATAATAACTCTGTTTACCCTCGTTGGCCATTTGCCTCTGAATCCCAGCTGCTGTGGAATCACAAGTGGGGAAGCTCTATTGCGCTTAGGCTTCCCATTGGGGAATCTGGTTGGCCAGTGAGATAACAGGATATTGGACAAGATGGGCCTTTGGTCCAGCACGGCTTTTCTTGGGTACTTCTATTCTTAAAGGCAGAGCACCTTGCTGGAGGAGACTCTTGAGAGTCCCATGGACTGCAAGAAGATCAAACCTCTCCATTCTGAAGGAAATCAGCCCTGAGTGCTCACTGGAAGGACAGATCCTGAAGCTGAGGCGCCAAGACTTTGGCCACCTCATGAGAAGAGAAGACTCCCTGGAAAAGACCCTGATGTTGGGAAAGATGGAGGGCACAAGGGGAAGGGGACGACAGAGGACGAGATGGTGGGACAGTGTCATAGAAGCTACCAGCATGAGTTTGACCAAGCTGCGGGAGGCAGTGGAAGACAGGAGTGCCTGGCGTGCTCTGGTCCATGGGGTCACGAAGAGTCAGACACAACTAAACAACTAAACAACAATGACTGCCCGCTTCCGACGAGGGCAATAATGGGGGACTCCTCTCACCTTAGAGATCCGGAAGCAGAAAGCTGTGGCTTTGGTGTGAGCTTTCTCAGCGTCGACCACAACCAGCCCCTTCTCATCGGTCTGCGCCAGGTAGCGGCCCGTGGTCACGTGGCGGACGCGGAAGGGCTGCCCCCACTTCATGTGGCTGCCGCTCCAGCTGTTGTGGTGGAAGAAATACTGTATGTTCCCTCTCAGGCAACTAGGACACATCAGGGGTAGCCAGTGTGCTGCCCTTCGGATGCTGTTGGACTCCAACTCCCATCAGCCCCTGCAGCTAGCAAGGCCAATAGGTAGGGATGCCAGGAATTGAGGTCCAACAACATCAGGGGAAACAGCTCAGTGGCTGCCCCTGCAATACATAAACGACATTATAACGTAGTCCCACCATTTACTGGTGTGAACGCATGGCAGAAGGATGTGTTGTGGCCAATTCCCCTCACAGGTAGTTCCTTTCCTCAGTCGTTTTTATTGTCGTTGGCCTTAATTGGCATGAGTTCAAACAACAAAATCATACAAAGTCATCCAAATACATTAGTAATCCAAACACATACAATATATAAAAAGACTAGATAGCCACCATTGAGTAAACCAGGCAACTTTAGATTTAGCTTTAAAAATCTCAGCTGAATACCCCGAAACGATATAGGTAGTTTCAGGAGTATCATCCCTCAAGAAATACTGGATTACAGACTCTTTGTAAATTGATGTTTTAAGCTGTAAGGGAATCACTAGGAGAAAGTGCTCCGTATGATCCTGGCTTCCATACAGGCAGGTCCTTCCCCTGGTTTAATTTCCCACATGTCTTCCGTTGGCTCCTCCACAGTCAATGGCCCCCATGGTTGGGCCTTGAACAGGGGACTGATCAGAGCAGCCATGTTAATTCTCCATGCAATGCCTCAAAACAACACTACATTGAGGGCAAGGGATCATGGGAAATTAAAATGGCAGCTCCTAAACCCAGCTGCCCACTGGCATACTGGACTTTTTCCCCCTTTTTTTTAGGGGAGCTGTTTTTGCTTTATTATGTATTTTATGTTTTCATTTTTTTCCCTGTTGTGAACCGCCCTGTGATCTTTGGATGAAGGGCAGCATAAAAAAATAAAATAAAATAAAATAAAATGGCAGTTGTGCCTGAGGGTGTAAGCACACTGATGCTACGACTGCTCAGATATCTGATAAGAAGGTCAGTAAGGGTAGAAAAAGGGTCAAAGACTATACAGTGGTGCCTCGCAAGACGAAAAGAATCCGTCCTGTGATTCTCTTCGTCTAGCGGTTTTTTCGTCTTGCGAAGCAAGACCATTGACGGATTAGCGGATTAGCGCTATTAGCGGCTTTTAGCGGCTTTTAGCAGCTTATCGGCTTAGAAAAGGGGGGGGAGGGGAAAAAACCAGCAGGAACTCACAAGACATTGTCGTCTTGCGAAGCAAGCCCATAGGAAATTCGTTTTACGAAGCACCTCCAAAACGGAAAACTCTTTCGTCTAGCGAGTTTTCCGTCTTGCGAGGCATTCGTCTTGCGGGGCACCACTGTATTCCCGGTTGAGTCAACAAATAAAGCCATAGAGGTGGAAGGGTTGTATACCAATATGAGTGGCAGCCAGATTGTATTTTTCACTTTCAGGTAAGAAACAGAACCGGTCATGAGGTGATGTCTCTTATTGTGGCGTTTCGTGGCATCCCACTCTACATAACAACCATGTAAGCTCTTGATTTTTAACCGAGTCCTTGGGTTACAAACATTTTCTGTATATATATATATTTGTCAGGACACGTTTAAAAGGAACAGTCCTAAAATAACATTTCATACCTCGTTGGCTCAAAAGCCGGTGAAAACAGACTCTGAACCCTCGAACACAACCCAGAATCCTTTGCGTTGTTCATGGCTTTTGAGGCAGACAAATTCACAAGGGAGCCTGTTCTCCTGGGACGCAAGCAACCCCAACAGCACTGCCATTATTTGTTATTATTATTTCATACCTGATGCGCAGAGGCTCCAGACGCCACAGCGAGCGAGCCTGGGAACAGACAGCTCCGCCTTCGTAGTTCACCACCCTGCGGAAAAGGAAGATGATCTGGGTAACTCTTCCACAAGAAGGATTCAAAACCAGCCAGTTCAATTACCAGACATGGAAATAATGCCTCTTATTTGCTGCAGCTGCCTTCGCCAACCTGATGCTGTCCAGATGCTTCCAGCTGCGATTCCGATCTTCCCCCAGCAAGTACAGCTGTAGGCCACTGAGGATGATGGGAATTGTAGTCTGGAGGACACCAACTTGCCGCTGCCTTCCTTGAATCCACCAGTGCTGGTCTTGCCATTATAGGGTATTTTTTTACCCTTTCGGGGATAAAGGGTCTGAGTAAGAACTCAGTGGGACGCAGGTGGAGCTGTGGGTTAAACCACAGAGCCTAGGACTTGCTGATCGGAAGGTCGGCAGTTCGAATTCCCGCGACGGGGTGAGCTCCCGTTGCTCGGTCCCTGCTCCTGCCAACCTAGCAGTTCGAAAGCACGTCAAAGTGCAAGTAGATAAATAGGTACCGCTCCGGCGGGAAGGTAAACGGCGTTTCCGTGCGCTACTCTGGTTCACCACATGACCCGGAAGCTGTACGCCGGCTCCCTCGGCCAATAAAGCGAGACGAGCACCGCAACCCCAGAGTCGGCCTCGCTTTATTGGCTGAGGGAGCCGGCGTTCAGCTTCCGGATCATGTGGCCAGCATGACTAAGCCGCTTTTGGCAAACCAGAGCAGCGCACAGAAACGCCGTTTACCTTCCCGCCGGAGCGATACCTATTTATCTACTTGCACTGTGACGTGCTTTCGGACTGCTAAGTTGGCAGGAGCAGGGACCGAGCAATGGGAGCTCACCCCGTCGCGGGGATTCAAACCGCTGACCTTCTGATCGGCAAGTCCTAGGCTCTGTGGTTTCACCCACAGTGCCACCCGCATCCCAGAGACTACCTTACACTGCGTTTAAAACCAAAATCGCATTCGGATAGAAACTGTTTCTCAGGTGGCTAGTCCTAGTCTTTATAACCCTGGACCTTCTTCCAGAAGGCAGAAGCTGAAAGAGATCATTTCCGGGGTGCGCACTATCCTGCACTATCTCTGCAGCTTTCTTATGGCTCCTGGAAGCATAGATTTGATCCAAGGTGGGAAGAGTGCGCCCAATTTGGAATTTGCTGCCAAGGAGTGTGGTGGAGTCTCCTTCTTTGGAGGTCTTTAAGCAGAGGCTTGACAACCATATGTCAGGAGTGCTCTGATGGTGTTTCCTGCTTGGCAGGGGGTTGGACTCGATGGCCCTTGTGGTCTATTCCAACTCTATGATTCTATGATTCTATGAATTATTCTCTCCGCAGTCTTTAAAACCTTGGACAGCATTGACCGTGCAGCTCCCAAACCACACACAGAGACCGTAAGTTAATACACTCCTCAGCAGGGGAAGGGAGGGAATAACAAAATGCTTGCATTGAATTAAAATCTGAGTTAGTGAGAGAATGAACTGTCTTTGGTGTGATCTTTTACTTTGGGGTAGAGACACTCCCCTCGCGAAATAACAGCTGCGCTCAAAGTCTGCATGTTCTTCCCTTCTGTTATCCCCTCCCGCTTTCTGTTCACTATTTGGGGCAGAGGCTTCTCTCTCCCCCCCTTTTCTTTTGCCCCCATGCTCTTTAAAGTGCCACCTTTATGCTGACAACCCCCGCACGGTATGCCCACCTGCGCTGCTCTTCATTCTGGTCCGTGGTGGAGATGGTGAGGCATTCGTCCATATGGCCGTGGAAGAGGCGCATAACATGGCCTCCGGTCACATACCCTGCGTGGACCACACAAAAAAATAGGGATTAGAGAGCGTGAGATCACAAGCAGAGCGAGGAAACTAGTGCATGTGGAATTGCCCAAGAAAGATGTTAGATTGTTTTTGTATGCCACAACTGCAGCTGGAATTTTGTTAGCTAAGAATTGGAAAACACAAGAAGTGCCAACAGTGGAGGAATGGCAGATGAAGATGATGGACTTTTCGGAGCTAGCCGACCTGACCGGAAGAGTCCGCGACCAGAAGGAGGAGGAGTACCAGGACGATTGGATGAAATTCAAAGACTATTTAGTTAAATATGCTAAGATAGCTTAATTGGAAAAACTTGCAAATACCAGATAGACTTGGGATTTAAATATGTGATGTTAGAGAATAATATGTTTAAAGTTAAAATGAAAAGGAAGAAAGATGTTAAGTGACTAAGTTAATTTTATGAGAAAATTGGTTTTGGAAAACTGTTACAATTATATACAATGAAACTCAGCCAGGGGAAGTCATTTAACAATGTCACCAAGATTGGATCAAGTACAGTTAAGATGTTTGTTTGTTTGTTCGTTTGTTTAAAACTCTGGAAAATCAATTTAAAAAATTGGGGGGAAAAGAAGAAAAGAAAATGCATGATGTATTTTGTCTTTGCTTGTGTCATCTCAAGCCACATTACCTCCATACATTTGAAGAGCTACGGTGCCACTTTAAACCGGTGTGGCTTCCCGAAAATAATTCTGGGCACTGTAGTTGGCTAAGGGCACTGAGAGGTCTTAAAGGTAAAGGTAAAGGTACCCCTGCCCGTACGGGCCAGTCTTGACAGACTCTGGGGTTGTGCGCCCATCTCACTCAAGAGGCCGGGGGCCAGCGCTGTCCGGAGACACTTCCGGGTCACGTGGCCAGCGTGACATCGCTGCTCTGGCGAGCCAGAGCCGCACAAGGAAACGCCGTTTACCTTCCCGCTAGAAAGCGGTCCCTATTTATCTACTTGCACCCGGGGGTGCTTTCGAACTGCTAGGTGGGCAGGCGCTGGGACCGAGCGACGGGAGCGCACCCTGCCGCGGGGATTCGAACCGCCGACCTTTCGATCGGCAAGCCCTAGGCACTGAGGCTTTTACCCACAGCGCCACCTGCGTCCCGGCTTGAGAGGTCTTAGGAGGCCCCTGTTCCTCTGCCAGAGCTACAGTTCCCAGAGTTCCCTGTTAAACCATTCTGTGCTTATAGCTCTGTGAGGGAGGATAGGGGTCTTCTAAGAGCTCTCAGTGATGATAAACACAATACAGCTCCCATAATTTTTTACGGGGAGCCATGTATTGTGTGAATGTGGCCTGAGTAAGTCTTACCATAGTCCTGTAACACAGGTAGGGACTGGATAAACCCCGTTCTCTCCATTTCTCAATTTTCCAATGTTGTGCTTAGCTCCCCGCATTTCCACATCAGTTTACAATTTATTTATTTTTCAAAAGCCCTCGTGAAAATTCATCAGCGTTCCAGTATGCAGTTTCTACTAATATGCATTCTTTTTGTAAGCAATCTTCCCTAACGTAACATAACTTTTTGTGTGCCGTTTGCACTAATATATGCAATTCCATTCGCATTTCCACCTCACGTGCACGTTTTCTGGGCTGGAAAACTACATCACAAAATTCGGGGCACCGTGAATTCCAAGGCGCAACTGTGCATTGTTCCAAGAGGTGTAAATTTGGTGGGTTTGTGTGAATGGCCTTGTCACCTCCATCCAAATGCAATAAGGAATGGGGTTCCTCGGTGGTCTGCCGTCTAGGCACTGACCACACCGGGACCTGCTTAGCTTCAGCAAGGTGGATGCGTCATGTGACCTCAAACCACACCCCAAGGAATCAAATACCTTCCTCGCAGCCTGAGCAGATGGGGTTCATGTTCCAGAGTGTTTGCATGAAGGAGGCATCTGCCTGGAGCTCTCCACTGGCTGTAGACAGGTGCTGGAGGAGAACAAGGACATTGTTGAGACATAGAAGAGTAGAAGAAACAAAGCGGGCGGGGAGTGAAATCAAGGGCTTAATAGTCCCCACTGATTCATGGAATCATAGAATTGTAGTGTTGGAAGTAATATTAATAATAATTTATTATTTATACCCCGCCCATCTGGTTGGGTTTCCCCAGCCACTAAAATACAATAACCTATCAAACATTAAAAGCTGTTCGACAGTGGAATTTACTGCCAAGGAGTGTGGTGGAGTCTCCTTCTTTGGAGGTCTTTAAGCAGAGGCTTGACAACCATATGTCAGGAGTGCTCTGATGGTGTTTCCTGCTTGGCAGGGGGTTGGACTCGATGGCCCTTGTGGTCTATTCCAACTCTATGATTCTATGATTCTATGAAAAACTTCCCTAAACAGGGCTGCCTTTAGATGTCTTCTAAAAGTTTGGTAGTTATTTTTCTCTTTCACATCTGGTGGGAGGGCGTTCCACAGGGCGGGTGCCACTACAGAGAAGGCCCTCTGCCTGGTTCCCTGTAACTTGGCTTCTCGCAGCGAGGGAACCGCCAGAAGGCCCTCGGCGCTGGACCTCAGTGTCCGGGCAGAACGATGGAGGTGGAGACGCTCCTTCAGGTATACTGGACCGAGGCCGTGTAGGGCTTTAAAGGTCAGCACCAACACTTTGAATTGTGCTCGGAAACGTCCTGGGAGCCAGTGTAGGTCTTTCAAGACCGGTGTTATATGGTCTCAGCGGCCGCTCCCAGTCACCAGTCTAGCTGCCGCATTCTGGATTAGTTGTACTTTCCAGGTCACCTTCAAAGGTAGCCCCACGTAGAGCAAGTGACTCCAAGTCCTCTAGTCCAGGCTTCCTCAACCTTGGCCCTCCAGATGTTTTTGGCTTACAACTCCCATGATCCCTAGCTAGCAGGACCACCAACCTTCTGATCGGCAAGCCCAAAAGGCTCTGTGGTTTAGACCACAGCATGTGAAGGAGGAGGCAAGTCCTCCCACAGAGAGACAGACACACTCACCAGGTACCGCTCAGAGGAGACGCTGACAAGGATGAGGTCATCACCCACGCGCACCTTCTCCCCTTCCGATCGCTGCTTGGAGGCAGGATGGATGGTCCACCAACAGGCTTCCCCTAGTGGTGAGAGAGATTGTGGGTAGACGTCTGCGAGAAACTAGCTATGGTCCTTTATTTGCTCTGGGGTCACATCAGACAGGCACCTACAGTATCGGCATTTAGGTGGGCTGCTTCAGATTCATCTGTTCACCTGGGTCAGTGGTTCCCAAAGTGGGCATTACTGCCCCCTGGGAGGCGGTGGCATTACCTAGGGGGTACTAAGAGGCAAGGGGGTGGCAGGGGGGAATTACTATGAAAAGCTGGCATCCGTGGATCAAGTTCATCAATTAAACTGAATAGTTTTAACTGGATTTTGAATAAATGTGCAATTAATTGTTACGGCTTTGAATTTGATCGTGTTTTTATAGGCTAGGGTAAGGGGCACAGGGAATGAGTTTATGGGGAAAGGGTGGGGTGGCCAGAAAAAGTTTGGGAACCACACCTAGGTTTTCCCTGAGGGGGCAATCCAGCTATATTTGATGTAAAAAGGTAAAGGTAAAGGACCCCTGACAGTTAAGTCTAGTCGCGAACGACTCTGGGGTTGCGGCGTTCATCTCGCTTTATTGGCAGAGGGAGCCGACATTGTCCACAGACAGTTTTTCCGGGTCATGTGGTCAGCATGACTAAGCTGCTTCTGGCGAACCAGAGCAGCGCATGGAAATGCCGTTTACCTAACCACCAGAGTGGTACCTATTTATCTACTTGCACTTTGATGTGCTTTCGAACTGCTAGGTTGGCAGGTGCAGGGACCAAGCAACGGGAGCTCACCCCGTCGCGGGGATTCGAACCGCCAATCTTCTGATAGGCAAGCCCTAGGCTCAGTGGTTTAGACCACAGTGCCCCCCGCATCCCTTTGATGTATTAAGCTTATTTGCTGATTTGTACTTGTTTTATTGATGAGATTTCATTGGGCAAAAGTGCAACATAAAGTATGCAAACTGAGCAGCTTGCATAATTTATGTTTCACTTTGGCCCAATAACATTTCATTAAAAGCTGCTCAATTTGCATCCTGTAGCCAGGTCACAGAATTATTCTGCAACACCACCACCACCACCATCAGCACATAATTTCAGTTGTTTGCATGCAGATTTGTTTTGTTCTGTGTCTGCACTGAGTGGGAATTTACTCCTCTGAGACTCAACACAGTCCTATTGCCACTGAACAGTGCCTGGAATGTAGAATGAGCTAGGAATATTCTCCTCCTCTTCCCCGCTGCAAGCAAAAACACCCGCAAGCTGGCAATTCCTTGGGGTGCAAAATCACATACCTGTTGCATCCTCCTGAAGGCCCACGTCAAAGGCAAGTTTATCCGTCAGGGAGCGGGATGTGGTTAGGCAGCTCAAATACTACAAATTGGGAAGGAAAGAAGATCAAGAAACGTTCTCTGAAGTTCTTAACCTCAAGTGTGTGTGTGTGTGTGTGTGCGTGTGCGTGTGTGTGTGTGCGCGCGTGCGTGCGTGCGTGCTGGGGAGATCAACCACCCTGGTTTCTGCACCTTAAATTGCAGCTTTAAAATGTAACTTTATAAATGCACGTAGATAGATGTGTGGCCATAATCTTTTGCACCAAAGGAAGTAGATAGATAGATAGATGATAGATAGATAGATAGATAGATAGATAGATAGATAGATAGATAATTTATTACGGTCGGAGACCAGCTTATAAAACACACTTGGGGGTACAATCCCAGAAGGAAGGCAAACATTTAAAACAATATGCAACAATAAATTTAAAATTTATAAATGTGATAAGCTTAAAACTTTAAGATAAGCTACCACAGAGAGATGACCCAGAGTCACCCATGGAACCGAGTTTGGGGATTTTCTTAACGAACTAGTTTGGGTTGGGGGATGGTCTGCGCCTACAGATCTGTACACAGAATCTGGCGATCGTCCGGGTCATCTTATGATCTTTGCCTAACAGGAAAAGGTCAAGTTTTTGCTTTTCCGGGAGGTCAGCGAGCCTCACCAGCAGGGGATCAATGGTCTCACTACGTGCCTCTTCATAAAAGGGACATCTAAAGAACAAGTGCTCTGGGCTTCCTATCTCCCCCAATGAACAGGCGCAAAGTCTCTGAGCATATGGGGCTTTTTTAAAGGATCCTTCCAGAACCGGCGAGAGCAGAGCAGAGCCTTTCTTGCATTTAACCAAAAGAAGTACAGGCAACTCCCGACTCGTGGGCGATCAGCACATGCGTAGCAACCAGAAACGCAACCCCCGTATGAGTTGCCTGTAGTGCAGAGAGCATGGGCTGCTGAAAACAAGAGGTCACACCCAATGCAATGGGGAGCTGCTTGCTGCTGACCAACACAAGGCAAAGATGGCCCCGTTGTATATTTTAATTAAGGACGCTCTAAGGTGATTGTAGCATCTTAAAAAGCAGAGACATCACCTTGCCAACAAAGGTCTGTATAGTTAAAGCTCTGGTTTTCCCAGTAGTGATGTATGGAAGTGAGAGCTGGACCATAAAGAAGGCTGATCGCCGAAGAATGGATGCTTTTGAATTCTGGTGCTGGAAGAGACTCTTGAGAGTCCCATGGACTGCAAGAAGATCAAACCTCCCCATTCTGAAGGAACTCAGCCCTGAGTGCTCACTGGAAGGACAGATCCTGAAGCTGAGACTCCAATACTTTGGCCACCTCATGAGAAGAGAAGACTCCCTGGAAAGACCCTGATGTTGGGAACGATGGAGGGCACAAGGAGAAGGGGACGACAGAGGACGAGATGGTTGGACAGTGTTCTCGAAGCTACCAGCATGAGTTTGACCAAACTGCGGGAGGCAGTGGAAGACAGGAGTGCCTGGCGTGCTCTGGTCCATGGGGTCACGAAGAGTCGGACACAACTAAACGACTAAACAACAACCACAAGCTGATTGTGTGTTTTAATTGTGGGTTGGTTCTACGGTTGCGAACAGCTTAGAAGTCATTTTGGCACATCATGACTGTATATTCATTAGTTAATTAATTAATAACAACCATAGCAATAACGAAGCGGGGATGGGGAACTGCACCCATCATTCCCTGATCATTAACTGGGGATTGATGGGAGTTGGAGTCCTACAAGATCTTCTCCTCGCTTCAAGCATGTAAGGTCACTTCAAGGAATAATTCCAGCAGTAAATAAGCAGTGGCAAGCGAATACACACTCGATTTCAAGGATGACCATTCAAGGCCCAGCTCTACACACACACACACACACACACACACACACACACACACACACAGAGCTCTCCTAGGAATGTTGACACAGAAGGAAATCGCAGCCGGCACCACCCAACCCTGGGTGACCTCAGCTTCTTGACTTAGAACTTATATCTGTCCTCCAGAACGCGGCTCAGCCTTTTTGACGTTTGACACCTTCTTGGCCGAGAAATGTGCTCACCTCCTAAAACCCCGATCGGGATTCCTTGCAATTTCTGCATCCCAGGAGGGGAACACATGACACACACTTGAAAATAAATCTGCTTGGCTCAGGGACAGGGACGTGGAACAGAAAATGGCTGCGGAGCAGCTGTGTCTTCCCTGCCCCACCGGCCTTTGGAGTCGGCCAACGCTGGACTGAGCTCTTGAGCTTTCCTGGTTTCCCTCTTCCGCTTCTTCAAGACACAGAACTTTCCCCAATTCCTCCTCCTCCTTACCATGGCGCTGTGGGAATGCCGGAGAAGAATAGCGTGTCCGTACAGGAGTGTCCGATGTCCGCCACCTTGAGAAGACTGGGGTGGGGGTGACAGGGCAAAAGAGAAAGCCAAGTCAGTCTGTGAACTGGACAATCCCACCCAGAGCACCCTCATCCCCAACCCATAGCAAATGGAAGTTGCTGACACCTTTCCTTAAGGCGGCCTTGACCAACCTGGGGCTTCCCAGGTGTTTTGGACTACAATTCCCATCAGCCCCAGCTGGCGCCCCAGGATGGCCAGAGATTCCTGAAGGGCCTACTGGAATGCACTCCAAAGAGGCTCACTGGGTCCCGGACCTTGGCAAAACAGAAACCAAGAAATGGAAGTCTTGCCCAAGGCCTAACTCCTGAAAACGGCGTCGTGAAAACAACTCCCTTTTCATCCAAGCAAACATGCTCCATGTCTCAGCTTTTACACCCAGATGGGTGGGGTATCAATATAATAATAATAATAATAATAATAATAATAATAATAATAATCCACAATTTGTGCAGTAAAATTATTATTATTATTATTATTATTATTATTATTATTATTATTATTATTAAAAAACATAGAAAATGGCAAAAAGCAGGCCAAGAAAATTATGGAATGACCTGGAGAATGGGTGGGCATAAAGGACCTGTTTGAACCAGGAATTTTACTGCACAACTATTATTATTATTATTATTATTATTATTATTATTATTATTATTATTATAACATAGAAGATGGCAAAAAGCAGACCAGGAAAATTATGGAATGACCTGGAGAATGGGTGGACACAAAGGACCTGTTTGAACCAAGAATTTTACCACACAACTGCACTTGACGTGAGGTAAAATTCTCCTCAGCAGGGCAGTGCGACAATCAGCTTACCACACGGCTCTGTCCACACCACAGTAAAACACCGCTTCGTCCCCCACAATCTATCCCCACATGAAGAACCCGTTTTATCTCCTGAAGAGATTTCCGGCACTGAATAATTTCTTCAGAGCCATTTCTTCCAAAGGGACCCAGCACAGGGAACAAGGCAGAGTCGCATCCACTGTCCATAGGATTTGCTTATGGGCCTCAAAAGCGTCCAGCAAGGAACGGCTTCCTGGTTCTCTTGCACAGCCATACTTGCCAAGCCCAAAGGTGGTGGCTGCCATTTGCAAAAACTCTTCTCATTATATATATATATATATATATATATATATATATGCGCAGCTGAGCCAAGGAAAAGGCTTGCGTCCACCATACATGTGTTGACGCCACCGTTGCAAGACATTACAACGGTTCTGGTATTTCACTGGCATCTGTTTTTGTCGTGATTAAAAAACAATAGCCGTTCTTACTGCAGTTCATACCTATATATCTATATAGGGTTGTATCCCGTTAAGTTTTCTTTGGAGCAGACCCATTCAGAGGAATGAATCTAAAGTTAGGCATGGGCACCCACTTCAACAAGTCGGCTCTTAATGCTGGATGCAGCCCATAATCAATATATAATGGACCACACCACAATAATGTATACACTCATCCCTTCTATAGGTTGCTTGCTGCTGTAAATATGGTAATAATGACATAGACCCCTTTGCTATGTTATTTATAGCCATAGTTGCCGTTGTATATATCTGCAGTATAAATGACCCTAGTTTCCCAGGTCATATTATTATTGCACATATATTGTACACACACACACATATATACGGTCATTATTGCATGACTCACATTGAGGCAATGTGTATTTATACAGTGCTTTTTTTCTAAAAATAAATGCTTAGGGGTACTCTCATTTTGACTCAAGAAAATCACCATTTTACTAGTTCAAATCGGGAAAAATAAATACAGGAAATGGAAAGATTCACAAAATGTTTTGGGGTATGCGTACCCCCCCCCCAGAAAAAAGCACTGCATTTATTTGCTACCATCCGGGCAAAGGTCATATTGCAGCAGCACAAAAGGTCGTGAATAACTGGACCATGTTACTGCATTACGTTCGGGGTGGCACTGTGTGCCATGTTTCTGATGTCCATTGTGCATTAAAATCAGATGCACAATTTCTCTTGCAGAAGACAAGATTGACTCTTGGGTTTGTAAGAAGAGTGAATGCCATCAGTTTTAAGTCGTACTCAAATACAGTTAAAGCTTGGTTTTCCAGGGAAGGGCCTGTGATGCTCCGGTCTTGATTCCCCAAGCGCAAACTTCAAGATGCAGCAAAACGGGAAACTCTCAGAGGAGGGTCATTCACTGCACCCCATATATAGATGGACACACCAGGTGACAGCAACCGAGGACGGACCGTGCTGGTGTGTCTCTGCAACAGGTGTGGACTGAACCATTTCTTCACCCCGAATGAAGACACACACGCACGCATAGAATGATTTAAAGAGAGGCATGTCCAGGACCTTACAGGAAACGCTCATTATTTTATCAATTTACGTCCTGCAGGGATCTGAAATCATGCGCAATTTGGGAACAACTGCTGTGTGATCGTTACAGCAGGTCTGTATTGCTGTGGCACGGACTTTAACGACCTGGGCTTTAAAAACCATGTGATTACAGCACATGTAATGATTACTGAGCAGTTTTAATTACTACAGCTCATGCGTCTTTAGCGCTTCGTTTGGACTGTATACCCAACCCCAGAAGAGAGGGAGCCCAACTTCCTGTTAAATTTAGCTCAAAGCAGCAATACTGGGCGTTATCCCATTTTAACCCAATATATCAGGCAGGGAGCATGCCCCATGGTTTAGCACGACCCATGTAGGTGGCGCACAGCCAATGCCTCATGGGTGTTACCCCATAATCCCCTGCAGAGGTCACATGATCACTGTCAGGGCAGTCTGCATTCTGAAATCATGGGAACCTAGTTGCTGGTAGAAGAATGTTGCAACCCACTGTGGCGTCAGTCGCTGTTTCCTAAGCAGCGCTCTCACCAGGGAGGGAGGGGCACAGCCCACATTTTGCGGAGCAAGGTTGGGGGCAAAGAATATAAGGCATCACAGGAGGGTGGGATGGAGAGTAGGCCCACTGCCCATCGTGGCTCCATCTTGTCTTGTAAGATCAAACACAACAAGATCCCAGCAACTTGGTTCATCTCACAGTGCAAAACACCTCGGCCGCTTCCAGATTGTCGCTGTTTTGTGGGTGGGATTCAACTGCACGCCGGCAAAATTCAGGCCGCACGATTAAAGTGGATTTGGCACTCCTGTGCAACAAAGCCACTTCTAAAAGCAAATAAATAGCGAATCAGGGTTGGTTGGTTTGAGGTAAGGAAAGTGACAGGAAAACACAGTGGGAAGTGTAGGACAACCATTGCTTGATGTGATTAGGGAAACTGGTAAATGTGTCCGTTTTCGTTCCTCTTGGGTTCTCATTTTTCCAGTCCCAAGTTCACCACTCCACATTTCTACATCAGTTTTGAAACTGTTTTTAATGTCCACACGAAAATTCACCATAATTTAGTGTGGCTTTTCCTTAACACACACAATTTTGTAGGCAGTTTTGCCTAACTTGCACATTCGTTGGCAAAACTACTTCCCCTAGTATACAGTGAATTTTTGCATGCTATTTTCACCAATATATGTACGCTTTATGCACACTCTAGCATGGAGTATGCATTTTTGCACACATTACCTAAATCAGGGGTGGTCAACCTTTTTATACCTACCGCCCACTAATGCATCTTTTATGATGGCAAAAATTTCCTTACCGCCCAGCAGTGCTCGATGGAAGGGGGATTCATCTTGTGCCATAGAACCCCCTACTGCCCACCTAGAATCCTGAAACACCCACTAGTGGGCGGTTGGGACCAGGTTGACAAACCCTGACCTAAATAGAGAGCCGCGTTGCAAAATTCAGAGAAGTGTGACTTTCCAAGGACACCTGTGTTTTATTTCAAACATGGTTTCAGAAAGTGTGAATTAGGTAGGTCCGCCTTCAAGGGAGAAGAGAATTTCGCCCCACCCCCTAGACATGATGCTCTCTAACTTCCCTCCAAACAATTCAGAATAAACACACAATAAACAGTGGATGCACAGAAATCAAGATGAGTGCTTGAAAGAAGAGGACAACTGGAAGCGGACCACACTAGTTTTGACATACTGTGCTCCATCACCAGCTTGCAACGTATGCCCCGGTGTGCAAGCCTCTCCATGTTCACATGTAGGAACCATGCAATGAAGTGAGAAGATGGGAAAGATAGAGGAGTTTGGGTTGAGGAAGGAGTAACCACAGCCAAGGATGGAAAAGTCTAGTGGAAGAGGACGTGTGTTGGAGAGATGGATCAAGGGATGAGGAGTTCGAAGGAGAGAGGGAGAGGGCAATTATTTAGAGGGAAAGGGGGTTCCACCTGGTTTCCATCATGGGAGAAAGACAAGAGACCCCCGCTTGCCTCTCATTAAGCTCTCGCCTAGAAGGACATTCCCAAAACTGAGCTATCCAACCTTGCGCAACACTACAGTGGTACCTCTGGTTGCGAACGAGATCCGTTCCGGAGGCCCGTCCGCAACATGAAAGGAACTCAACCCGCAACAGCAGGGTTGCGATTCGCTGCTTCTGCGCATGCGTGTGATGTCATTTTGTGCATCTGCACATGCGCAAGTGGCAAAACCCGGAAGTAACCCTTCCGGTACTTCCGGGTTGCCACGGGACGTAACCTGAAAGAACGTAACATGAAGCGGACGTAACATGAGGTATGACTGTATAGACTTTAACAGGAACAGAATAAGAGCCTTCTAGATCAGGTCCATGGTCCACCTAGTCTAGCATCCTGTTCTCAACCAGATCCATTTTTGGGGAAACCTGGAAGTCGGACCCCAAGCACAAAAGCCCTCTTCCCTTCTGTGGTTTCCAGCAACTGGTATTCAGAAGCAATGCTTGTTGCCATTGTTATGGAGGCAGACTGCAGCCATCATGACTAGTAAGCCATCAATAGCCCTCTCCTCCATGACTTTGGCCTAATCCTCTTTCAAAGCCATCTGAGTCAGTGGGAGCAAAGTTCCATAGTTTAGCTAGGGAACGCCCCCCTCTTTGGACCGGAAATACAATACAGTTCCTTTAGAAGCCCTACCTGGAGACCCCGGGCCTTGAACATGGCACCTTCTGCATGCAAAGCCCTACTGCTGATCTACAACCTTTCTCCAGACAGCAGAATTCCATGGACTTTTGGAACTTGGTTTTGAAGCCCCTTGAAGCGGATTGTTCATGCAAGAAACCCTTTCTGGCCAGAGGCCTCCATCTTCATGCTCGACGAAAGGATTTACTGATCCCACTTCCGTTCCTTTCGCAGCAGCCTGACCCACAGAAATCAAGCAACGAATCCTTTTCCCCTTCACATGGCAGCCATGTTGGGAAAAGCTTCGCCTCTTGAATTTCTGCACGTCAAGGCTGTCGCTAGAGATACAGGTTTGAAGCTAGTAAAAGAAGATGCAAGCTGGCTCATCACCCACCCTAGTATCTGGGCATTGGTCCCATGGATAGAAATGGATAGAGGCATATCCATTTGCTTTTTAAGGTACCCATTTGCTTTGGGGAGCAGAAAGGAGAGCTAGGTGTTTGTTGCATGTGGTGAAAATGAGGAAGATTCTGGTCTTTGTCCTGGGAGCCCGAAAAAGGGCTGCGAAGTGGGATTTGTGGGACCCTGCAACCCTAACCCCAGATCGCTTGGTTGTTCCTAAGTCCTGCCACACATATCTGCCTCTGGCTAAGCATGGGGAGGTGGGAACCCCCCAGGAAGGGGAGAGGAGACGGGTGTGCGCACACAGCAAAACAAGGTCAGGGAGAAGAAGGCAGAGAAGGGGTTTAGAAAGGAAGGGGCACGGGTGGGTGGGTGGGTGGGATCACGGCAGCGAAGTTGGCACCTACCCACTTGTCCAAGTCAACACCCTAGAGGGTCAGCCAGCAGAATTGAGAAGCCAAAGGAAAGAAGAGGAAGAGAAGATAAACCACGCTGGATACTCAGTCCACAAGCCAAGGCGGGCACAGCACAACACCAGGAAGCCCTTGGTCGCCTCAGCTAGCATCACAGAGACGCCGCCACCCACCCGCTGCAACCACACATACCTGCTCCAGGTGTTCCCACTGCGGACGGGGCTCAGGCTGGCTCTCACCCCATCCCCAAACATGCATGCAGGGGTCTTCTGAACCATACCCACAGAGCACATAACCAGGTATTATTTGAAACCAGTTGGAGGCTGTTGTGGGGTGAACCGGGAGGCCTGGCACCCAGATGGCACCATAGTCCTGTTTAGGCCTCTTGCCCCGAGTGTTACCCATTGTGCAAGAGGGTGGGTGGGGAAATGAGGGCACACGTAACAGCCCTTCCGTTGCATCGCTAGTGGCCTGGATCCTGCCACCCTTTGCATGTTGGGCTGAACTCCTGCATTGCCTTGCGGCACAGTCAGAATCCTAAAATGTGTGGGGAGTTTCTAGGACAAAGGCCCTCCCACCCAGGGAAACGCTCAGGTCCAATATGTATAGCATGGGTAAAGAACCTCAGGCCCCTGGGGAATCATACGTGGCCCTCCAGACCTCCCTACTTGGCCCCTGGGACTCTCTCCCAGCTCAGTTCCAATATGTACAGCATGGGTAAAGAACCTCAGGCCCCCGGGGAATCATACGTGGCCCTCCAGACCTACCTACCTGGCCCCTGGGACTCTCTTCAAGCCACACACACCGCCAGTCTTGCTTTTCAGTCTTTCCCTGGGTGGGATGTGTCCTTGTGACTCTTGCTTGGAAAAGAGGGCGTGTGAGCACATTCAGAAGCTCCTTTACTGTACAGAGGCGGGGTTTACTTTCATTGCTCCACCCCCTTTTGCCTCTGGCCCCACCCACCCGCTGGCATGTGGTGGACCCTGGAAGGTGGCAATGTGGTTCTCAGGTTGGAAAAAACTTCCTTGCCCCAAAGTTGATGGGGCCGTGATGTGCTCACAAAGAAACCTTAGCCGTACTTACATCAGAACCCACCTCCACGGTGTTGGCTAACATTTCCTGAAGCGCTCGTACGGACAAGGACTGTTCCAGGCTGAAGCAGCATATGGCCAGATCCGGGGGGACTTTCTGTGTGTGTAGAAAACACAGGTTTGCTTGGTTTAAAAAAACAACTTGGGTGGGTAGTGTTCCCATATCATCATAATAAATTTATTATTTCGGTCACAGACCAGTTCCAGCTCACATACAATATCAGGGAAGTCATAAAACACGATAGGGATGCATTTAAATTTGCAATTGGGTATAACAGGCACAATACAGACATAACAGCAGTTAAAATATGTAAGTTAAATCTTAGTCACTAAAATGGTCCTTTATGGCCTTAGTCATTGTGGTAGCACAGCTTGTTACCTAAGTTTTATGGCCGATGCACAGAATTTGGCCACCCTTAGCGTGATCTCTGAATCCTTGGTTCCCATATCAAGTTAGTGAATTTGGTGGGCACGTCAGAGACTGCAAAGCACACCCCACTTTAATGGCAGTGCAGAAGTAGAGTACCGTATTTTTCGCCCCATAGGGCGCACCGGCCCATAGGGCGCACCTAGTTTTTTTTTGGGGGGGGAATAAAGAAAAAAAATTATTTCCCCCCCAGGCGCGGGGCTGGGGCGGGGTAAGCCCAAGCTTCCCCGACCCCATCCCCCAGAACAGGCTGCTATCCGCAAGCCTAGGGAGCCTGCGGGAAGTCGCGCCGGTCTCCCCAGGCTTGCGGATATCTGCCCGAAGGCTTCGGGATGCAGGCATCTCTCTTCAGGATGCAGGCAACCCCGCAAACCAGGTCGGGGAATAGCGGGTTGGCGGCGCTTCGCCTCCCCGCTGTCCCCCGAGCTAGTGGGGCTTCCCAATATCTGCAGGAAGGAAGCTGTGCAGCGCGCCCCAGGCTTCAGGATGCAGGCTGCTATCCGCAAGCCTTGGGAGCCCGACGGGAAGTTGCGCCAGGCTCCCAAGGCTTGCGGATAGCTTCCTGAAGCCTGGAGAGCGAGGGGGGTCCGTGCGCACCGAGCCCTCTCGCTCTCCAGGCTTCAGCGAAAGCCTGCAATCACCCCATAGGACGCACACACATTTCCCCTTCATTATAGGGCAAAAAATACGGTACTTTACGGCTGGGGTAAACAGCTGCTATTGGAGAGCTGCAGAGAGACCAGGGACTTTGATGAGGTTGCCAGATTACTAGGCAGGTCTCATCCTCATAGCATCTCTCACAGGCCCTTCCAGTCTCCTCCCCCGCCTTATAATTTCCCCACCCTCATATCTCAGTGACCATGATTAACTGGAACCACGCAAACCCATGGACATCAGATTCTGGGGCGGCCGTCAAAGCAGCAGTGTTTTGCGCCAAGGTTTTCTTGTCTCTTGAAGATTATTACCAGTCAGTGGATACGTTTGCACATAATGGTATGCCCCTAGTTCGTTCTGATCATGGTTTCTTCAACAAACCACCAATAATCAAACAGAAAAGCAAGCAAGCGAGTCGCGGCTTGTTTCTCCAAAGTTTCTGCAAGCATCCGGAGTGGTTTAGCAAGGTTTAGCAAGGTTGCTGAGTTTGGACATGACTCCAGAGAACAGTGAAAAAAGCCATGGTTTATAAGCCTTCAACAGACCATGGCTTCACATCACGGTTTGTTGCTGGAAAACAATCCGTGGTTAATTAATTTATTTATTTCATTTACTAATCGGTTCCTGTGAGGTATTCTGAAGCCATATGTTCGGACACTCAAACAAATCATACCAGGCCACTGTCATAAGGTCTGACATAACAATTTCCCTGACTCTGACGGCAACCACCAAACTCTGGTCAGATCATCTTATTGACTGTTCCAACCATGGGATAAACTAGTATAGATATTTCCTACCCAGCTGCCCTTTCCCCAGAAGGTACCTGAGCGTTGGAGGTAGGTTCTAGGAAACACAGCCGGTTGCCGAAACCTTCTGCAGACAGACATAACTTCAGCTGTTCCTTCAAGATGGTGGCAGAGCACTGAAGAACGACCTCATCATCCTGAGGGAGAAAAGAAGAGCATCTCAGAAATGCGCACTCAGAAGGCTGAGATCCTGGGGATGCCAAGTCAGCAACAGAATATTCTCTATGTGGAAGGCATTCCTAAAAGACGCCTAGCCATGATTGGAAACCTCAAAAGAAGATTCTGGACTCCCCAGGCAAGCACAGCAAAGTGGTTTTCTAATTATAGTTTCCCCAATTTTCACCCTGCATCCGATTTTCCGATTAAGAAAGTCTTCCTCTGTATCTATCTCCCACTCACCTGAAAACCACTCCCCATGTCTCGCTTTTATATTCTGTAGGATACACCCAACCAGATCGTTTAAAATTGCCTCAGGTTATGGTTTTTTAATCGAGATCTACGCAGAAGTAATATCCACTGAGGAGAAGCCCACTGATGATGATGTTCAATTGCTTGCAGAGTTTCACAGCCTCTGCACATTACGCACCTACCGAGAAAATGTGTGTACAGAAAGGAACCTATCTAAATGAACATATGTATTTTTATCAAGTATTATTGTGAGACACAGGCACCTTTTCATGCGATTCTGGCAGAAGCATAAATTAGCCATTCGCAGAATTGCCTGCGGCGAGTTAAGAATTGCTTCCAGGAAACTACACCAGGAACTTTTCTGAAGGCTTCCACCGCACCCTCACTGCGAGAAGCCAAGTTACAGGGAACCAGGCAGAGGGCCTTCTTGGTAGTGGCACCCGCCCTGTGGAACGCCCTCCCACCAGATGTCAAAGAGAACAACTACCAGGCTTTTAGAAGACATCTGAAGGCAGCCCAGTTTAGGGAAGCTTTTAATGTTTGGTGCATTACTGTATTTTAATATTTTGTTGGAAGCCGCCCAGAGTGGCTGGGGAAGCCCAGCCAGATGGGCAAGGTAAAGGTAAAGGGACCCCTGACCATTAGGTCCAGTCGTGGCCGACTCTGGGGTTGCGGCGCTCATCTCGCTTTATTGGCCGAGGGAGCCGGCGTACAGCTTCTGGGTTATGTGGCCAGCCTGACTAAGCCGCTTCTGGCAAACCAGAGCAGCGCACGGAAACGCCGTTTACCTTCCCGCCGGAGCTGTACCTATTTATCTACTTGCACTTTGACATGCTTTCGAACTGCTAGGTTGGCAGGAGCAGGGACCGAGCAACGGGAGCTCACCCCGTCGCAGGGATTCAAACCGCCGACCTGATCAGCAAGTCCTAGGCTCTGTGGTTTAACCCACAGCGCCACCCACGTCCCTGTAGATGGGCAGGGTATAAAAAATAAATTATTATTATTATTATTATTACTTGCCAAACCTGTTTGGGAAGCAACACCAAAATAAACGCTGTGGACGGGAGGCAAAAGTTGGGGTGAGTGTCTGCAATGCAAAGACTGCCCTTAACTCTCAGGAGGGGGCAGTGGGGATGGCTACAAAATCCCGCACGCCACACTCCATTCTTCCTTCCTAGGAACTGCTCTCGATTCAAAGGGCACTCCGAGCGACGCAGCTTTCTTAATGCATTCCACAGAGAAAACTGCCGCTGGAACATGTTCCCCCCCAGCCCAGCCCAAGCCAGCGAGAGACTCAGGCAGGACACAACAGATCCTTTTCCATAATGAACAGAAGCAGGTGGACAAGCAGCCTGTTTATGTCCTAGCCAAGGTGGAGAAGGGGAAAGGGAGATAGCCTGTCCAGTTTTTGGGGGGCGGGCACTGCTGCCCGTGACCTTTATTTTTTGTAAATATCCTGGGAAGCTCTTTCTTCTAAGCTTTCTCTAACATGTGTTTTGTCTTGCAATTCAATTATTTTTAAAAAAACACCATCTTTAAACGACAAGGATAAAATATATGCCTGCACTCGAGAGCTGGCACAGTCGGAAGGACACAAGGCTCTTAATAATATTATAATAATGATAATTTATTATTTTTACCCCGCCCATCTGGCTGGGTTTCCCCAGCCACTCTGGGCGGCTTCCAACAAAGATTAAATATACCGTATTTTTCGCTCTATAACACGCACCCGACCATAACACGCACGTAGTTTTTAGAGGAGGAAAATCTGTAGGCATGCCACCCGTAGGCATTCCCTCCATAACACTCACAGACATTTCCCCTTACTTTCTAGGAGGAAAAAAGTGAGTGTTATGGTGCAAAAAATACGGTACATCAAAATGTCACACATTAAAAACTTCCCTGAACAGGGCTGCTTTCAGATGTCTTCTAAAAGTCTGGTAGTTGTTTTTCTCTTTGACATCTGGTGGGAGGGTGTTCCACAGGGTGGGTGCCACCACCGAGAAGGCCCTCTGCCTGGTTCCCTGTAACTTGGCTTCTTGCAGTGAGGGAACCGCCAGAAGGCCCTCAGCGCTGGACCTCAGCGTCTGGGCAGAATGATGGGGGTGGAGACGCTCCTTCAGATATACTGGGCCGAGGCCGTTAAACTCAGGGCCGTGGGTTTGAGCCCCACATCGGGCAAAAGATTCCTGTGTTGCTAGGGTTTGGACTAAATCACGCTTGTGGTCTCTTCCAACTCTACAATTCTACGAACTCTATTATTCCATCTGCCTGGCGTCGCTTTGTTATAGGAAAACCTTGACTTCTGGGCTTGACTTGTCCCCAGTGTGGAGGAGGAACGTCATAGAAGTTGGAAGAGACCCCAAGAGCTGACTAGCCCGATCCTCTGCAATGCAGAAATCACAACTAAAGAACCCCTGGCAGATTACCATCCAACCTCTGCTTAAAAGTCCACCATCTTCCAACCTGGGGTTTTATATCGTGCTGCACCCCAAGAAGAAGAAGAAGAAGTAAAGTTTGGATTTTATATCCCGCCTTTCACTCCCCTTCAGGAGTCTCAAAGCGGCTAACATTCTCCTTTCCCTTCCTCCCCCACAACAAACACTCTGTGAGGTGAGTGGGGCTGAGAGACTTCAGAGAAGTGTGACTGGCCCAAGGTCACCCAGCAGCTGCATGTGGAGGAGCGGAGACACGAACCCGGTTCCTCAGATTACGAGACTACCGCTCTTAACCACTACACCACACTGGCTCTCCCAGATCTTCTGGGGCTTCAACTCCTGAATTTGGAAGGGGAAGACGGACCTAAGGAGGACCAGTAGGTCAAAGTGAAGAGGAGCTCCCATAATATGTATTTTTGGGTGGTGAAGAAAGACGCAGCCTGTTGCTCCTATCCATCAGGCCAGTGCTCCATCTAGTCTACCATCCTGTCCCCACAGTGGCCCATCAGTGGGAAACTCGCAAGCAGGATTGGAACACAAGAGCACTCTCTTGTTTCCAGCAACTAGTAGTCAGAGGCATTGTTAGAAACTCAGATACATAATCTAATCACCAAATGGCACCTTGAACCTAGGCTGCAGTCGCCACAACGCAGGGTGGATAAAAATCAATGGCACAACTAAGTGCAGTACAGCCATCTTCTCAGAAAAACTCTTCACAAAGTTCAAGAGGTCAAGACACGAAGGCTTTAGCAACTAATCCACACCTAATGACCCACCTAAGTGGTACTCAGGATATCACTCAAGAAATCACTCAAGATATCCCTCAAGTAATTAAGGAACAAAAGAAGAAAAGGCACACTAGCCTGGGAACTTCCTCTCTGCCCAGAACATTGGAGGCTATACACCACACCCCCTCAACAGTATTTATAGGAACTCAAACACTGAGATCCTGCTCTGTTCCAGTAACAAGAAGCCGAAAGCACCAGCCTGAAGATGACGAGTGAGACCTCGTCGAAACGTCGCCTAGACACCCCAACTTTTACACGGGAAGACACCCGAGGACACCAAAACCTGCAAATCAATGGTATATATATATATATATAATCGGATTATTTTTTTTATTTAAATAGTTTGTTTTATTTAAATCGGATTTTTTTTATTTAAAATAGATTTTTAAAATAAAATGCTTTTGGGGGGAAAATCTTTCTAAATATAGGCTTCTATTTAAGTTACATTATAGTCCAAAGGCTATACATCAGGAAGTAAGGATTTGTTTTAAGTTCTTCATGTGTGCTAAAACTCAGTCTAAGTTGTTGTTGTTTTTTAAAAAAAAAACACGTTTAACCACATCAGTTAACAAACATGGATACATATGTGTCAGGGAACTGACATCGGAGCTAGAGGCGGAGGGAAGGCTCTCAAATGATGCTGGAGAAGGGCCCAGCAGGGAGAAAGGCAGCTCACCAGCTGGGGAAGGAAATCAGCGCTACACCAGGGATGAAGGGGGGCAGATGGGGGAATCGGCGAGAGGGCTCCAGGACTCTTCGCCGGACACCAGCGCGGAGAGCACGGGTCCTCCGCTACCCACGCCCTCCCTGCGCAGAAGACTTCCGCGCAGGGAGAGTAGGAGGAGACTTGGCGTCAATCAACTTTTATGCTGGAAAAGGTTTAAGAAACGCCCACTGACGGATTCTGCTAGCGACTGAGGCAGCCACGAAGTGAAGGGCTGTCCAGACAGAAAGGTTTAACCAGGCAACATAGCCAGGAGAGGCGGCAACTTACGCACGAGCAACCCCATACTCATTACAATATGCTATAATGTTATTGTTTTAGTTAAATAAATTGTTTAAATTGTTATTAAGGAAATGATTATTTTTCTGCTTCCAATAAAGTACAGCAGAAAAGTTGTCGAAATATAAACAATAGCTCCGTTACTTCCGGGTCGCCGCGGAGCGCAACCCGAAAACGCTCAACCTGAAGCAACTTTAACCCGAGGTATGACTGTAATAGGGTTGCCATATGTCCAGAATTTCCCGGACATGGCTGGTATTCAGCCCTGGTCGTTTCAACAGACCCCACGCCAGAGGTTGAGCGCAAGACCTTTTTTTCATGCTGGGCACATCTTCTGCCACTGAGCCACAAACTCTTGAGAGAGGAAGAACGAGGGAGAGAGACGGAGAGACAGAAAGCGAGGAGAATAGACTGAACAGGCTGATCAGTTGTTAGCTGAGGAAGGGGGCGCTTATTTTGGAGCGACGCACCCACAGCAGGGCTGCTGCTCCAGTTACACA